GATTGTGAAGCACGTGCAACCATGTGCTGTGGGTAAAGACCTTCGGCGTCCGGTAGCAACTTTGCATTTCGCTCGAGCAGCATCTTCACAATAGGAAGGGAGCCATGTTGACAAGCCAGGTTCAAGGGGATATGATCGGTGTCCGAATTTGGGTTGATTCTGGCATTACTGTACAGGACCTGCTCGGCGCATGCCAATTGGCCCTTGACAATGCTGTGAATCAGAGGGGTGAAGTTGTCATGGTCCATTATGTCAACGGTCTGGGGACCTGCCGCTAGCAGATCTCGGACCATATCAACGCGGCCATGCAAACAAGCATAGTGGAGAGGAATCCGACCATAGACATCGGACAGGGAGAAATCGACAGATGCCTTAAGGCCAGCCTTGAAAACAAAGTCTCGGCCAGAAATGGCCGCTTCGTGGAGGCAGTTCCGCTCATTGATATCGTCCTCTGCGTGGATGTCAACCAGATTGCTTTCTAATAGGAGAGCAAGAACCTCATCTGAGAATCCGTTGATGGCGGTCAAGAAGGTGCGAGTCGCACGTTCACGGGCATCTGGCATGGACTGTAACCTGGCCAGCCATTCACGCAGAGTCTGCATATTGCCCGTGGAGGCTGACTGCAGCATCTGAATATCCAACTCATCCTCCTCGGTTCCCAGGGATGCGGTGCGGTCCACAGGACGCGAGGCATCATATTGGATGTTCTCGCCCTCGGCCCAGGCCTCCAACTCCAATCGGGCGGTTGTGGCACGGTCCGCAAGGTCTCGGAGGATATCCCGGTTGAAACATGGTTGCACTTCCACAGCCCGATGTAGATATAGCTCTTTCATGCGAGACTTGGATGTTTTGTCCCATTTCTTCAGGATCTTGGACATGGCAGTCTCGTTAATCTCAACGAATTGCTGCAGCTTGTTGAGATCGCCATCGAATTGCTGGAAACCCTCAAACAGAGAAACGAAATTGGACGGCGCTTTGGAATTGGAGGAGGTTCGGGACTGGATCACCCGTTTCTTGTCAACTAGTGTCCGTAGACGAAGCGAGAACTAAGAAGTCATTAGCCCGGATAACATTATCCATATCAAAGGAACAACCATACCTCTGATTCTTTCTGAAGGTAAAATGTATTGACTTTCTCAATCTCTCGTTCCTACATCTCGAGGTCAGTGAATTGACTCATCTGCAAAAGATGTCTCGAACTTACCAAACGGAAGAAGAAGACCTCCTTGTTTGCGCGCAGAGCGAACTGAGGGTCATCTTCCCTCGCAATCTCCTCTGCGGTTCTTTGCGCGGGGATAGTAGGAGTGGCGCTGAGTTGCTTGATAAGCTGAAGCGGAATCAATTAGCCATGCGCGCGATTCCCAGCGGAGCGAACCATGACCGACCTTCTTCAGCGCCTTGTAGTTAACGAAGCTGGCGGCATATTCGGGGAGATCTAGCTGCCTGCGCTGAATCTGTTTGCCGAACTTCCTACCCGATGAAACCAATATCAGTAACCGCTCGGGATAGACCACGCCGGCACAGTACTGCAGACTTACATGACTGCACGATCTCGGAGAGAGCTTCAGCTCTCCCGAGCTTTGGAGATTGAGGTTGCTGTACTCAGCAAGCCGAAGCCGAGAGCTGGTGGGATGTGAACTTTGCTGTGCAATGTCGAGCGCGGGGTGTGTGTCAATGGAAGGAGAAGGGAGTGGGAGGACAGGAGGGAAGCGTCCGAGACCAGGTCTAAAAGAAACCAGCGCCTCGTGTCGAGCTAAGAGAGGGCCGGAGTTCGGTGGGGGAGACAGAGAGTGGGACAAGAGACGGAGGCTAGAGGCGGAGTAGCACCCAGAGAGATAAGATGTGTGACGTTGCTCCGGACAGGGCGACGAAGTGAAATAGTGAGGCAATGCGTATCAAGGATTAGAGAAAAGATTCAAGAAAAGATGGCGGGGCAGAGAGGGCACCAAAGTACCAGGTACCTATAGACTTGCCATATCTAGAGGGAAGGGAAAAAGATGGAGGTTAAGCCGAGGTGGGGAGCTCGAATGCAGTTGCCAATCACCGCGAACGGTGGACGCACGTTTCCTGCTGACTGGCACTTCCGAACATCACCCGTCAACCACCTGGGCACTAAGTATATACAAGGGTTTATATTACTTTTCTAGGGCATTCTATCTCAGCCACTTATTCTAGCCACATATTACTGACTGTTAGTCTAGAATCAAGTCGAGGTAAACCTCTCTCATTCCTAACAAATACAAGCCTGAAAAAGATGGGTAAATCCACTCTAGACACGCGAGGTATCATTGCAAATCTCGAGTATGTCCAGTGCATGGAAGCCGCCACGCTCAGCAGGAAATGTACAAAATGCAGCTCCTTACAATTCCCAAACAAAAAAGACGAACATAAGACGAATGTGACAGTAAAGAGTAAAAGAGCAAGCGATGCAGCTGGGACCAGATGCGCGGGATATATCAAACAGATGACCGAACGAAAATCAAAACCAACACGGGCCGATTATGGTAGAAATAGGGGGCAAAAAGGTTAAGGGGGAAATAGAGACATGACGAAGTGAAGGTCCATCGCGCCGGGAATTGGAACATGAGAGACCCGAAAGAAATGAATGTAGTCGGCGGTGGTGAAGGCAAGGAGCGTGGTATTGTGCATGAAGAAAGAGAATGCCGAGCTTTTGGTTGAGATTAAAGAAAAAATCTGGCTAGAAGTTCTGGGCAATACCGGCATTCCCTTGTCGTGGGTAGACCCCGGGGTTTTCGATGCGTGTGTTGCGACGTGCCTGGACATCGCGAATGACGGGCTGATAGGACTCGTCACCGTAGGCGCCGTGGGTGTTGATGTCGCCGTAGTACGGGTTTTCACTGTAGTAGCCACCCGAAGGGTGTGCTGCAGACATGTGGCTTTCTTCCGAAGCCTCGGAGCGGTTGGCAGCTGAGTAGGCAGAGGATGCGTTGGAGGGGCCGCGGTGGATGTCGCCAGTGCGGTTGTTGGCGGCTACAGGCGCGGCACCAAGCACACCAATGGGCTCAATTTCGCCAGAGTCCGGTCGAACTCCATCCGAGTATTGCACAGTGCCTTCGCTGGGAGTTGCGCCATGGTGGTAGCCGGGACTGCTTCCTTCGGACATGGCAAGACCGCCCATGCCGCTGGAGAGGTTGGTGGAGGCCTTGCGTCCGGCAGAGGTAGTTCCCCAGCCACGGTAGCCAGAGGAAGTGTCGTCCTTGGGTGCCACTACGCCTGCCATTCCGGGGAGAGTTGGGTCGTTGTTGGGGTTGAAGCCGTACTCCTCCACCTCCTTGCGACGCTCCTCCTCGTTCGCCTTGTTCGCCTTGCGCTTGCGCCAGAAGAAGATGGCTGCCAAGACGATCAATGCCACCGAAACTACTGGCACAACGACTGCAACGGCAATTGTTCCACTGGGAGAAAGACCGCCGGAGCTTGCTGCTCCAGTAGAGGTTGCGAGAGCGGCAGAGTCGGTCGCGCTGGAAGATGTGATGGACGAGGTACCAGTGTTTTCACTCGGCGCGGTAGACGTAACGTAAACAACGGTCGTTCCGGATGAACCGCTACTGGTCGATGGAAGTACAGTGGTCGAAGGGGCCTCGGTGGTCGGCTCGGTTGTGGAAGTAGAGGTTGATGATGTGGGTGTCGTGGATGTAGACGAAGAGGTCGTAGTAGGCTCGGTCGTGGAGGTCTTACTGGTACTACTCGAGCTTGTAGTGCTGCTGGTACTGGTGCTGGTGCTGCTAGTAGTCGCTTCGCTGGCGGTGGTTGTAGGCTGACTAGCCGAGGTCGAGGTTGTTCCGGCCGCAGCAGTGGCCGTGGTTGCTGCCGCCTCACTGGTCGCCGCATTTGTTGCCGCAGTGTCAGCAGCTGCCGCACTGGTATTGGCAGCGGCTGCAGCAGGGCCTGCCTTGGAAGACATCTTGATTCGTATTGCCGATTAGAAGATACAATGATCCGACGCGGTGAGTTTAGCGGTCGGGATCAATGCGATCCTGAATCAGGACACCGTTTGGCGAGTTTCGAAAATGGGATGAATGGGATAGAGAATCGTATGCTGAGTGGATTCAACAGTCAAAATTGAAACCGGATTGAATAACGAAAGACTATAATGAACGCGTTTAAAGAGGGACTGGATTATGGTCGGAGGCTCAGGGGGTGTGGGGGAAAATGAATATCGACGATATCGCAATCGGAGCGAAAAGAAGAAAAAGCAAAAGCAAAAGCAGCGAAAAGAAAAGAAAAGAAGAGGAGAAGAAGCAGAACTCACAATCTCAGGCTGTAGCCATGGGAGAGAGGGAGATGTGTGTGGAAGAGGAGGAAGAAGTGGGAAGTGGAGAATCCGTACGATTGCAGCGTATGCACATTCTTAGCGGTAAGAATAGATCTTCGTTTTAATTACTTGCACTCTGAGAGAGTTGCAGTTGCAGTTGCAGTTGCAGTTTCGCATCCCGCATGCAGTAGTCAACAGTCAACAAACACCTGCTTATGGTAATCCCTTGATGTAACTGTCATATCCCCCTGCGATCATAGGGCTCATGGCTTATTTTCCACCTGAGATTTCCCGAGAATACAGAGAGACTCAGGCCTACCGCGGGTGAGCAAGGGAGAGACTGGGCCCGGGGACATTGCCCCATCCGTTGCTCCAGTAAGAAAGACGCATCGGCTTGATGATGCGGATTGTCTCGGTCCACTCTTCGCTTCAACGGTCTATTAAAAGGATGAAATGGTGAACTCCTATCCGGTTTTTCAGTACAATACCGTATTCAGCCCGAGTCTAGACACTTTAATCTTAAGATCTAACATATGTACAGCCCACTGGGCAGAATAAGTAAAATTGCGATCTATTTACGCCGGTAGATCTCCAGTAAAAGAAAAGATAAGATCCCAGAGGCAACCCCAGACGAAGGAAGGAAAAAAAAAAGACACAAAAGAAGATCATCACATGCTCTTATACAAGGTCCAAAAACAGAGTCATGACGAAAGACTGAACCCGTCTATTATTTGTTGTTATTCAAATCCCAGTGCGGACGCAGGCTGGTCATCAAATCGTCCTTGGTGCCGACCGTGTCCGCCGGCAAGCGACTGATGCGGTAGTTGCCCATGCGGATATTGTTCATGTGGGTATTTGAAACACCAGTCCGGTTACTGCGGATACTACCAGCATCGCTGCCGGCGCCCTCGTTCTTGAAACGTGGCGGGGGTACGAAGTCCAGGTTCGTGTACGTTCCAGACTTCCGCAGAGCGTGTGGGCTGGGCATGACGGCGAGCTCATCAAAGGCAGAGGCCAGCGGGGTGTGCGCACGCACAGCTGGGCTATAAGGTCGCATGCCACCGGTAGGCGTCTCGGGGCGACCCGCACGCTGGTCGCGGAAGCCGTTTGCGGGAGCAAAGTCCACAGCGGACATGAGAGATTCATCTCTCAGCATGTGAGGAGTGGGAAGAACCTGAAGCGGTGCCGGAGGGGGCATCGGCTTCCGGGGAGCTCTGGGACCAGGCATACGCCCGGAGGCGGAGGAGAAAGCCCGGGGCCCGGATGCAGACGAGAAGGAACGAGGGCCCGGGGAGAAGCCATTGAAGCCTGCAGAGTTCGTGGCCTGATGACGAGCGGCTCCCTGGAAGCGTGGAGGAGCACGTGGCGGCGGCGTCATAGCACGACGGGTCACCGGCTCAGCGAAGGGAGCCGGTGCGGCATCAAAGTAGTCGCCAGTGACTGGGTCATAGACGAAACCACCGTCCTCGTAGAACTCAGGCCCGAAGTCTTCGTAATATGTGGTCTCCCGGCCAGTCTTGCTCTCATCGAAGTACTCCTTGTAGAAGGAGCGAATCCGATTGGCACGCTGCTCAGGGTTGTCTGCAGGGTCTTCTGGCGGCAGCGGGCGCAATCCGAGAGTCATCCGGCGGGTGTCGCGGTGTTCATCATATGGCTTGTCCAGGATTTGAGGCTCCTCTGGGAGTTCAGGGTGCTTGTTTTCGTGGCTTGGGACATCATGATGTCCAGCCGTAGCATGGACGTTGACTGGAGGAATCATGAGTTCCGACTTGCGATCATCACCATAGTCACTACTGGTAACATCGCTGGCCGGCAGAGAAATACGGGGAAGCTGCGATGCCGTCTGGCCGTGCCCAGAGTCGTGCGGTGATTGGGAAGGCTCAGGTAGCGGGAAGTTTAAGCGTCCTTCAGGCGCACTGGCATGGTTTGTCTCGGTCTCGAATCCGAAATGGAGACTGGGGGTAGAATCCAGGTGAGGCAGGGGCTCCGGGGATGCGAAATCCCGGTCAGTTGTGGCACTGCCAGGCGCCATACTGTGTTCCTGTGCAACAGGGGCCGGAGGAGTCACACCGGGAACCGGCCCAAGGAAATCCTTGCGCTGATTCACGGGGCTACCTCTTTGAGATTCAGTGGGGGGAGCTATAAATCGGCGGGGAAGAGCGAGACATCCTCTGGGCATTCCGAAGAAGACCCGAGTCAGGTTCATCAGCAGCTCCATATCGGGTTGGCGAACCGCCAAAGCTAGAGGCATCATCTCGGTGTCCCCTGGGGAAGGACCGAACGGAGCCATTGTCACCCAAAAATGTGGCGGGGCGGTACTTGTCATCATCTATTGAACGAGAAATGGAGTGTAGAGAGTCCCGGGAGCTCTTCATGCCCGGGGGGATCAGATAAGGGCCCACGTCGAGAGACAGGCCCTTGGTGTGGTTGGGTTCTGACATCGGGGGCATGGCTCCAGGGCCTCTCCTCTGTGTAGCCGGTCCAACTGTATCCATTCCAAAATCAAGTGATTTATGTTTATCGTTTGCATCTTCCCGTAGAAGTTTCTTGACATGTCTTCGGTGAAGCACAATCAGAACGATAATGGCACACAGGATGGGAAGACCTGCACCAAGCACGACTGGCAAGACGGTCGTGGTCATGTTACTGGTAGGCTTTTCTCCATTTGTCGAGCCAGATGCTGATGACTCGGGAGCTCGCGCCACGAGAGACGGCATCGTAGCTAAAGGTGTGGTACTAGGGACCAAAAATGGCAGGCGATGCGAAGGGACGACATCCCGGCGAACCGGGGCATGCCTCATCACCAAGCCGGCATGGTGAGCATGAGACATAGTCGAAGCCGGTCTGGAGGGCGTGATCAACACGGTAATGGCGAAAGCCGATCAGATGGTGCTCGTCATTGAAGTTCAACACAGTATAAAAAGGAGCGGAAGGGTCAAACTAGCCAAACTAGAGACAATAAAGAGTGAACGGGGACGAGGTCCTCAAAAAGAGCGGCGGCCAGCAGCCAAGAGTGTGGAAACGAGAGATGGGAAGAAGAAAAGAGGAGAAAGCGAGATGAGTTCTAGAATATGGGGCCCTAAGCACACAGTCATATTAACTTACCGTTCTCCGCATCCCCCTGAGCTCTTACTGTAATACATATGTCCTTCTTAATTTAGGACTCCGTGCAGAGTACTCTGTACAGCCTCCTTATTTTCTTTTGTTTATTGTCTAATCTTCCCTTTCCTCTCTGCAGCAAGCAAGGTGAATTCTGAGACCTCAGTACGGAGTCGATAGGGGGCCTCAGCGGTGTGCACCAATCACCGAGCGGCTGCCCCTGAGGCCGTCGAAATTACGGAGTATACACTAATGTATCCTCACTGTAAGGGCCCAAGGGGCGTCTTTTCGTTCCTTCAAGCCTTCTTTCTGATTCTGCTTGGCTATGCTTATAGTCATGGTAGTTATAGTTAACGTTATAGTTGTTTCGTATTCGGGTATAATAATGGTCCTTATCGGGATCCCGTATATGTCGACTCCTTTAATTCGAGACGCCGGCGTGGCCCGTCATTCCCAAGCCCTGCCCCCTCCCCAATGAAACGCAGATAACGGATGAGTTAATGTTAATGTGCCGTACCTGTCGCATCCCCACGTGAGACATTCCCCTCCAAGTCTATATAGCTGTTACATCGGTGATTTTTGTTTTCACAGAGCTCAAGCTCTCCAACTATTATTCTGTGGGAAGCAGTATTTCTTGGCAAAGGTACTTTTGTTTGGTAGGTAATTAGATAAGAGCGTTTTTAATAAGTTAGCGTGCTCAGTGCCTGTGGTACCCGGACTAGTAAATAGCTAATAAATCAGAATGCCTAGATTCCATTCTATGTCTGGTGAGCTTCGTTATATATGAACTTTCTCCAATGACATCTGAGGATCTGTCTTGGCGGATAAAGCCATATTTGTCTTCAAAACCAATGGTATATATATATCCTGGCGAGTACAATGACAGCACGTCTTTCCGTTGGAACCGCAAAATCTCTCTCGGCGTTGTTTCTTTTATCAATATATTATACTATAAAACACGTATAGTTCAGCTTCCATGTGAGGACATTGGAACTATCAAGGTGAGATATACGTAATTACCACCTCTCCTCAATCTCATCAGTTGGATCATCAAATTCATCATCTCACGATGTAATTGACTGGATGACCCGTGTCCAGACGGCACAAACCCAGCGCGATGCCGGCCTAGAACGACACCCAACGGCCCTTAGTCGAATTGCAACCCAGCACAGCCAACATAATGCAACAGTAGGCGCTGGGCTCAACCCCGAGTTAACCTTAATGATCCATTTCACAGAGCCAATCGTGCTATGTCTCAGCATCTACATGGCATTTCTCTATGGCCTGCTATACCTCTTCCTAACGGCGTACCCCATCGTATTCCAAAGAATCCACGGCTTTGAAAAGGGTGTCAGTGGTCTTCCATACCTGGGTCTTATCATTGGAGAGTTCATTGGCGGGTTTTGCATTCTCTGAGTACAGCCCTGGTATAATCGAAAATTGGACGGTAACTACAGCATCCCGATCCCTGAGTGGCGTCTACCACCTGCAATACTAGGGAGTGTGGCTTTTTCTGGGGGGGGGGTTTGTTTTGGTTTGGTTGGTCTGGATTCACGGCTCAATTCACTGGATTGTACCGACGGCATCTGGGGTCTTGACCGGATCTGGTCTATTCTGTATCTTCCTCCAAGCGTTGAACTGTATTGCGGATGCATACCTTCTATTGTGAGTATTCTCTTCTTGAGTATACTTGTTAGCATGTTAGATCACGACTCAAAGTTGCTTCTACTAGTGCTGCCTCTGCATTAGCTGCAAATAACATCTTGCGGTCTTCAGCTGGTGCAGGCTTTGCTCTCTTCGCAACCTACATGGTGAGTAGAGAAACCAGAGACCGGAGTGAACATCACTGATATTAAGGACAGTTCAAAGGACTAGGTGTCAATTGGGCTGGGACCCTGCTCGGCTGTGTAGCACGGCTCTGATTCAAATTCCTATACTGTTATATCTCTATGGCCACCGGATTCGAGCGAAGAGCAAGTTCGCAACGCAGACTATGTGATGACAACGAAGGCTCATACCAATGAAGAGATAGCGTAAGCTTGGGAATTAATATAGCTGCAAGCTTACAGTTTTCTCGAAGCAACCAAGCGAAAAAAGGCGAAACAAAGGATGCAGCGAGTAGAACCGATGAATCGGGGACACAATCCTGTTAGAGTACACTTCTCTCAGTACATGGGCGGCATTGGTGTATATAACTTCTTCCATTGGTTAGGCAGGATATTGAGACTGTTGAGCATCTGCTTGACCTTCATATACTGTAATCCTAACCAAAGCGTGTTTTGTACTATCCGTTCACCTTCACTGTGCGTAGATGAGAGACAGTCCGGTTACTTTCAAGGCTACCTTGCGGAAATTTGGATATTAAACTTTTTTTTCTTTCATTGTTGCATTAGACTATAGTGCAAATGCATAAGAAGACTTCTGTCCCCAGTTAGTTTAATCATCACATGGTTGGGTTCAGGGCTTTTCATCTAGTATGGGCCTTCGTGTGAAAACGTAATCAGTGCAGGTCCGCCTTAACAAGGAATCCTCCGTGATTAATACAGCACAATTAAAAGATATGAGCTGCGCAAATATGAGACATGATTGAAAGGAATGAGAAGACCGAACAAAAATGGAAAGGTCGTGAGCCCCGGGGTTTGGGACAGACTCGGATGTGTGGGCTACACACAGGGTAATTGAAATATCAAGGAAAAGGTGGTGGCAATGTACATTGGGGTGAGAGTTGTACATGAGAAAAGGAAAAGGAAAGCCATGGCACTTTTGAACACATCGCGTGAAAGAGACGAGGTTCTCCGAGGGTATGCAAAGGGGCGAGATCAACGGTGAACCACCGAGATATTAAAAGAATAAAGGAGATGCTCATGCAAATGATCTTCGGGTCGTTTCATCTGATGCTGGGGAATCGTGGAGAGATATGGTGACAGGAGAGAAAAAGAAATCAGAGAAATTATTACAAGTCGGCGAGAGCAGCTTCAAAGCTGGCAAGGTCGTCGTGAGATGGTTTGTCGAAGATGCGTCGAAACGGGGGTCTTGTGGAAAAACGTTCTGGGGGCTGGTTGAAACTCCCTCTGCCTTGCGAATGACTTCCTTCAGCGCACGCGTCACAACACCAGCTCGAACCACCAAATCTTTCAACGAAGACGTGTCGAATGGCAGTTTCTGAGCACGCGGTGCAATCTCTAGAGATTTATCACCAGGCTGCAGGATATCAAGCACAGATTGAGACTTGAGCGAGTCTTTGGCAAGCGGAGTGAGAGGCGAGCGAGTTTCACGCTCACGCTGCGGTACATCGTTCCATGAGACTTCGCTGTTACGCTTGGAAGATGCATGGAGACCTTCATCTTCTGATTCGTCGAAGCTAAATGTGAGAGATGAAGGAGATCCTGGAGGTGAGCGATGCTCTTCTTCGTCATCAATAGTAGCAAGGTTCACAATCCCCTCTGCTTCTTTCCACAATTCACTGGAAGGTCCGCCGACGAGATCCAAGACATTTGCCTGGTGCCGGAGACGCTTCAATTCTTCCACGAGCAGCGTCAATTCCTGGACCTGTCCGAATTGACCGCGAAGACTGGCTTGGCGTTCCAGAATGGCTTTCGGAACAGTCATGCTTTGACGAATAGTCTCTGGTTCAGAGACCTGAGTGCTTTCGGCCGTGGGTGTATCCTCGGATTCGTCGAAATCGAAATCGCTATCCCAGTCTTCGCTGACGCCTTTACTGCCCAAGCCCCAGGTGCCGAACTTCCCAGATGTTTGACGTGAGTCACTGGTGGGAATGTCACTCACAACGGGGACACTCTGACTGCGAAGGTGGACGGTGGAAGGTGCTTTCCGGCAAACAGCACGACTGCTTCTATCAACAACATTTGCTTGCTTCCCATGCATGGTTCTGGGACGCGTTTCGGAGTCCGACGTTTCACGATCAGGACGTGACTGTTCAGACCAGTCGAAGATGTTTGTCTTTTTGTTCACATCTGAGTTGGGCCCGTCTACCATCGATCCGAAGCCCTTGACCGAAGTCAGGCCAGAGTCGGGATGTTCGGCGAATTTGGACAACGCAAGCGACAAAGGCGACTGAACCGTGCTGCCTGATTCGCCAGGCAATGCCCCAATCATACTGAGGGCGTCTTCATCCGGCGCATCGGCCAAAACTGACGAGTTGTCAACCATTGGGACCTGAGTCAAAGGGGGAGAGGCCAGAAATGAATCAGTAAAAAGTTGAGGATCCCGTTCCAAAGACCTCGCGGCGAAAGAACCCCGCGGCAGAAGAGTCTCTAAGGTCGTGACTTCTTCATTAGCCAAACTCGTGCCTGCTTTGTCAAACATCGTCTCAATTCGAAGGCCCTTCAGTCCGCTGCTTGTTGTTTCGCGTGTGCGGACTGAGTCCCAATAATCACTCATGATGTCGGTTTCATAATCATCGCATGATGTAAACACCCTGGTATCATCGGAACCGATTATGGTGGAAGATGGGTCTGACCCTGAAATTGAGAAACCCTTGGGACGACGGCGGAGAGAGTAAGGCTGGCCATTTGGACGAGATGCCCGCTGCCAGGCAGAAAGTGCCACTGCATCCGAGGTTACTGGATCCAAGCCGGACCGTGATCCCAAGCCAATGTTGTAGTCTTGAGAGACTGATCGTGGCACAACTTGAGAACGTCTTTCCAAAGCTGAAAGAGCCCCTCCGGGCTGCGAAACAGGATGTGGGCGACGGAAGACATTCGGATCGGTGATATTACGACGTTGCTCGGGGTCCGGGGTTGGGACGGCGACAATCCTCTCCGACTTGGACAGTTCTGACCGAGGGATGGAAAACGTGCGCCCTTTCACACGCTTCAGAGAACCGCCCCTGGGTCGTCCCAGAACCGGAACGCCAGAGCCGGTGACGGTGTTGGCAATGACGGTCTGCTTTTGTTCAGCATCATTAACAGAGTACGAGTGCCTGTGATTGGGATTCTCCGCTGGCTCGAGAACGAGTTCAGGAGCAAGCTCCGGGGCGGCTGCCTGAAATGGGTTGCGGAATTCGATCGGGGTATTAGGCAATGACTGATCCTCTCGGGGCACAGCAGTGTTGATGGCGACATCAGAGGCGAGAATCAATACCGGAAGAGCGCTCTGATCAGACGTAATCTGGCGAACACTTTGAACTTTCGGGGTGATTGATGTTGAGAACCTGCGCGAGAGTCTCTCGGCCAACTTACCAGCCCCGGGAAAGAAAAATGACGCCCATTGTTTCTTCTTATCAAGCTCGAATTCCTCGATCGCTGGTGATTCAACAGGAAGATTCTTGGGGAAGCAATATTCGAAATCTGAAGCCAAAGGAAGGCGCATCGACTCTGATCTCTGGTGACTCGTGGCTGGCCTGCGCAGCGCAGATGGCGAAGACCCGGAGATGGTCTGCGATCCAAGTGGATGTGTGTTGGTGTGCTGCGATGCCGGACGCTTCACCAACTTGTTCGGGGGCCTTCGCTGACTCGGCGGGCAAGGAAAGATTGGGCTTGCTGATCCATTGAACGACGGAGTGACTGGGCTACTCGCGGTCGGGCTCTCGGTCTGGAACGAGGCCATTGACAAGCGCCGCAGCCAACCAGTGGATGGTCGCCGGACGTGGCCAGCTTGCGAGTCTGTTGATTCATTTTCCGGAATTTGCAGTGGAGGCGCTGTGAAAGTTTGACCCCGACGACGACGTCTTACAGCGCTGAAGGACAAGGATGCCCGCCGAAGATCTGGTTGATATTGGTTCCCATACGCGCTATCTGCCAAACTTTGTTCCTTTTCAGCCCGCCACTCGGCTGCCACACTTGTCCGTGGTGGTAAAGCTGTCTTCGGACGAGCATCAATGGACGTCTTTGCGGTATGTTGAGGGAGGAGAGGGTGATCTTGAGAGAGGGTCTTGCGCCGGAAGAGACTCGGCTTCTGACTTCGTTCTGCGCGCCCGAGCGCGAGGCCGGTGGGTGCTATACCGACAGTGCTTAACGCACATAACTAAGCGTCATTGTCAGTGAACATGTCTTGCAAGGACCGGAGTGGTGACCAGTAATCCCGGATTGATCAACCCTGGCTTACCGTTGATACGTAATCCATCTTCAGAGGGCGCGGAAGAGAGTGACAAGCACCCCGACACTCAGCTCCAGATCGAACAACTTTGCGAATGACATTCCAGTAGAATGCGCATATGAGGGGAAGCTAACGAGCGAGATAGGGAGGAGTGTTACTGCGGTCGGCTGGAAATCCCTCAACTAGGCCGCGATGAGCGGAACAATCGAAAAACAAAAACGACCATCGACCCAGGCAAAAAAAAGACGTTAGGCCCAGCTCCTTCAAAGGAGAGAGAAAGAAGAAAGGAGCGATGCGATGGGGGGGGAAAGAACCATGGGACGGAAAACAACAACAAAACTCGGGGATTATCAGCTCCCGCCCTGGACTCACGCTAGGAGAGATCAATAACTTCCCCCTCCTTGAACCCTTGAGCAATTCAAATATCCTGCTACTTAATTCTTGTTCTTAATTCTTTTTGAAACAGACGAGTGCACAGTGCAGAGTGCAGTTCCCCTGATTAGACTTCAATTGACCTACTCCGTCTACGTCTACGTCTTGAGTACGGCTACATGTACGCCAATCTGCATGGAAATACCCCGGCGAAAGCACACCAAACAGTACTAGCCCACCATGCGGGTGTTATTGCAAATGCAAAGATTAGGATGCTGGCCTGTCATCCCTTGCGGCTCACATCGCATTGGCGTCATAGTCCAGACTTTTTTCGAGGAAACGGCGAAGTCCGTGAAGCGCCGCCAGTGGCTCAGCGAGCTGGGAAATGGAGAGCCCAAAAAGCCATGCGATCCAGAATTCCCCACACATCTGGTTTCGGCTGGCTAGGATCGCTTCTTCGGCCCCCTAGCCTGACTAGCTTAGATCGCAAGGGCCCCGGGGCCGATCGGTGTCCACTGGTTTCCTGCCATGAACTCTTGCCCGAGGCAGAACCATGGCTCACGCGTTCAAAGGATGTTCAGGAGCTATACTTTATGTGGGAGGTCGCCCTCAAACTGTCTGCCCAAGGGCCATTGAACAAAGTTTTCTCGGTCCACTTCGCTGGCTTCTGGATGATACAGTTGATCAGTCCAAAAGAAGCGAGATGAGCGAGATGCAAGGTCTCTCTCAGCAAGCTTATATGACTTCAACGTTGTCCATGGTGATGCAAAGTGCTTTATGTTTACGACCTGCGCCCCGGAACTGATTTTCGATCCAAATTGACCTGTTCGCTTCGCAAATTAAGCCAGAAATAGCTCTGAGAATCAGCTCCAGGTTTGATTGTTTGATATCGTCATGCCACTCCACTTCGCAAATGAAAATGGAAAACTCGTGGGTCGCCCACCGGCCAGAATCGGTTCTTACTGCCGGATCTGTGCCGCTTCTTGTTGCGGGTACGTGGCACTTTACTGTCATGGCGTGTCAAATGAGAGCTGAGAGTGGGGAAATCCTCGTGTTTCATCTTTCAAAAGCTGTTTTAATTTTTTTCTCCTTTTCCGAGCTCAATCTTTCCAGCGATCAGGCCGACACTCCGAAGCCCTGAGCCAAACCTTGTCGCTCGCTTGACAGATCGACATACCCTATCATTCGGGAAGGTCAATTTGGCGCTACAGGGATTGGTCTCCTCGGCTTAGCTTCGGCCACGTCGAATCTCTCTGGAGTGCAAATGCCAAATTACCTGTGGACCTATGGATTTCAATGCTCAGATCTATTCTTGCTCAGGATTACACCCCAAGCGGCTCGAAAATAAATCTGCCAATATCCGTTATACCGGTCTCAACTGTGTCATACATGCAGGTCAGCACTTGATGATCTTTGAATGCTCTGGGCGAATGATTGGCTTGTCGCCGCTTGACGGGCTATTCCCAAAATATAGACCCAAACAAAGATCGTCACTTTGGCTTTGGGGCTCAACTCTCGGCCTTTAGGATGCAGGCAACTCGTGCTCCAATGCCTGCAAGGATTTTGTGATGAGTATCCTGCATACCTGGCGGTCGAGGCGGTTAAATGTCACCCTGACAGGTTCGCGTGCTGGATTTCACTACCGTTGCACTCGTTCGATCTCGTTGTCCGTTCTTTTCATTATGCTAATCACATGCAATCGCTCCGACATGAAACTACATGTACTTATGAAACACTCTGCATGCTTCAACAAGTGTCTAACCTAGGTGAGGGTTTCACTAGGGTCTAGTTGATGAGTATACTGGAGTGGCAGGCCACACTTTCCATTTTGCGGCCGCCCGTTTTGATATATTGTCTTCGGCTGCAGCTGGATTGTCTTTGAGTAAGGGAGGAGAGCGGTCAGCTCTGCATGCTCCACCTCACCTTTCCAAGGTAAGATCATGCTCACCGTCTCAAAACCTGACACTGCTCTACAATCAATGATCAGGGAGACGGAGAAGCTGCGACCAAATGGTACGCGACAATATGTCCTTTGTCGTCCAAGGGCTTCCTCTCCAGGGACTTACTTAATCTTAAGTTGTGTGATATCGGGTGATTTGGCCCCTGTTTCCTGCAGATGTGTAGAGCACAAACACCCACATGTGATTCAAAACTTGACTGCCTGTCCACCACCTTGTTTTGTTGACTTGGACTCTGTTGAAAGGAGGTCATTGTGGTTTAATTACGGAAATTGAACACCATTGAAGAAAAGCTAAACTATGATCAAGTTCGTTTCGATTCTGAAATTGATGAGTCCTTAAAGATCGATCCATTGGCCCATTCAACATGATGGCTCGGGGAGGCCAGCACTCAGAAGCCATTGATCTCACAAAAAGCGGTCTTCCGGGACTGAGATGTAATTTCTACATACCAAGATAAGTGGTCTCAGGATTCACCATACGATTGTACCCAAACAGCGGATTAGGAATACACAATACACATATTGGAGTCGACAATTCCAGATATCTTACATTGCGCCTCTAAGGATGATCGCTAACCACTCAGATATTGACAACTAGAAATGTCAGAAGGGTATTCAATCTCTATGCATTTCGCTGATTAAATTTGCGGAATGCGTCGGGAAGTTAACCAAGTAGTCAAACACTGTTCTAGGTGCCTTCACCTACCTTGGGACATGCCAATTCTAAAGTAGCATAGCTGTCATGCTGTTGGACGTGCCTTTGACACTCTGTTAGTTCGTTCGCCTTGCTGGCTTGATGTTCTTTTCTTACTATTTCCATGCTTTCATGCCTCCTATATGGCCTTCTCATGTCACAATGTACCGATAATGTCAATCACACACCTATTAGATATGAAATGTACTATAAATCAGACAAGAGCCCCTCTAGCTCAGTACGAAACAAATAATAAACTCGAGACTGTAAGAGAAGCTCGACATCAATACATGAAAATTATAGATCGAGCCTCACGTGATCTTATCGATAACCCACATCCAAAAAGCCCACTCTATCATGGGGACCTCACTACAAGAAATCCACGCTCGACTTGTACTAGAGGTCCCAGGTTACCGCCGGAGTGAGCCACATTCACCTGAACCTGAAACCATGGAGTCTCAAATCCAGGCGCAAATTCCTGGTATCGACCATGTCGTCTCCGAATACGCTGTGGTATGTATTTGCATGCGCGACGGTAGATGTGAATGAAGCTGACCGTTTGATAGGGCTACCTGACTCATGCCGCAAACCTTTACGTCGAAGATACCAGCGGCCAATCCCCATTGTCAGAAGCTGCCGAAGCCGTTACCGAGCTTCTGGTCTCCGCTTCTGGCGATTTCTCCCCGCAAAACTACGAGACGATTGGCAACTTAGTCGCGAAGTTCATCACGGGCCTCAGCTCCGCTGATGGCGTTGACGCCGAGCAGAGACAAATGCCATTCAGGGCTAAGAAGCTGGACCAGGCCATCAATGTTGGCGCACAGCGGAACATGTCCTCGACCCTGGGATTGACTGGAAACACTGTCGACCTGGAATCAGCCAATGCTAGAAAGGTCGAGTCCAAGGTGGACAAGAAAAAGCTCGAGAAGGCCGAACGTAAGATTCGTGCCAAGCAGGACAAGAAGCAGATGAAGAACGTTACCTACGAGTCCTCCCGCTTGCTCAACCAGCCGGATGAGACTATGTCATACGAGGAGTTCTTCATGGCTGTCAACCCTCTTCAACTGGGCTCTGACTCCCAGGCCAAGAGCAAGGACATCAAGCTGGACAACATCGATATCTCCATCAGTGGCCTGCGTATCCTGACGGATGCTGCCTTTACACTCGCCTACGGTCGTCGTTATGGTCTTGTTGGCCAGAACGGTATCGGTAAATCTACACTTTTGCGCGCTTTAAGTCGCAGAGAAATCCCCATTCCCACTCACGTTTCAATTCTTCACGTCGAGCAAGAGGTATATCTGATTCAATCTCCTTGCGTTTGCTGTTACTAACTGTCTACATAGATTACTGGTGATGATACGCCAGCTTTGCAGGCAGTCCTGGATGCTGATGTGTGGCGGAAGCACCTCCTCGGAGAGCAAGCGGTTAGTGAACCCCCAATACATTATTACAATACATTTACTAATTGACATCACAGAAAATCTCTAAACAATTGGCTGAGCTCGAAGAAGAGAGATCCTCGATGGCAGATACCTCCCAGGATGCTGCTAGACTTGACGAACAACGTGAAGGCTTGGATATCACTTTGAGTGACATTTACAGCAAACTTTCTGAAATGGAATCGGACAAGGCCGAGTCCCGTGCGGCTAGTATCTTGGCTGGTCTAGGTTTCTCCCAAGAACGCCAGCAATACCCAACCAAAACCTTCTCTGGAGGTTGGAGAATGCGTCTGTCCCTGGCGCGAGCACTTTTCTGCGAGCCCGATTTGCTCTTGCTGGACGGTATATTTTACTGCCTCTATTGAACGAGTAGCCTACTGACTGTCCATAGAACCGTCGAACATGTTGGATGTTCCGTCTATTACTTTCCTTTCAAATTACCTCCAGGGATACCCCAGCACAGTCCTTGTGGTCTCTCACGATCGTGCATTCTTGAACGAAGTCGCTACGGATATTATTCACCAACACTCCGAGAGACTGGACTACTACAGGGGTGCTAACTTCGGTAAGTAATACTAGATCGAGGCATCTGAAACTTCTAACATTTCATAGAATCCTTCTACGCAACCAAGGAGGAGCGTCGGAAGACCGCTAAGCGCGAATATGAGAAGCAAATGGCCGAGAGAGCACACTTGCAAGGTTTGTGACGTCGAGTGCTGTCATACGAGCTGTACTGACGACTTATCAGCGTTCATTGACAAATTCCGATACAATGCTGCGAAATCTTCCGAAGCCCAGTCAAGAATCAAGAAACTTGAGCGTATGCCAGTCCTTGAAGCTCCCGAAAGCGAATACACCGTCCACTTCGCATTCCCTGAGGTCGAGAAGCTCTCACCCCCTATTGTCCAGATGTCCGAAGTTTGCTTCGGTTACACCAAGGACAAACCTCTTCTCAAGAATGTCGATCTGGATGTCCAGCTTGACTCGCGTATTGGAATTGTCGGACCTAACGGTGCTGGTAAGACCACGGTGCTGAAGCTACTCACCAATCAGCTCGAACCAACAGCCGGTATTATCTCTACCAACTCAAGACTGCGCATTGGATTCTTTGCCCAGCATCACGTCGACGCTCTGGACATGACAACCAGTGCAGTAGGCTTCATGACTAAGACTTATCCCGGAAAGACAGACGAGGAGTACCGGAGACACCTGGGCGCGTAAGTCAACTCTTAACCCCTTTGCCCACATCCCACTCACTAATATGTTCTCATAGCTTTGGTATCACTGGTACAACTGGTCTTCAGCGCATGGGACTTCTGTCTGGAGGTCAGAAATCTCGTGTGGCCTTTGCTTGCCTGTCATTGACCAATCCTCACATTCTTGTTCTTGATGAACCTTCTAACCACTTGGATATTGAGGGTATGGATGCTCTGTCAGATGCGCTCCGCAAGTTCGAGGGAGGTGTTGTGATGGTTTCCCACGATGTGACCATGTTGCAGAATGTTTGCACCAGTCTCTGGGTCTGCGACGGTGGTACCGTGCACAAGTTTGACGGCACAGTCAATGCTTACAAGAAGAAGATCACTGAGCAGGCTGATGCTGCTGGTGTTGTGGCCAAGCACTAAGGGGAGATACATGTACAGTGCAGTAGTATCAAAAAAAAAATATGAATCCAATCTTCAACGGGCTACGCCAACATAGAACAGACAATTGTGTAACCAGTTTGTCGATTCTGTGCATGAGCTATATGCATGTACAGTCATAGCCTATAAGCCCTTTCCCACCACCACTCTTATACAATCTACATGGGTAACCCATATAACTAGAGGCACTCGAAAATGTGTAAAAAAGAGATAAAAAAGAGAAACCGAAGCAGAATAAAAACAGCGCATGAAATGGTATACTCCAAGGCTATTGCTTAGAGTCTTTCCAGTACTTCAGAAGTGTCACTGTATACACATTTATGATTCTATAGATGTCGGCATTCCGGAACCCGATTTCCGCCTTCTTATCGGCTTATCGTAGCCCCAGACGTCACTTGAAACATTGGACATTCCCCTGGTAGAATCCAGGAGCTGATTCTAGTTCTCTGGAAGTAAAGCCTTAGAATATGACAGGTGCAGATGAACTGGACAACTCTGGTCCCAACGCGCCCTTACTCGCCCCCGCCTACACTCCCGACCATGACCATGAAGACCGTGGCAACGAGGGCCTGGCTTCCGAGCTGGAATACTCAGGGGGCTGGTTCATATGGGCGTTGACCTTCTCAGCAGGAATTAGTGGGCTTCTCTTTGGATATGAGTATGCTCCCTACTCCGGCAGACGCCTTGTTACGGCTCCATTGTTCTACCGGATAGCGGCTAACAGTTGTTTGAACTTCCAGTACAGGAGTCATTTCCTCAACTTTGGTGACAGTCGGCACGGATCTCTCGGACCGATCATTGACAACACTCGACAAAAGCCTTATCACGTCATGTACGAGCCTGTTCGCATTAATAGCCAGTCCTTTCACCGGAGTACTGGCAGATAAGCTGGGCCGTCGGAAAGTTATACTTGGCGCAGATGCGTTGTTTGCCCTAGGGGCTTTGGTCCAGGCTTCCACAAGCCAGGTTTGGGGTATGATTCTTGGACGGAGTATTGTTGGCCTTGCGGTTGGGAGCGCAAGTGCGGTTACTCCATTGTAAGTCGACTGCAAGTCATGGATTAGGATGAAAGCCATACCATGCGATTGATCATGGAGCAAGATTGCTAATGGGGGAGCCTGCAGGTACATTTCTGAATTGGCACCATCGAACGCAAGAGGAAGACTTGTTACTATTCTCAGTCTGTTCATCACCGGCGGCCAGGTGGTAGCATACATAGTTGGCTGGCTTTTCACCAGTACAACCGGAGGCTGGCGCTGGATCGTGGGCCTCGGAGCATTACCGGCCTTCTTCCAGCTTGCCATTCTCGCTTTCCTACCCGAGACGCCTCGGTGGTTGGTTCAGGCCGGATTTGGTATCCGAGCGAAGGCCGTTCTAATCAAGATTTACCAAGATTGCCCTGGAGGTGACCGTGTGGTTGATCGAGTCTTGCACGATATCAATGGGGAGATTGATGAAGAGGCATCAGAGCTAGGACAGGGTAAATCTCGTGGCACCAAGCCGCAGTGGTTACACGATACCCTTGAAAGGGGCCAGCAGTTATTGCATGGGGGGAACAGGAGAGCATTAATCATTGCGATGATGCTTCAGGGAGTTCAACAACTGTGTGGCTTCAACAGTCTGATGTACTTCTCGGCGACCATCTTCTCGGCCCTATCGTTCTCCTCCCCGACCTTGGTGTCTCTTTCAGTGGCTGTGACAAACTTCATATTCACGCTTCTTGCATTTGCGCTGATTGATAAGATCGGACGCCGGCGAATCTTGCTTTATTCAATGCCAGTGATGACCGTTGCCCTGGTCATCTGCGCGCTGTCATTCTCTTCCCTGAAGGATGTATGGAATGACCAACCCCCAACGCGACGTGAAGGACCCCCCGATAGTGCCGGTTCTTTCTTGCCCCTTGCTATCCTGACCTGCCTTACCGTATACACTGCGGCTTATGCCTTCGGCCTCGGCAATGTTCCCTGGCAGCAGTCAGAATTGTTCCCTCTGAGCGTGCGCTCGCTGGGCTCATCGTTGGCCACTGCAACTAACTGGGGATCGAACTTTATCATTGGCCTTACCTTCTTACCCATGATGGAATGGATCTCACCCTCGTGGACTTTCCTTCTATATGCACTGGTCTGTGTAGCTGGATGGGTTGCAGTATGGGCAATTTACCCTGAGATGAGTGGACTTGGCCTTGAAGAAGTAAAAGGTCTTTTGTCAGAGGGCTGGGGAGTGAAGGAAAGCCTGCAAAGAAGGCGTGTCGCGCCTCGTGTATAAAGTATCTTCAAACTCGACTTGAATAGTATTGAGACATGAACGTACAATGCCGTATAATACACTTTCGCTTGGTCTTCGATTTGATCCCAAATTTGAGCTTCGATCAGATATTCGAGATTCGTTTTCTCTTAAAATTGCTCGTCTCAACGTTCAGGCTCTAAAACGAGGCAATTCAAACCGGACCTTTCCTCCTCACTTCATAAAAGAGCATTTGTTTGCCTCTTTTTTCTATCCTTCGCATTACGCGCGCTCGTTCGTCCGTCCATTGTCTTTCGTACGTATGCTGAATGACCCAAATACCGACCCAGACATCATCCCATGAACTATACTAACACGAGCATTAAATAGAACAATGACGTCCAACGTCCCTTTGTGCGAAAACGACCAAAGCGATAGGCAAACGACATCCGCTACACAGCCAGCTGCCACTCACAACCCTCCCGCTTCTGGAGGAAACATTCTTGGCCTTCCGAACGAGGTAAGTGCATCGCCTCATTGTACAGTATATCTTGCTAATCCATCGAACCAATAGATTGTTCAAGAAATCGCCAGCTTCCTCCCAACAGATCACGATGTCCTTCGATTCTCTCGGACATGCAGAGATATGTGGGCCAAAGTCTTCGCCCCGGAGTCAGTTGTCTGGCGAGCCCTATTCACCAGATGCTACGATGTTCCATCTGTCAAAGCCTCAAGCGAGCTCAGGCACGAGTATCAAACTCGTGCCATCGTTCTGAGGGCAAAGTTCAACTTTGCAGAAAAAGAAGACGATCGCCAGTATCTCTGCATGCAAGTTTTGAAAACGATGCTCGAGGAAGCGATCACCGTACATCTTGAACAAGACTGTCACTCCAAGACCCTGGACCGACTGTATGAGTCTCTCAAGTCTATGAACCTTCTCAAGTACCCACGGAAAGAAGACCCATCTGAGCTTTTCTTCGCCCTCCAGCTGGTATACTTTCCCGTTGTACATTATCAGGGAGCCTTTACTAAAATTGTTGTCCGGTATAGTGCTTGACTCCCCTTGCCCTTGACTCGACAGTCACACAGGCATGCCACCGTACCGACTACAACCTCGCTACCATTTACTCGTTCGCTGAAGAGTTGGGCGAGCCCTACATTGATCATGTTAATCTAGGCCTTGAGAAAGTGCTGCAAATGAGAAGCTTTTGGCAGCGTCACTTGCTGACCGCATCTGAGCTAACCTACAGCGAGGCCTTCGCATCTCTTCCAGCGTACATGAAGCCCCAGGTTCGAAAGCTCGACCCGGACGATGGCTGCAGACTGAGCACCTCGTGGCTGGGGGTTTATTGTGAGTAACAAATAGCCCCCAAGCATTTGATATATGCCAAAAACTGACCCCTTTAACTAGCTTGCTTGCACCCGCTACCCGAAACTCGGGAGGAATTTGAGCTACTCAACCGGCAAACATGCGCAGACTTGGAGACCCACGTCGATGTGATCGACGTTATGGTAAGTCAAATTCGACATCGTCACGATATTGTCAGATACCAGACTAAATTTGCCCAGACCCTCAAACTCAAGGTTAAACCCAATGCCGACGTTTTCTGGCCCCAGATCTGCAGAGAGATCATTCCCCTCGTTGGGCCTGAGATTCGCCGCGTGTACTTTGAGGGAAAGCAGAACATTCACGGCATCACTGATGAGGACAACACAATCTTTGGATTCACCGAGGATATCGACGTCACTTACGGGGAACTCAGTGGCTGGACCCGTATCTGCTTCACCATCTGGCAGGGCGACACCAGCGTCAATTATGCTGCATTTCGCACAGCAATGGCGGACGCTGAGTGGGTTCACTCCTACGAGGCCCTGATCATCCCCGGAGGAGGAGTGATGCTGGGGCGCTGGGTGGACACGAAGGACCAGACTGGCCGGGGCCCTTTTATTTTCTGGGACGTGTGATGTGCAATGTCGATTCGGTGCTGTTAAATCGAGGTGTCTCCCGCATATCGGCAGGGGCACACTGGAGAGGGGAACAACGGGCCAAAAAGAGAGAACGGAGAGAAGAGAGTTAGGTAGGACCATTGTACAGATCGTCGACAATTGCCTTTGAGATTTGAGTCTAGATTATCGGCTCTGTAGAACCGTTGCAACGTGAAGCAGCGTATCTTTTTGTTCGAAGGCGTAAAGAATTAATGCTTTGAGGAAGGGAATAGATAACACAGAAAAGAAACAACCTCTACTCTTCGATATCCTTGACCTTCTCCCACTGGCCCTTGAGGTTCTCCTTCCACAAACTGACCTTGTTGTCGCCTCCACTTACGGCAAGGATGTTGCCGCTGAGACTCCAGCTCACCCGCCACAGAACAGTGTCAAACTCGAGTGTTTGGCTGCTCCACTGGCCCGGGTTGGAGGCATCGGAGGTCCAGATACGAACGGTCTTGTCTTGCGAAGCTGAGGCGATGTAGGACTTGGAGAGGATACTCGGAGACCAGGCCACATCACGGACCCAGTCCGAGTGACCCTCGAGAATTTGAGTAGGGTTGTAAGACTTGGATTCGGCGCTGGAGGATGCAGTCAGTTTATGTGATTAAACACTTCCAGTCAAAAAACATACTTGTAGTCCCAGATCTTGACCAAGTTGTCACTACCACCGGTGACGAACCGGCGCTGTTGACCAGGTCCGGGATTGGAGCTGATCAGGCTGCCGGCAAAGGCGGCAGGAGCCCAGCTAATGGAGTTGACACCCATACCGTGGGCGTGGAAGGTCTGGTGAGTCCAGTTGTTGTCACAGAACTCGAGCACGCTGACATGGCCATCGGAGGAAGCGCAAGCAAGGAGACATCCGCTCTCATGGGGAGCCCAGGAGACCATGTTCACAGAAGCCGTGTGAAGGGAGAAGTCGAAGACCTTCGTCCATGAGCTGCCACCGGCCGGGGAGGTAGCATTCTGGGGCTGTTCCCGCCAGATCAAGACCTTACCGTCGTAGGAGGATGAGGCCAGAATTGTGCCAAACTTCGGGTGAGCCTAGAACAAGAGGAGGACACTGTTAGTCTGGTTGCGCGATGCAATGACTGGTGTTTCGCGTCACAACTTACCCATGCGACACACCACACTGCGCCCTCGTGACTATTAGATACCCAAGTCAGCGACCAAATCTTTGAATACAACGATTCACCAAGCAAGCTCACCCCTTCAGTGTCTCGACGAGACGGTGTGACTCTCCCTCAACCTCAAAGATCTTTATCGTTTTGTCGGAGGAACATGTTGCCAATCTGCGGCCGTAGTAATCCAAGGTGGCATCGTGCTACATTCCAGGGAGCTCAGTCAGCTAAAGCTCCGCATAGGACGACAAGAGCTGTCAATTGGACCGAGTATCCAAGCACATACAATCATCTCCTCGTGCCCTGAGTTCGAGATCACCTGAGCGGAAGCCTGGAGTTTTGTAAGTGTTAGCGAGGCGATTGAGGCATGATCGCAATTATGCGAAACAAGACACTCACCATTTTGTGATATAAAAAGAGACAAACAATGGAAGTAGAAGAGGGAAGCGGGACCAGAAACTCCCTGTTTGTATGGGCCAAACAACCTGGCCTGAGTCCGCTTATCCTTATCGTGCTGACTCAGGGCACGTGATGAGTCCGGGGCCTCGGTCGAGCATCGGCAACCCCACGCTCTCTGGTTGTCTTCTGATCTTCTCATCTATCTTCACTATATTTGCTCTTTGTTTCTGCTTACCGGAGTACCTTAACCCCGGAACCTCTCTATTGAAATATTCTCTCGCTGATTGTCACGGGTCATCATGGCTGATGCGCTGTGCGGGCCGTCGAACGCGCTTCAAAACTTCCAGAAGCATACGTCGGTTGATCGGACCCTTCAGCAAGATCGGTTGACTTCCAGGCAATCGTCTGCCCAGGTTTGTGATTATTTTGACATATCTTCGTTCCACCCGTACTAAATTGCGCTCTCCAGGGTTTCCGATCCCAGAACCCCCGAGAGGGAATACTTGACCCGGAGTTCGCCGCATTCGAAGCCAATACCGCCGGTCCTGCATTGCCAGATTTACAACACTCCACTCATTTCGGAGCACCAGTACAGCACCATGCAGCGCAGCACCCCGCACATCATCCGGGAAACGCCAGCTGGGCGTCGGATTTCCAGAACTTGCAAATCTCAGGACCCTCGCACCCTGTATCGCAACTACACAGACCTAATATCGCACCAGTCATGGCACATGGCGGATGGCATAATGAGTTTATGAATCAACAGCAACGAGGGCCTATGTCCCAGGCCCAGCAGAGCCCGCAAATGCATGGTGGCTTCCAGCCATCCTTTGCGCCCAGCTACCCGATGTATGGTTCCATGAATCAGATGCAACCCCCGCAAGCTATGCAGCCCGGACAGCAGAAGCCCATGGAGCAGTTTGATGAGTCTGCATTTGAGGCTGCGTTTGATCAGGCAAGGGCGGACATGGAGTTGCAGGGAGCCGACCTCGCCCAGCAAGATACCCAGCATAATTTGGATACCGATGAAGTTGATACCATTGAGCCTGTCGCCCAAGAGCAAATCCGACTTGGGTCTGATCTCATTCCCCAGAGCGACAAGGAGGACCCTCAAACACGGGGCCGAGATGCAGATGAGCTTGCCCGGACCGCAGGCCAACTGCTTGACAGCGTTCGCAATGACCAAAGCCAAAAATTCCAACAAAGCAACTTCCTAGCTCTGATGCGCCGAATCCGAGATCGCGAGGTGGAGGTTGAAGGTGATGAGTTCCGTGAAGTCAGTACCAACCCGTAACGGTTTGGCTGTCGGACGACAGAAATACCGGTATAATTTGGTCAATCTACGAGGGCGGTTGTCCTTGCTAATGTTGGTGCAGACGGCGCAGTCTCTTCACCCGGGTGGGCCATACTATCCGGGCCAACCCTATCCTGATCCCGCCATTCCCTCAAGCAGTAAGGAGCCTCCCCTATCAGCAGGGACCGATGTCAAGACACCCATGAGAAACAGCGAAGAATCTGACCAGGCATTGCTCCCTGCCCAGACGGCATAGGCATCAGAGAGACCCCGACAGCCGAGGAAGGAACCGATGAACTAAGGTCCGGTTCTTTTGGTGACACAAACGCCCTGTACGAAGGCTTGATCCACAGCCAGGGACTGGTGGATAGGCGCATGATCCCATGCTTTTTGAGGAAGGATTTGGAATCACACTTTTTACACTAGATGTATAGGGTACTTACTTGAGTACGGACCGGCCATCGTAGCCCAGGTACCGGTACATTTTTTATTGATACCCATGAACAATAGCAAACGCATGATCTCTATTGAGCACACAAGCCTCCATTGAGATTTCCCGATTAGGCAACTTAATGGCCAACCATGGCCTCTGATTGGTCGTCTATTGAATGTCTTCCTATTGTGCCCATTCAATCGCCATCAACAATAGAAACATCCAAACTAGGCTTAAATATCCAACTTCGCGCTTGTTGACTTCTCACCTTTAAATCTCTCACACTTTTCTCTTCATAATGCTTCCCCCATCAGACTCATTCCGTCATCAGCTTCAAAAGCTGGCAGAGGTTCGAGCTAATCGCAACAGCCCTCCACCCACCGCTCCTCCTCCATATACACTGTCAGTCTGCCAACCTGATGGTAGAACTGTCATGGCCATCAACCCCGACCAGGAAGAGGAGTCTGGCCCTATCATCATCCGAATTGATAACTCCATCTCCCTGGCTGGCCAGGACAATACCATTATTCTCCCATCTGGAGCTACCCTTCCTCCAACTCAAACCGAGGCAAACACATCGTCGGCCAATAGGCCTTCCCCTCCGCGACACGCAAACATGTCATTGACTGTGACCGCTATAATTGACGCTTTGAACCGCGTCAACGCCCTTTGCGATGTGTCCGGTAACCTGAGAACATTTGAGGTCAATCTCAATGCTGGTATAAAGGTTGATGGTCGAAGCAACACCATATGCATGGGGAACATGGCCAGGGTTCCCCAGCCTAAGACGCAGGCGCCTGCTGAGGAAAGAGAGGATCTTGGTTGGCCCTCATCCTAAGGCGTGAAATAGATATTTCGGCCGAGGGGTGGGGGGTGGTGTTGTTTGGAGTTTGCATTTTGGTACCCGGTATCTCTTGCTTTGGCTTTGGCAAGTTTTCTCTGGGTGTCTTGCATGTTTGTGGTTAGTTTTGGCTAATAACATGTCACATTGCTTTAGTGTTCTAGTCCCTTGTATACCTAGTTGCTTGACTTGTGTTATTTTATGTGCTGTTGGTGGCTTGTTTATGCTTTTCCTATCATGACTTATGAAATTAGAATGGTGTTTTGGTCATTAGCTTATTCTTCACGAAGATCACGGGTGCTTGATTAAGAACTGGGATTATAAAGGTACAACTAGAATGATCGGCCTACCAAGCGCTATACTACACTTTCCCTAAGACCGTTAGATAAGACCTAGATTAAGTGTTAAGAAAATTGGTCAGATATACCGTGAAACACTCTTATAAACCGCCCCAAATAGCGGTGAGAGCTCCTGAAGCCCCGATGATCGTTGCAGCTTTTTCCTGCGGGGTTTCCCAATGACAGAGAACAGAGAATCAAATTGAAAGACCATGCAGCATGTCGGACGATGGATGCGCCTTGGTGGATCTTATTGATACGCTTACAGCACAAGTGGTTAGACTTGCTGTGGAACACTGTTGACCCACTATATTTATGGGGTATTGATCTGGTGGCAATTAATGGAATTATTTAGAGCTATGGCTGAATCAACCTCTTCTATCTTACGGTGCTCTTTGTTCATGGAAAGAGAATGACCTTGCAAGTGGACAGCTTGGATTCTAAGCCTGGCTTTAAGATTCCTCTGCCGAAGTATGAACATCCACCAGAGACGAGATGTCCCTGTGAGCAATGACACCCTCGTTAATGAATCCCTAAATTTAATTCTGTGCTAGTGAAATATGCGAATGTCGTTACCATTGACCTTTCTGAATATGATCGTCCTGGAGGCAGAGATCGACTAGCACAGCAAGTCAAAGAATGCGTGCATGACTTTGGTATTTCTCTCGGTCTCTTCCGCCATAGAAAAAAATACTAACATAGAATAGGCTTCTTTTATATTACCAATATTGGTCTTTCCCAGGATGAGATTGATCTGCAGTTTGCCATTGCACAAGCATTCTTTGCACTGCCTGTGCAAGAACGACTGAGACACCTTGCACCTTTGCACAAAGGAAATTATAATGGCTACCGGCCATTAGGTACCCTGAGCCTCTTTCCAGGACTGCAAGATTCACTGGAGTTTCACAGTATCTTCAAGTTCATCCCTCAAAGCCAACGCTCACAGCCAGAACTTATCAAGCAATATTCAGCAGAGATCGAGCGATTCTCCCGACATATGCACGAGAATGTCTCATTCAAACTTCTACGAATACTTGCGACGATGCTAGAGCTTCCAGAAGATCAATTTGTGAACGGCAACCGCTACGAAGACGAATGTGATAGCTCCGTGCGGTACATGTTATACCATGCCCGGTCGCAAGAAGAAAATAGGATGTTTGACGACTATTACCTCCGTGGCCATACAGACAAAGGAACATTGACGTTCCTCTTTCAACAACCAATAGCAGCGTTGCAAGTGCAGCGAGTGCAAACCGACTGGGAGCATTTGAGGATTCCCGCCGGCACTGTTGCAGTGAACATTGCCGATGCATTGCAGTTTCTCACCAACGGGTATCTGAAAAGTGGTTTACATCGGGTCATGGCGCCACCGAAGGACCAGGTGCATATGAATCGCTTGGGGCTTTTGTACTTTGTACGTCCGACGGATAAATTGCCTTGGAAGTCTCTGGATAGTCCGTTTCTGAGGAGGGCGGGTTATGCGAAGTCGACCGAGCATGATAGAGATATGTCTGGGCTGGAATGGTGGAGGGCGGGTGTGAAGACTCGCAAGGGAGCCAATTATATGAAAGATACAGCTCGTTCAAGTACCTAGTGAATGGCAACTGGATACTCCGGTGATGTCTAAGTAGCGTCATGCCCGGACAAGCCTTCAAGTTGGCTCGGCTGTTGTCAAAACAATCAAAACAATTATGAATCAGAAAGCACCTAAAGCCCAAACAATTCACTTAGCAATCACCAAATGATCGAATGATATAGAAGAAGCTTCCACACAACTAAAGCTGTCGACATCGCCCGCACACCTGAGCAGGATTAGCTAATCACCCCACTACACAGTCATGGCTCGACAACTTTTGACCACATCGCCATCTAGTCTTGGTTCCATATCTAAAATGGCGCCTTTGATTACCCTTGCAACATGTGCACTGAACCAGTGGAGCTTGGACTTCGCTGGTAACCTGAAGAGGATCAAGCAGAGTATCATCAAGGCCAAGGAAGCCGGCGCAACTCTGCGTGTCGGACCGGAGCTCGAGATTCCGGGCTACGGTACGCGTTGCAATATGCACATTTTACCATCGTATCATTTTCAACTAACTCAATGATATAGGCTGTCTGGACCACTTCCTGGAGACCGAGGTGTATGAGAACTCATGGGACTCCCTCTATTCGATCCTGACAGACCCTTCTCTGCATGGTATCATGATCGATGTTGGGCTTCCTCTTCTTCACCGGAACTGTAGGTACAATGCTCGTGCTATCATTCTGGACGGAAAGATTCTGTGCCTAAGGCCCAAACTCTATCTCGCCAACGACGGCAACTTCCGCGAGATGCGCTTCTTCACACCGTGGAACAGACCCAGGCACGTTGAGCAGTACCACCTGCCCTCATTTATCCAGAAGCATCAAGGCTCTCGTCACGTCCCTATTGGTGACGTTGTCCTCTCCACCATCGATACGTGCCTTGCCGCCGAGACCTGTGAGGAGCTGTTTACACCCAACAGCCCTCACATCAACATGTCTGTAAACCCTTTTGTCAGATCGTATGTGGGTTGCTAACTTTATACGATTAAGGGGACTCAATGGTGTAGAGGTCTTCACGAACAGTAGTGGAAGTCATCATTCACTCCGAAAGCTCAACGAGCGTATCGCTCTGATCTCAGAGGCTACTCGCAAGAATGGAGGTATTTATCTCTACTCCAACCAACTTGGGTGTGATGGCGATCGACTGTGAGTAGATTCAAACCTGCCAAGGATCCCTAAGTAGAAGATCTAGAGGGGACATCCTGAGCTATGAGAGCAAGCAAGAAATATACTAACCAAAAGCAGGTACTATGACGGTTGTGCCATGATCTTTGTCAACGGAGACATCGTTGGCCAGTCAAGCCAGTTCTCACTTAATGAGGTCGAAGTTGTAGTTGCGACTGTGGATCTTGAGCAAGTGAGAGCATACAGATTCGCCCCGTCCCGTGGTATGCAGGCAGTTGCAGCCCCAGAATATGAACGGATTGAGGTCGATTACTCTCTCTCCTGTGATGACGAAGCACTCGCGCAGATGATAACCCCTGCAAGGCCGCCCCGCTATCACCTCCCGGAGGAGGAAATTGCCCTGGGGCCTGCATGCTGGCTTTGGGATTACCTCCGACGCTCTAAGGCCGCTGGCTTCTTCGTCCCTCTCTCTGGTGGAATTGATAGCTGTGCGACAGCCACCATCGTGTACTCCATGTGCCGCCTCGTCATTCAAGCTATCAAGGAAGGCAATGAGCAGGTCATTGCAGATGCGAAGCGCATTGCTGCTTTCACCGCTGAACTTCCCAAAACGGCTGAAGAGCTATGCAACCAGATCTTCTTCACTTGCTACATGGGAATGGAGAAGCAGAGCAGTAAGGAAACAAGAGACCGGGCCAAAGTCCTATCTGAAAAAATCGGGTCTTATCACACAGATGTGAACATTGACGATATGTTCATTTCCACGAAGAACATGTTGACTCAAGCCACCGGCTTTGAACCCAAATTCAAGGGTTCGTATTTCTTTGTGCTTTTCTATCTAAATGGAACAGTTGCTAATCCGCTGAAATAGTTCACGGAGGGTCCGTCACACAAAACCTTGCTCTCCAAAACATCCAAGCAAGATCCAGAATGGTGCTTGCCTACTACTTTGCCCAGGAGCTGTGTGAGGTTAGGAACCGACCCGGAGGCGGTGGTTTACTGGTGCTTGGAAGCTCTAATGTGGATGAATGCCTACGTGGATGTAAGTATACTCCTTCGAAGAGGCCGATTTTTCATAGGGGAGAATGGCACGGTGGTCACATTATCATCACAAGACACTAACTTCTAGAACAGATCTGACCAAATACGATTGTTCCTCTGCGGATCTCAACCCAATCGGGTCCATCAGCAAGGTTGACTTGAAGCGATTCATTGCCTGGGCTTCCGAAGAATTTGATCTGCCCATTCTCGAAGACTTCATTCATGCCACGCCCACAGCAGAACTCGAGCCAATCACTTCGGATTATGTATGTAAATTATTTTTCTGCTCGGACCTTGATACTGACATTCAAAAGACCCAAAGCGATGAGGCCGACATGAAGATGACCTACGCAGAGCTTTCCCGCTTCGGTACATTGCGGAAGGTCAACCACCTAGGTCCCTACGGCATGTTCCTTCGTCTCCTCGAGGAGTGGGGTGGTGAGGGCAAGCTTAGCCCACGCGAGATTGGCGAAAAGGTGAGCCATAACTTTGAATCCCGCTTTCCATCTATCGGTAGTTCCTTGCTAATAGGCTGGTAGGTCAAATTGTTCTTCCACTTTTACCAGATCAACCGCCATAAGCAGACGGTTGCTACACCCTCCTATCACGCAGAAAGCTATTCGCCCGACGATCACCGATTTGACCTTCGACCATTCCTGTACCCACCCGGGTTCGAGAGCTGGTCTTTCAAGAAGATCGATGAGCGGGTCGAAGCACTGGAGAAGAGGAGCAAAAAGAAGGAAGGCGCGGGACCTTCAAACTAGATAAGAAAACCTGTACAGTGCGAAATATTACTCGCCATGACTCAGAGGGACTTAGATTTTGTCTGGTTAGACCCTTGAATGAATAATTTTTGTCGAATTATGCCCAGTCGCAATTTTGGTTTTTCCAACGATTCAAGTAAGGCTGAGCACCCCAAATTGATGACATGAGAGACTTCCGGACAGCTATTTCAGCTCGTATCTGCAGACTTTCATTAGGATATGCCCATTACTGCTTATTTCATGGATTCACGGGCCAATTGTCTCGGCTACATACATGCGGACCGGATCAGACCTGCTTTGTGTAATGGAAAGAGACCTGGGTCTGCCGGGCAGAAGACGAGATACTTGGAAGTTTTACATGAGCACGGCCAGAAAACGAAGACTACGGCATTGGGTTACGGTAACTCAAATGTCATTTCTTTGGGCAGTGGGTGGGATCTGGGAGGAATGAGGTATAAAGATCTGGATAAATTTGTCAAGGACAGTAAGTCGATGCAGCTTGTGGTGTGTGAGTTGAGTGAGTCCCACATCACGATGGGCCATCACATTAGATCTTAAGAATACAACGGATTATCCTAATCTGGACAAAGCATTATGGATTTGGATCTAATGTCATCCGCTGGATTTGCGAGGACAAAAGGGTCTCAAATTAATAGAGTGGTCTCTGTTAGGAAGCAACATGTCTGCTTTGCTTGGCAATATATGCTTATTGGATTTTCATGGTTTTTATGATATCGTATAAACTGAAACGCTGTTATTTCTGCCTTCTGTTTAATCAAGGGACCTATCCCTCTTTGACCAAACGTCACTGAATATTCTCCCTAGAAGGCAGCCAAGGGTTGGAGCATGTATTTAGACTAATCTAGGCCACTGAATTGTATAAAATTGAGTGCACATAGACCTACACCGCTGATAAGACATAGCAGACTTCACATCACAAATGGCATTAACGATCCAAAGAATAGAAAGACTAGCCGGAGCGACAGTCTGACGATCATGCAGTGGATACGTGGACACCGCTGAAAGCCGAGTGGCTTCAGATCAGCCAAATAGGCTCGATACGACTGTTGGGGCCTGAGCGGGTTCCCCTCTTCGTTGGGCCTCGTGGAGAATTCAGCATCAAATCCGAGTGGAAATAAGAACCTATAAATGGCGCTTTTTGTAGAACTCCGGAGTGCATACCTGCAGCTGGTCAAACGAAGACTAATAAGCGAGAGAGTGATATGTTCGGCTGTTAACTTGGTAACTATGTCCTTGCGCATTGAGTCTTCCTGCTTTGATCTTATTTGGGAGTGTACGTCGGAGTTGAATTTCGTTTCTGTTATTGCTTTTTCTCATTAATCCCCGCTTTGCTATAAGCCGAGCTGACGATGGACCTCAGCTCATTGGTGATAGTTCATGCACGCTCGCTATTAGGGCCCGTTCCGCCAGCCACATTCTTCTTCCGCAGTGCATGTGTCAAACATGAAGTTTGAGCATATGTTAGCGACAAGACGAGGTCATTCTATTGGTGCGACAGACCTGCAGATCAAGGACGTAGATCAAGAGCTGAACCTATCAGAATCTGACGTACCCTTCCTAAGTTACCCCATGGAGAGATTTCATTTTCCCATTTTGAAAGATCATCACCGATCGTAAGATCCAGAAAGAATTTATTTACGACCAACAACCATAACGGAAATACTATTGCGGCGAACGTGTTTGCCATTACATCCCGTCTATGCATTAGCTCCATGCCTCGGGAAGATCAATCGCACAATTCATAATGGCATTCGCGCTCTCAGGCCTCCTTCTTCCCGTTCACAGCTTGGCTAGCCATGTTCTTTCTCATCTTTGTCCAGGCATACGTGATGTTGGCTACATTAGGCAGATGCGAGTTGTCCCCGCCTCGCACAGGAATTGACTCTTCTTTCAAGATGCCCGCTCGAATCATTTCGTTTACACTTGGATGGATTTCGGCATCTAAAGGTAGATCCCGGGGGGCACCGAGGTTTGGTGGGAGTCGACGAGGGACCCATTTTCCCTTTTCCAACTCGAGACGAGTGAATATTGGAAGACATTCTGAGAGCAGGAGTCAGTCTAGTTTCAATTACGAGTACTGGCAGAGTGCTTGATGTATGAACACTTACCCAGAATCCACCACATAATGACCATCACAAAGAAGGTTCCATATCCAAATCGCAGGGTGTCGTGTGGCTGGTTAGTTTCTCTTCGAACTTCGAAAGCATTGGTGCCAGGCTCCTCCTTTCCGGGGAAGGCATTCTCTCTCTTCACCACGTCATCGACATTGAGGGTCTGGAATGATAGTTTGCTCTTCGAACCCTCCAAACTGAGGACTTCTTGGATCATCCAGTTCAAAGGCGTGTCCGAGAGAAGATGCTTCTGACCACGTTGCAGTCCATAGCCTCCGCCAACATCGCAGTGATTACCAGCAAACCACACCTCTTTTAGGTCCACAGGGTCTTTATTCTTGTCCATGAGAAACAGTGCCGGCTTGAACTTCAGCCTTCTCTCATGGATAGATACCGCGTGTCGGATATGACGGGCAGCTGGATTGGCAATCGACTTGTAGGAGGTGCGGTAGAATGGGATCTCAAACTGACCAACACTATTCACACAGTCAAAGAGACCGAGGAAATGAATTCCTACGTCTGGGCGACAGAACGTAGTCTTGAAATTCTGCAGATATCCTTCCAGTTTGATGTCCTTGTCGGTGGGAGGATCATTTGCGCGAGATTGCTGATAATTGCTAAACGTTTCCCATGCAAAGTGAACCATTTCTTCGTTGCCCTTGGAGAGAAGACCAAGATCTTGAATCATCTCTGCGAGAAAGCGGGCTGTGTACGCACCTCGCGAAAACCCAAAAATGTAAATGTGATCCCCAGGGATGTAATAGCGCATTGCAAACTGGTAACCAGCCAAAACATGACTCCGGAATGATGTACCAACTGCTTGGTCGATGGTGGTGATAATCTTGGATTTGATCTTGGGCCAAATGGTCAATAAGTTTCCGCTTGAACTTTCGCCTTTGACATAGGTGCCAATTCCCGCTAAAATAAAAGTGAGCTTCACATTTCTATCGGCTTTACAGTGACATACGTTGGTAGTAGTGGAATTGACCAGGAGAGTGTCTCTCGAGCATCTGATAGATTTTCACAATGTTTGTGTCAGACTCATTGCCTTGGAATCGATTGCCCGTGCCATCGAAGCAAAGCACAATTCGACGTGGACCAGAGACTGAGGCAGGTAGCCTTGTTTCATTGGTCGCGTGCGGCATGATGATTCAACTTGAGGAAGCGATGCTCAACAGAACGTCTGTGATAATGCGAAGAGGTTTTATTCAAGATAGGAGGGGAATGGTTAGTCCCCGAAGAGAACTGTTTACCGTCAATGCGCCAGCCACTGCAAAAAGTCCCTCAGATGGACTTGCATCATGATAAGTCCGAGTTGCTGCATATATCCACTTTTATTACATGTTCATGCAACAACCCCACCACTATGCACGTTCAACTCAGCTGAATTGGGGCCAGATTCATCTGCTGCCCAATAGGTACGAGGAGATTATGCGTGGCGCGTAATCTGATGCGCTGAATCCCCAAGTCCGTGAGTGGTTGGAATCTACTCCTCACTTTTGTCCTAAGGAATGACATCGATATGCAGTGTGATATTCTGCGCAACTTCCCGATTACTTGGTCTCCAGTGCTATTGGGTTAAAGCACAACAGGTGAGTTTAGATCGTCTTCATGCTGTTTCTCCTTGCTGTTCCCCTCCCTCGTGTCTGCCGAATATGGAACCCTTGAAGGTGGGACATCTTTCAGCTGATGGCTTTTGGCGCCTTGTGGACTGTGCAGTTTATCTCCTCACTGAGGATGCAGTGAGAATGGTTACTCGGAATCTAGCCAACGAGATCACTTTATTCCCAATCATCGTACTGGCAGCGGCCTCAGACATGCATGCGGTAGCCATATAAAGCTTGCCGCTCTCTTTCTCGCGTCTTTCTACCAATTCATATTTTTCTTCAATATTCTCACACGTACTCAAATCTTCACTATAACCATTCTGATTCCTGAGTCAGTCCAATTTCCTCATAATGGGTTGGTTCAGTGGGGATGCGCCTAAGCATAAGCCATCCTGGGACTTAGGATGGACGTCCCTCCCTTGGACATCCCCTTCCCCGCCCACCCCAACACGAGGTATGCCATTTCTTTTTTTTTTGAAAGACCGAACAAAATCTTGAACTAACATGCAATAAGCATCATTATTTAGTCTTGGATCATTAACTAACAATGGCTGGTGGACATCTCCAAAAGTTGAGCCCGAGAGCCAGGAATGGTATCTGGTCCTTGTTGAGAAATTCGGTATCAGTGGAACTGTTGGCCTGATCCTTGGCTTTGTTCTTTGCTTGTTCATTCTGAAGCTAGGTCAAAGGACCATTGGCCTCCCTTTCAACAAGATCCCATTTCTCGGCAAGCAGCTCTCTGCTAAACCGTCTAAGCGCTTGGTACCCAGGGGCACACAGTCTGCCCTGAAAAGCATCAAGGGAATTGCACCAGGTCTACTAACAAGACTGAATCCATTCAATTGGAGAATCTTCAACCTGCAAAAGATTGCTGAAGAAGAGGATGACGAGAAATACCAAGCAGGGGAGCCATATGGCGACCCCAGTGTGATGGCCACTGGTCTCGTCAAAGACCTCAAGTCTGTTGGATTGAAGGCAGGCGTGAGAGACCTTCAAACATTGCTCAAGGTGGTCAAATCTAAAGGGAAGCCTGTTAATGATCGGGAGATGACGGTGAGTTAAGAATTTGAAGCATAGAACCAAGAAGATAAAATGTACTGATTTTATCTTAGATGGAAAAGATGATCGCGATCACCTCAGCCCTGCCACGCCATTCAAAAACGCGAAAGAAGTTGTCGGGTATCATCATCGACAGTCTATGGCAAAGCTTGCAGCATCCTCCTCTCAGCTACCTCGGCGACAAGTTCCAGTACCGAACCCCCGACGGAAGCTACAATGTATGTTGAGAATATAAAATTTTCTCTTGGATTCTAACAAAGAACCCAATACAGAATCCTCTCCAACCAGATCTTGGTAAAGCTGGGAGCCCCTACGCCAGAACGGTTCCAAAGCTGAAGCATTTGCACGGTGTTCAACCTGATCCAGGACTTCTCTTTGACTGTATGTGATCAATATTCCTTGACGATAGGTATACATGCTAAATTGTTCAAGTGCTTATGGGTCGGACTGATGACACGTTCAAGGAAAACCCAGCTGGGATTTCTTCGGTTCTATTCTATCATGCCAGCATTATTATTCATGGTAAGGAAACCCCGAGAACAGAGGTTTGTAGCGAGAACTGATTGACAACTTCAGATGTGTTCCGCACAAACCGCTTTGACTCAAATATATCGGACACTTCTTCCTATCTTGATCTTGCTCCATTGTATGGTTCGAGCCGTGCTGATCAGGAGAGCATTCGGACAATGCAAGGTGGTTTCCTCAAGCCGGATACGTTTGCTGAGAAGCGACTCCTTGGATTGCCCCCAGGTATCAACGTTATGCTTGTCATGTATAGCCGGTTCCACAACTATGTCGCCGACGTTCTTCTGAAGATCAACGAGAACGGTCGTTTTACGTTGCCACCAACCAGAACTGAGGAGGCTAAACAGCGCGCTCTGATAAAGCAGGATGAGGATTTGTTCCAAACAGCACGACTGTGAGAGTCCCATTTCTAACAAGAAGGACAATTCTAACGAGAACAGTATCACCAACGGTCTTTATATTAATATTTGTTTACACGATTATCTTCGTGGGCTAACAAACACGCACCATTCTGCAAGCGACTGGACCCTCGACCCCCGTATTGCTGTGGAAAGGCATTTTGACCCAGATGGCGTCCCGAGAGGTGTTGGTAACCAGGTATCTGCAGAATTCAATCTTCTGTATCGGTTCCACTCAACGATCTCCCAGCGAGATGAGAAATGGATGAATGAATTCCTTAGAAGCCTGTTCCCAGGCGACAAGCCCCTTGACCAGCTCACACCTCAGGAATTCGTTCAAGGTCTATTCCGATTTGAGCAGACTATCCCGGAAGATCCTTCTAAGCGTGAGTTCTCGGGTCTTAAGCGTGACGAGCACGGTCGGTTCAACGACGGGGATCTAGCAAGGATCATGAAGGAAAGCATGGAAGACCCAGCAGGCCTGTTTGGTGCCAGAATGGTTCCTAAAGCGTTGCGCATTATTGAGGTCACTGGTATACTCACGGCACGAAAATGGCAGCTCGCATCTTTGAACGAGATGCGTGATTTCTTCAAATTGAAACGCCATGATACCTTCGAGGATATTAACCCTGACCCTGAGATTGCTGATCTTCTTCGAAAGCTGTATGATCATCCTGATATGGTTGAAATGTATCCCGGAATGTTCCTCGAGGATGCTAAGCCTCGTATGGATCCAGGTATGTTTAACTTCGGTTCTTGTCCACCATCGAACTCGCTAACCTGTTGTATGTAGGTTGCGGTGGATGTCCACCATACACTGTTGGAAGGGCTGTCTTCAGTGACGCGATTACCTTGGTACGATCCGATCGTTTCTGTACAGTGGTAAGTCTTCTTCTTCCCTTTCCCAAAAGTCGAAGTGTATCCGGCTAATATGAGAGCAGGACTACACCGCGTCGAACCTGACAAGCTGGGGCTTCCAAGAGGTGCAGCAAAACCTTGACATGTAAGGTCACCCTGTTTCTGCTATAGTATAGCTACTGACTCACAGTCCGTAGCATGGGAGGGTCAATGTTCCATAAATTGTTCCAACGCGCTCTTCCAGGATGGTTCCCCTACAATTCACTCCACACCACACAACCAATGTTCACTCGAAAGATGAACGAGGAAATTGCAAGGGAAATCGGGACCATTGCTCAATTCTCGCTGGCCGATCCAGCACCGCCACCTGTTCCTATCATCTTGACCAAGCATTCGACTGTAACCAAGGTGCTAAAAGACCAAGCTAATTTCCGCGTCCCGTGGATCAAGTGGTTGAACGACATCGCCCCGGGTAGGACATTCAACAGCGCCATGCTGGCAGGAGACCTTCCCATGAACACTGCGCAGAGAAATCTGGTTACCGATATTATGTTCAGTCCAGCAGAGTTTATGCAGTTGTTCTCTGCGACGGCGATGTCTGTTGGAAGGGAACTCATCGATAGAGAAACTTTGAACTTGAAGAGTTTGGACCAGATCGATATTGTTCGCGAGTGAGTCCGACTTTTGCTTTGTTGGCTGTTGATAGATTGACCAACTGACCAATAATTTAGTGTCGCGATTCCTTTGAATACCCGTCTTTTGGCTGATTTGTTCGCTTTGGATCTCAAGACGCGTGAGAACAAGGGTGGAAGCCTGAGCGCCGCAACGCTGTATAAGCATCTTCTGGATGTTCGCACATTTGTCTTCAACAACAATGATCCGGCTCTCGCTTTACAGCGCAGGGATGCTGCTCGCGAGGGCGTTGAAGCCCTGACGGAGACCGGCTTGAAAGTGATCTCTGGTGGAGGTTCTCGATCTCTTTTGTCGAGAATTCCACTCATTGGATGGCTGTTCGGTTCTAAGGAGGCTCAAAGAAGCAATCCAACTGTTGGATCTCTGCGCTGGTATGGTCAGAATGTCATGAGAGAGATCATTGCTGCTGGAAAGACTCCTGAGGAGACTGTCGATATCAGCTGGTTGACTGCTGTCGGTGGTGTTGGCGCCCCAATCGGAGTGGTTTGTCTCTCCAAAATTTTAGCATCAGAAGCTGTAATGTGGACTAACATGCTATCCTCACAGTTTGTTGATGTTCTTCAGTTCTTCCTTAAAGAAGACAATTCCCACCACTGGGAGGCCATCCAGGGCCTCATCAGTCATTCTGACGTGAACTCATCTGATAACACACTGCGACAGTATGTGCTTGAGGCTCAGCGCTTGACAAGCGGCCAGCGGAACCTCCGCATCTGCGCTAGCGAAACGACGATCGATGGCAAGACTTTTAAACCCGGCGATGCGGTAGTGTCACTACTTGTAAGTATCACACCGCGATATCGCCAAACAAAGGAAAAGAGATGCAGGTGTGCTAAAACATCAATCTTGACAGGGCCACGCATGCATGGATCCAGAAGTTGTTCCACATCCCCATAAATTCAAACTCGACCGACCTGCCAGCGCGTACATCCACTATGGCTATGGCGCGCACGAATGCATTGGCCGGGAATTAACCCTGGCCTTTGTGGTAACTCTTGTCAAGCTTTGCGCTGGCCTGAAGAATCTTCGCCCTGCACCCGGCGACATGGGGGTCTTGAAGCAAATCACACTTGGCACAGAACGGTGCTATCTCAACGACAGCTGGTCCCACCTGACCTTTGATCCAACGAGTAAGTCCTATCTCCTAAACCATGCCTTTTGATCTTTTATACTCATGCCATACCTTGTAGCATGGAAAGTCCACTTTGAAGGCCGCGGCAAGGGTGTCTACAAGCATCCCAAAACACCCGTTACTGCTGGTCGGGATTTAAATGCCTTGTCCAACTCACTTATCCAGCAACAGAAAGATTTCTTACTGGCAGCTACTAAGATTACAAACGGCCAAGGTACTGTACACTCTCTCAAGGATGATGTGCCTCTTGTTGCCGATGAGACCAACGGCGAACTTGACGGGGCGACTGACCTTGAGGGCGACTCTGATTCTGTGGTGCACCAGATCATCCCTGCTTTTGAGGATGAACAACATGAGACAACCAATACTGTGCATGAGGTTAGCTTCTCGTCTTTCAGCCACTCTTATGAGAGGGATCATGATAGAGACGTGAGTTATGGACTAACGCGGGGTCAGTAATTTTGGATGTGTTTGCTTTTATTTACCTTTGGTATTCGTGGTCTGTTCCTTTTTATCCCCAATTTGCAGATTACTCGTTATTCATTATTTAAAATATTCATGACTGTTCAGGCGCATCTGCAAGTAGAGACCACGAAAATGCTCATGTCAAATTGTGGTCGCATGTAACAAACAACTCTGTGACAGGGACCGTCTTTATCACGAAGTAATATTAGTAGCTGCATTAGCTGCAAAGGGTGAGATTTTCTCATTGGGTGAGGTCTTAACGCCCCGTCCGCCATACCGAGTAGTGGCTATTGGGTTCCGTTAGCTACATACAAATGTTTCACTTGAAGAGCGCTTCGCCAGGGGCGGATTATTTGTTAATGCAGACCCTCCCTCTAATAATATGTTTCTTGGTTCAATCGCATTTGGCAACTACCATGTTTGGCACATACTCAACTTTCCCTTGTTAATACACCCCGCCACACCAGCAGATCCTCGATAGGCAGCGATGCTCTACACCGAACATATCTCCCAATTATCCAAGATGGATGGATTGGAAGTTGTTCCCGGGTCCGAGATGGCGTCTGTGAAGAGCTATAGCGGACCCCAGGTGGTTCCTGAGACGGAAAAAGAAGTCAAGCCAACAAGAGGAGGATTACACTATGTTGAGCCGAATTATATTCCCCAGGTTAAGCCTGATTACGTTCCTCCCCTCGAAAAGAATAATAAAGTTGGCCCCCCACAAGGCCGAGACCACAAAAGGATATGTGGAGTGAGGTCTACAATATTCTGGCTGTTGTTGGTGATTGCGATATTGGTTGTTATCATTGCTGGTGTGGGTGGAGGCATAGGAGGATATTTTTTGAACAAGAATTCAAGGTAAGTTCTAAGTCGGTCATCCATTGATACGTACACAGCTAAGTATCACACAGGAACTCTGATTCATCGACACCCGCCTCCACGAATTCTATATTATCTCCAAAGACAACGGCATCCTCGGTGAGCACAACATCGTCAATTCCTGATCCAACCACCACTTCCACTGTATCGGAAACATCATCCGGCCCAGTCACATCGGGAACATCGGGAATAGCTTCAAATCCATGCCCCGGTCAGAACCTCACCACAATCACGGGCTCTAATGGTGCTATTTTCACACTGTTGTGTGCTGTGGACTGGCCGAGTGGTGACGGAGCAGCCAACGGCAAAGGAAAAGTAGGTGACTTAGATTTGTCAACAGAATATACATTGCCCTCTTGCATTTCACAATGCGTGGACTGGAACGCGGACAGTTCCAAGGCTGGGACATGCAAAGGAGTGGTGTATAGTGCCAATTTGACAGCTGCTTACGACGGAGGACAGGAGGGAAATTGCTTCTTGAAGGATCGAGTGGGCAAATATTTCCCCAATGCGGATACTTCAATGGCCGCAGGTCTATTGGGCTAAATGTGTACGATTATGATAATTTATGGCATATAAGCCTAAGAATAACAACCCATTCATTCCAAGTTCCTCGGTCGAACTTGGCAAGTGACATTCTTCGATCGATTGAACCATCCCTTGTGCACCTCCCATCGATCAACCAACATCTCGAAATTGAACTCTCGCAGGATGGTAGGGAGTAATTTATACATCTCAGTTTCGCTGACAGTCCGACCAAGGCACATCCGCGGTCCATGACCAAACTGTAGCATGGATTTCTCCATCTGTCGAACAGTTTCGGCGTCTTGAAGCCATCGCTCGGGGATCCATTCATGAGCATCTTCGCCAAAGGCCCGCTTATCCACCTGCACAGCAGCTGCAGTCATGAGGACTTCCACATCACCAGGGACAAAGGTACCACATAGCTGCACACCACCGGAGGGTACCTCCCGTGGGAATCCAGCTCCTGTTGAGGGATGTATTCTCATACTTTCCATCACAACAGCATGAAGGTATGGGAGCTTCCGCGCGGCACTGAAGCGCACCGGATTCTCCAGACGTCCTTGCTCAAATGCCGTATCAATCTCCTGTCGCAGCTTCGCCAACTTGGTGGGATGCTTGTGCAAGTGGTAGAATATGGCCGTCAAGGCTGTGGCAGTCGTATCACTGCCCGCCCAGATCACGGACCAGACCTCGACTACAACGTCTGAGAAGTTCCACTTGATGTTTTCACCTTTCTCGCGCACCATCTCCAGCAGACCGGAAAGCATATCAGTCTTAGGGTAGTCACCTCCTTCTTGCATCAACTTCCATCGCTCGCTGGCAGCCTTTTTAGCCTGCGTGACAGTATCCAGCATACCCACAATGCCATCTCGGGTGTGCTGAAATGCCAATTGAGAGAGCAGATATAGAGACTGGAAGCCCCGTGGCATATAAGTGATGGAAGCGCCCACATCGGGCATAACGCTCATGAGATAGCACCAGCGGTTATAGTCCTTCCCGTCACGGACCATGCCGAATCCACCCTCACGGCCGTGAAAGATCTCGCCCATCACATCAAATGTGTAACGCTCTAGCCAGACGCTCATATCCATGGATTCGCCAGACTCGGAAAGGTTCTTCATTTGCTGGCGGAACAAGCCAATCAGCCTGTCGATACAAGGCTCGTATTTGAGAACATTGCTCTGGGAATACATGGCACCGACCAACCGCCGTCTCTCGGCAGCCTTTGTCTCGTCCCGCTCAGAGAAGTTGTCCGTACGAGCATTCGGGATATGCATGTTAAATCCCTCGTAAAGACCACCCTTCCGCCACGTGCGACCATTCTTGGTCCCAAACACGGTCTCAATTGCGGCGGGATTTCCCACAGCAAGGTGGTTTGGACCTATGCGCACAAAGTCGCCATACTTTTCATGGAGTTCATGGTGGATATCGTTTGCTTTCCCGAGACGATACGTTTTGAACAGCCATAGCGAAGTAATTGAAGCCCAAAATGGACCAGGGAAATGACGTAGGGGGTGGAAATATCGGTTGTATATGACGACGGACAAAACATAGACCAGATATGCTGGTATTATGAACTGGATACCCAGCCGGAGTTTTTCGGTGGTTAGGCGAAGTGATATCATTTAGGGTTAAAGCTTGAAATGACAGCACACGTGCAAGGAGATATATTCAAGAGGAAAGATATGCGGAGGAGATGCGTGGGCCTAAATAAGTCCCACTATCACATCTATCACATAAGAACTAACTTATCACATAAGAAAGGGGAAGTTTCGGTTGCCTCTGGAAATGTCGATCAGTGGGGCTGAACCATTTGCGCTTTTGACGCGTCCAAAACATGAGGTAATCGCTTGAAGATCATTGGATGTCTCAATGACATGTATCTGGGCTCTGTTCCGATCACATCCACTTCCAACCTCCGGGTGCTTGTTATAGGAGAACGTACAATTTATAGTGGGCTCGAGTGCCCAGTAGCTCAAGCTTCATCTTGCAATTACTCAGATAGTATACTCGGACACTGAATTATATCATAATTAGTTTATTCCCAGAGTGTAAGCATCTCTCGTGCATCTCTTTATACTTGTACAACCTCAAATGTGATAACGTTATCAAAAAGTCAAGCATGTGTACAAGCATGAGCAGTTCTAAAGATCTTAGCCACAATGGAGAGACGAATAAGGGCACGGTTGCCCCACTGTATATGAACGTAGACGTGCATAGATATATTAACGTTAATCTTGTGATCGCAGTCAAGTTCTCTTAAATACAATAACGTTGCTCATTCAAAATGCGACCAGGGGGAGACAGGCTTCAACTAGATCGCCTGGTGTACCTCGGCCCCCGGGGCCAGGCTGCGCCCGCGTATTTCGATTTCAGGCGCGAACCCTGCATGCCCCTGAGTCTAACAGATTAGCGTATTATATACCGGCAGATTAAAGAATTATTCCACGTCATCAAGATCTCCTCAATAAAATTATGCGATCATATGGGTTAAAAGTATAAGGAAAAATCAGACGAGAAAATCCACGCTATTGACATGTAGTCCAAGGCGCACTCGCGACTGAGTCACAGTGGAGGAGCTCAACGCGGCCCCACGTCCTGAATCGGATCTTAGTACGGACGTTTACTTTCGTTTAACGTTAATACTAAATTCCTAGCGAAGTACATGTAAATGCTATAATGCCTACTTCTGATTGGCCGTTTTGGTTCTCTCGCTTGTTTCCCGTGTCACCTGCTGCGCTGAGCCTCATCCCTTCTTCATAGGGCTTAGACCCTGTACGATTGGCCATGCATTTAAGAAATTCTTCCCTTCCATCTCTTCCACTTCTCTAACTTTTCACTTGGATAGAAACTAGACACATTCATCATGTCTGACCGCAAGGAACCCACAGTGGCCACCCCAGTGGCCAGCCCGGCTGCGACTGGCCCAGCTCCTATTGATTCGGCACCAGAGACAACAGCAAGCACAACGGTACCAGCAGCTGATACTGTCACGGCCATCCCTGAGACAAGTCCTCCCCAATATGAACAGTATGTAACTCAATCAAGTTCGGGCATTCAAAACTAACGTACGTAGAAACCCCAGAGATGTGATCGCACCAGCACCAGCAGTGACCTCTAACACCGCAGACTACAACACACTGGGTCCTGTACCAGAGAAGATAGCACCGGCTGCAGTCACTCCGAATATTATCCCCCTCAATCAGTTGGGCGAGGCGCCAGGATACGTGAACTGTCCATTTTGCTTCCACAATGCCATGACTAGAGTCGACAAAACGAGCACCAGTTCCACATCGTAAGTCTAAAATTCATAAACTGCGCGTTTTGTTCTCGATACTAATCATTGACAGTATGGCTGCCGTTTGTTGTTGTCTCTTCGGTGGCATCATCTGCGCCTTTTTGCCCTACTGCATGGAGATGTGCCACGATTGCCACCACTTCTGTGGAAACTGCAACAACAAAATCGCAATCTTTCCAGATGAAGGCACAGTGCAGGTCTTCACGCCGGCCAACCCTGCCCCGGGTCAGGGTCAGGGTCCTGTCCACACAGCCCCCGCGCCCGTTGAACCTCCACAGGCACAGCCAGTCATGAAGAACTAGGGAATACGAGGCCTGAGTGCTACCGTATTCTTGAAGTTTCCTTTTGTTGTCTTTGCTATGTCCAAGCGGCCAATCGGCATTGATATATTTTGTTGCCCTTTGTGGCCATTCATGTTAAACCTGATACGAGACCGAAAAATACCCTTAATTTCATCGTGGTCAGTATGTCGGGGGTCGAGCAGCGTTCTTCCTGATATGCTACCTAGCCAATGCAAACTATTACATCTCCCCCATAGAACAGAGAGTGAGCCCAGATTGAACTCGAGGGTCGGAAAATAGAAAAACGGCCCCCAGCGGAGTACAAAACGCCTAACTCCAAGCTAGCCATGCTCGGGAGCCGCCCCGTGACCCCAACGAAAAGTTTGCCAGTTCGCCCTAACTAGCGACCCTTAGTACGCCTTGGTTTGCGTGTGCAAGGAACTCGTGGGAACTATTCTCGTTTTGGGAAGCTCAATACGAAGGGGTAAAGGTTCAATGTGAGTTGGGTGCCTTGGCAGACTTGGCATTGGGGCGGCGGCCAACGATGTGCGCCACTTGAAAGGACCCTAAAATGAACAGAAAAGTGTACTTTGCCTTGCGAAATTAGCCCAGGCCTTAGCATATTAACCATCATCCCCTGGCCCCCAATCTTCGCTTAGCACCAAATACATAGCCGTGTTGATACGGCCAGCTGTACGCAACACCCTTCTGCAAAGCAAGCTACCGATTATGAATATGTGCGGTTATTTTGTGCCAGAAAATATCTCAAATTGAAGATTTGATGAGATGATACGTGTTTCGAACCATGCGATAGAGACCTAGTTCGCGACTTAGCTCTACGGCCTACTAACAGCTTTGACTCCCGTTCAATGCTATGCAAGGTTACGCAACATACCTTGCTGTTGCTGGGGATATAAATGATGAAAGATTCGTCTGGTCATGTCGGATGTCTCGACATCCAAGTATTCAAGCACTGATCTGAGTCGCACAAGGAGATAGTGCTATGCAGGATGTAACTCGGCAAGCAATACTTTCGAGGCTTTCCGGCATCAATGACTGAACATCATTGAGTATAATGGTCTTGAATAACAGACAGGAAGAAACAACCCAGTGAACTATACACATGTAGACAAGTTGTGGCCTGAGGCAGAAACGACACAGGCTCCCGATTCGATGATACATGCATTGCCTGACAAAAACGCCCAATGGTACGTTTACTTCTCCACGTCATTGACTTGTCAGGCAATCAAGATGTTATCCTTATTATTAAAAAGCCGAAACATGACCTGGATTCCAGGTTTGCCCTCTTCTCTCACTTTTGCATCTCTCTCCAATTTCAGTGTAAATCTACATTCACCGGATCCCCGGAACAACATCACACAAGGTTTCCAAGGCCCTTGCATACTGTGAAACCATCTTTGTTCATTGGAGTTACACAGCATGGCACCAAATACAGGCGAGAAGAGTATCTCTGCTTATGGAGAAGCTCGCTCGACGGTGGAGGGAAAGCCTCTTGATGCCGAGGAGGTTCGGAAGATGAATGCTTACTTCCGTGCTAGCATGTACCTTTGCTTGGGCATGCTGTATCTTCGTGAGAATCCTCTTCTTACCGAACCTCTCAAACTGGAGCATCTCAAAGCTCGACTCTTGGGTCATTGGGGATCTGATGCCGGCCAATCGTTTACTTGGATTCATATGAACCGACTCATCAAGAAGTATGACCTTGATGTGCTCTTTGTTTCTGGCCCTGGACATGGCGCCCCTGGAATTATCTCGCAGTCTTATCTTGAGGGGGTCTACTCCGAGGTCTACCCTGACAAGGCCGAAGACAAGGAGGGCATGCAGAAGTTCTTCAAGCAATTCTCGTTCCCCGGTGGTATTGGAAGCCATGCAACTCCCGAGACACCTGGTAGTATCCATGAAGGTGGTGAGCTGGGATACTCGCTCTCGCATGCTTTTGGCTCAGTCTTCGACAACCCAAACCTCATCACTTTGACCATGGTGGGAGACGGCGAGTCAGAAACCGGCCCACTCGCCACCAGTTGGCACAGCACCAAGTTCCTGAACCCAATTGCTGACGGTGCGGTTCTTCCTGTACTCCATCTCAATGGATACAAGATCAACAACCCTACTGTTCTTGCACGAATCAGTCATGACGAGCTGACAGCCTTGCTCGTTGGCTACGGATGGAAGCCCTACTTTGTCGAGGGCAGCGAATTCGACACCATGCACCAAGCCATGGCAGCTACTCTCGAACAGTGTGTTTTGGAGATCAAGAAGCACCAGAAGCAAGCCCGAGAGACGAAGACGCCCTTCAGACCCCGCTGGCCAATGATCGTTCTCCGCACCCCCAAGGGATGGTCCGCTCCACGAGAGGTTGATGGCCACCTGCTTGAGGGCTTCTGGCGCGCGCATCAGATCCCCATCACCGATGTGCGCACTAACCCTCCTCATTTGAAATTGTTGGAGACCTGGATGAAGGGTTATAAGCCAGAAGAGCTTTTCGATAAGAATGGCACATTGATCCCAGAGCTCAAAGAGCTGGCACCCACTGGTAACTCCCGGATCAGTGCCAACCCAGTTGGCAACGGAGGTCTCTTGCGCCGACCTCTCAACATGCCTGATTTCCGGGAGTATGGATTCACGGACATTGTCCCAGGCTCCACCATCAAAGGAGGCATGGCAAACATGGCCAAGTTCCTCCGTGACCTAGTCGCCCAGAACATGAAATCTTTCCGACTCTTCGGTCCTGATGAGACTGAGTCGAACAAGCTTGCGGAGGTGTACAAATCTGGCAAAAAAGTCTGGATGGGCGATTACTTCGAAGAAGATAAAGATGGCGGTAACCTAGCGCCGGACGGTCGTGTGATGGAAATTCTCAGCGAACATACTTGCGAAGGGTGGCTAGAAGGCTACATTCTTTCTGGTCGACACGGTCTGCTGAACAGCTACGAGCCGTTCATCCACGTCATTGACTCGATGGTCAACCAGCACTGCAAATGGATTGAGAAATGTCTTGAAGTTGAATGGCGTGCCAAAATCGCCTCGCTGAACATTCTCATTACCGCCACCGTCTGGAGACAGGACCACAATGGCTTCACCCACCAGGACCCCGGTTTCCTCGACGTGGTCGCCAACAAGAGCCCGGAAGTAGTCCGCATCTACCTCCCACCCGATGGCAACACCCTCCTCTCAGTGATGGACCACTGTCTCCGCAGCGTGAACTATGTAAACGTCATTGTTGCCGACAAACAAGAGCACATCCAATTCCTTAACATGGACGAAGCAGTGGCACACTGCACAAAGGGTCTCGGAATCTGGGACTGGGCCAGTAACGACCAAAACTCCGAGCCCGACGTCGTAATTGCATCATGCGGCGATGTCTCAACCCACGAAGCCCTAGCTGCAACGGCCCTCCTTCGCGAGCACCTCCCCGATCTAAAAGTCCGCTTCGTCAACGTAGTAGACCTATTCAGACTGATCTCAACGCTCCACCATCCCCACGGCATGTCCGACAAAAAATGGAAAGCAATCTTCACCACAGACAAGCCAATCATCTTCAACTTCCACTCGTACCCGTGGCTCATCCACCGGCTCACATATAAGCGTCCCGGTCAACACAATCTGCATGTGCGCGGATACCGCGAGAAGGGCAATATCGACACGCCCTTCGAGCTCGCTATGCGCAACAACACGGATCGGTACAGTCTTGCTATTGATGCCATTGATTTGGTTCAGTCGCTTGGTAATACCGCTGCTGGTGTTAGAGAGAAGCTGATTAATGCGCAACTGGCGGGTAAGGAAGAGGCGTTCAATAATGGTCTTGATCCTGAGTATATTCGCAACTGGTCTTGGCCTTGGCCTAAGAAATAGATGGTGTCAGTTGGGAGTAGCTGTGATTTTCCTAGGCATATTTCCATAATAATGTATTTTAATGTTTTCCAAAAGGTTATTTTCTTGGCCTTCGACGACATTGCTTCTTCCTTGGCCATCTTTTACCATATTCTCCAAGCTATAGGAAGAGAGTAGCATATTTCTTTGGGGACAGCACAAGCTGCCCTGAATTTAGCATGCTACCATATCCATCCAAATCGGCATTTGATCTTGATTCGGTGTGATCGAATATTATCTTCCATACATCAGTTGCATGCCTTTTTTGGCCTTCAAGCTGCTCTGCGGCCACTCCCAGCGGAAACAAGACTGCCCTTTCTCCATCGCAGTTTGTCTAAATCGCGGACTCGTAGTCTAATTGGGTCACCATCCACAGTCTTGCCTAGCTCGAAGGGTACATTGTAGTCGGGCGCAGTTGGTAGGTCTGGCCATGTAAATCAGTTGGGTGCAGAGATATCGTGCAACTGACAGACAACACAATTCCATGGCAGCATACTTGTCATCTACACTATTGTGTGGGCTACTACAGTAATCCAAGTACGAAACGGAACCAGTCAATAGTCATAGTCATACATGAGTTAAAAAAACCAAAGAGCCATCATCACGCCAGCCCAATTTTCCTTTAAACGCACCAATAGAAAGATAAACCAAGAAGAGACATGCCGCCCAAGTTACTCACTGCGAGGAGCAGAGAGCAGGGGTAAAAAAGAAAGGAAGGGTAAAAAAGAGTCAAATAGAATGTCAGAAGAAGAGAAAAAGCGTCCAGTCAACTGCGTGAGGCTACCGGTATCAACTCTTCTATGTCTGCTACTCTTTTTATAACTCTTTGCCTTCTATGTCCACGTGGGTAGACGGAGTATGCGATTTTCATGCCCGAGACAAGAAAGAGATAGATTGGAAGTGAGAAAACGGTATCCTGGGAATTTGCTGGTTTTTATTGACAGCAGGTGTCCGCAACGAAACATATGGCCATACGCCTTGCACGATGCAGAAAGATGGGAATGGAAGCGGGAATAGCGGATTAAAGACGTGAAGACCACGCAGAAGTAGATGGCGTAAAGTAGGTCATGGATGTTCAGTAAGATAGTACATATCGTGTAATGAAGCGAGAACAGATGGCGGGGGACGGATCAGCCAAATCGACCGACGGGGATGTCGTGGCGATGAAGATCCTTGGACCACTCCGGTGCAATCTTGTCACGCTCGTACAGCAGGCCACAGTTGTGGCAGAGTGTCTGGAAGGAGAATTGTTAGACAGATCTCACTGCAAAATGTAAAGTGACAACTTACCCGAGGACCGTCTGGACCATCTCGTACAGCCCATACTGCAGTACCCCACACCATGCAGTTGTTGCATCGCCAGCTCTGTCGCTCCCTGCGGATAAATATTAGTAAATGGATTCCGATACACATGCGCCGAGACAACGTACCAGTCAGAAAGCGTTCCACCTCCGCCGCCATATCCAGCCCCTGATCCGGTGTCTGGAGTCCCACGACCACCAGGTGTGCCACTTCTGCCTGAAGGGCTCAAGCTGCGGAATCGGCGCTTCCGCTTATTCCGCTCACCGCGACCAAGAGGAGTCTCGCCGCTGTCGACTTCAAAGTAATTACCATTTTGCCTGGATGCATCAGGCGTGATACCTGTAGTTGAGGAGAATCTGGCAGTTTCCCGGCGGAGACGTCTGATCTGGCGCTCGCGATCACCTTCTCGCCGTTCAATCTCTTCTTTGGACAAAGTTTCGACCTTGGGGTCCCATTCGTCACAGAGAGTCTCTGGCTCGTATCTCCAGCCTGCCTCAACACCATTTGCCGCCAAGTTATCGATTTCATTCCCGTAGCCGTTCAGCCCAGTAACAAGAGTACCGCCTTCGCAGACTTCCTTCTTGAACTTCAAGACGGCTTCGTAAATGCCGTGCGCAATTGCACTGACCCATTCACCACCCAAGCTGAGGTCGGCGCAAGTGACGCGCGCAAATTCCTCGGCCATACCAGGTGGATGTAGTAGGGACCACTCAAACTTGTCCGTGTACAGCTTATTCTGCAAGTTGATGTTGAGATTGATCAAGCATCGGTAGGCATCATCTGGGTTCAAAAGACTGTCATTGACGAATGCAACCTTGGTGACAGTCACAGTAGTTCCATTGGCTGGAGCTGAGGTATCGGGGGTTGCAGGGTTGGGAGTTGCAAGGTTCGGTGTCCCAATATTGGGGGTTGCAATATTGGGTGTCCCAGCATTAACAGCCGCGGGCGTCATGGAGGCGTCTCGGGATGGTTCGGTCTGAGGCGGGGGTTTGGCAGTAAGCCTGGATCTGAGCTCTGGAAGAGCGGGTGAAGTGCGACTCCAGCGTATTCCTCCAGCTGCTGCCGAATCTGGTTGCTGATAGTCATAGTCGTGGCTTGCGGGTTGGGAAGATCGAGATCGCGAACGAATCCGATTGCAAACTCCTCAGGCGTAGAAAGAGATTCGTGGAGGTTCCAAAGGAAGGTGTCCTTGATTCTGAATGGGGGTAATGGGTCGGGTCTGCGGTATGCAGGAAGAGTCGGGTTGATGCTAGGATCCACGGTGGTGCGCGGGAAGGGGAAGGGCTCGAGGGGTTGATGCGCGGGGACTTCCACGTCGATTCGAATAGGAACAAGGGTGAGAGGGAGCTGCGCTTGGATCTGAAGTTGATCGGCACATCTAGAATCACCGCGCTATATGTTAGCCAAATGAACAGAAAGGCGAGACAGAGGTCATGACAGCGATGGCAAGATGAATCTTGTCAATGGGGAACATACGCTGGTCGCAGCATCCGCTTGATCATCCATTCTCGGAAGAGACCCTGTACTTCTACTGGCTCATGGACTTCTTTGCCCAACTTCTCAGAGTACGGAATCAACTTGTCGGCAGTTGATTCTTCGCGCCGAAGGCTTCTCAGACCCGTTGGTCGCCGTGGACCATCACTTTCATCAAAGTCTTCATCATCGAATCCATCCTCTGCGTAATTGATAGCTGTAGTCCCACGCTTCGTGGTGCGCGGCGTCGGGCCGGTCTGCGACGGAGGGTTGACGGGTGTGAGCAACGCGTTTCCATACTGGCGCACGCGCGGAGGGTAAGAGGTAATATAACCTCTGAGAGGGGACATGTTGGCGATTTAATTGCACGGGAACATGCCCCTTCGAGGGTTCAGTCGAGGAGAGGAGAGCTTGCGATGCTCGTGTTGGCGTTGGAAGGGCTGATCACCAAAGGCAGAATTGAGGTTGGTCCAAGCACAAAGAGTGGTGACAACGGCGACTTGGAGATTGCCAAATGAAAATGCAGCAATTCAGGCGAATCCCAATTCCACGCTCGGATTTAAAGACAGGATCGACTGGGAAGACTCGCCCTGAGATCAGTCTGCGCAAGTCGCGTTTTGCCCATTTCGACGCTAGTCCCATTTCCATATGTCACGTGATTGATGCCTTAGGCGACATTTATGCAGAAGATCAATAACCACATTCTTGGTCTTTGTTTACCTGGTACACGCCAATTGGGCCTGACGAACGGTTTTGATATAGGAGGGTGAAGCCAACATTGCTAATTTTTGATCCTTAACCATATTTTCAAAGGTTCATGGCCAAAATAACTACTGTATCCAAGAGTATCTCACCAATTTGAGTAGGAAAATCAATATACTGAAAGGAATAAAAACACCAAACTGCTACGTACGCCAGCCCTGCTGTCGGTGAGATAGGCTTGATCAGCGGGGTTGCAAAAACGTATAAAATGCAACCCTAGAAAAGAAAAGAAAAGACGAAACAAATTTCGAGGCGCGAGGCCGGGGAATGATAGTCGCAGTACAAATGCAAAAAAGAAAAGAAATATTCAGCGGAGGCCAATAACGCTCTGTAAACGTATTAGCTTTTAGATTGGGCGAATGCAATGAATGGATTGAAGTCTCACCATTTCCAAAGTCCATACACGTCGGATCCAGACCTTGACCTGTCCTTCGGCGCCCTCCACATCATCGAGCTCAATGCCCTCCCACCAGCATCGCCGAGCAGGCTTCCTCCAGAACAGAAGAAGCTTCTGGGCCATACCAACTGCATTGTTGTTGGACAAGTCTCCGCGGATGTCGGTGCGGAGCTTGGCAAGGGCGAGACTGCAGATAACTGCTTTGTTGGGCTCCGGGGCTCGGTGGCCCCATTGGTCCTCACGGTCGAATCCTCTGTATCGGATGTTAGAACCTGATCTTGTTGCTTAGCGCGTGGAGCACTTACCCGGCTGTCAACATCTCAATCAGATGCTGCTCGGTTGAACCAATCTCTTCGCTTTTCCTGAGTCCTGAGAAGATTCCGTCCTGTCTCAACAGCGATCGTCCAGCTGCTCGCTTGACTTCGAGCATTTCTTCATGTCCAATTTCAGGGCGCGGGGGGATGACATAAAAATCGAGATCCTCGCGAAGCACGATGATACCGGCGCGATCCTGGAGCATGTCACGGGCTGAACCTTGTATGGCATCAGGCATCTCCATCTCCGGCGAAGTAGAGCCAGATGGCAATGACGAGGGGATGGTTTGAGCAACTGTGCGGAAGAAGTCCAACATATACTGGAGCGAAGCCGGGTCGTACTGTATGATAGCTGTCAGAAGTCTGGCATTTATTTCCAATATGTAGGTCCACGTACATCGACGGCATAGACATCACTGTCATGGAATCCGTTTGTAGTGGCATGTCCATCCGGAAGTAGGCCGTTAGGGAAAAGAGACAATAGAACGAATTCCGGCAGGGTTAGCAATTCGTCCCGCGAAAGAGTAAACCGGGTGCCACTATACACTGATTAAAAATAAAGAAATCAAATGGGTCATGTTGCAACAAGTCCTTACCGAAGGTCAAGCGTGATATGCTCATCACCGCCAATATCTGTCTTGCTAATTAGCAACAGATAGCAAGCTCCAACAACTTTGCGCCAAATACATACCTCCCAGAGTATTGATCGGTGGACCTCCCGTTTGCTGCACCTGGGTAATGATGCTTGAAGCACCTCCTGCAGCAGCCATAACGTAGGTGAATGACTCGAGTGGACTGTAACCTTCTTCGTAGGGTGGAGGCGGTTCGCTGTCGTCGGAACACTTTCCGGAGCCCTCGTTTTTGGGTTCGGAGAAGGAAGCTTTTGTATCAGCAACAACCGCCGACGAAGGGGCCGGTTCGAGCGGCGCCTCGACTGGTGGCGGAGGTGCTACGGCTGGGTGACAGGCGGGACCAGGTTCGGTGACTTTGCTCGCGCGATTGGGGTCGGGCGAAGTAGCAAAGAAAAGGGATGAAAAGGGCGGTGGGTTGGGAGATGAGGAGCTTGAGGCAGACGCTGCTGGAGAGTGCGGCGGGGGTGTGATGTAGTAGTCGTCGTGCTCCTCTGGGGAGTTCGCTGGCGGGTGCGGGCACGCCGTGTTTGATGAATGGGACGGCGGCGTTTCTCGCGACACCGTGCTTTATTTTGCCTGAAGCGACTCAGGCGTCACGGTTTGAATAACCCAAAATGATTATTGGGTCCTCTCGCGGTCTGGTCTGAGGTGAACACGCCCAAGACGATGTTAAGGAGTTGCGATGTCTGCCGTTTCTCGCACTAGCGCACAGAGACCCACACAATCTCTATACCAAAACAATCGAGATAATTATATCGCTTGGTGGACTTCGTCGTGGTTTAGGAATGTCAAAGGAGTTACGGAGTAGAGAGGTGAGAGCGCTTAGAGGTTGGGGAAGCGTAGATCGACTCGGCGGTAAGTCCGAGCGCCTCACTAGCCGTCACAAACTTGGCGGTCCAAACTACAAAACACGGAGGTGTTGGCGATATATGTTTGATTGCGAGTGTATTGTTGATATTATGGCTGCCGAGTAAAAGAGCATTTCAGCCATGAAAGTTGCAGCTGTACGGAGCACACGATATATATATGTTCTTCTATCTACTTATGCTATCAATTTTCATACAACCACCATACAGCAAATGGTAGTCGTCTTGTCTGAGCAGATTTATTCCAAAGATTACAATGGCTAGGGTGATGCTCAACATGGGAGACAAGTATGTATTGGTCTCATTTTTACTTAGATGCTTAGAATGCCTGACTCAGACTTTGCGTTCAGCAAAGCTCTGGATCAGACCCTCAAGAGTTGGCTCATACTCCTTCAGTGTGACTTGATCACCCTCCAGGATAGTGTTGGCCTGAACAAAGATCTTACGAGGGACCTTGTTCTTAAGAACAACATCCCGCACCTTAGTTCCCCACCAGCTATCAACAGACGTGATATCATCATACAATCCCTTACCAGCGGCAATGTCTGCGGTGCTCTTGTATACGTGCAGTTTCTGGAGGTATTTCTCGACAGCGGGACGCCCATGAGTCAGAATCTTAGACCGATCGAGGCGTATCTCTAGGTCGGACAGATCCTCCTTGCTGTAAGAAAGCTTGACGAATTCATCACCGGCTTTGAGGAAGGTGCGCAGGATACTGTAACGGGCCTGCATGTGAGCCTGGCCCCATTTCTGGGTCTTGGGATCCCAGAACTCGAGGGCAACAAGACCGGCACGGGCCATGGACAAGTATGCTGCGAACAGAACGTCACCGGCTTCACTGTACAAGTCCTCCTTGCCATCGCCGAATCCGAAGATCTTCAGAATGCTAAAGTCGCAGCCCAGAGCCATGGCGACACACTCAGCACGACACTCTTCATATGATGAGGCAATAGAGCCAAAGACGGAGCTCCATGTTTGTCCAGGCTTGTACCAGGTTGACACAGGCTTATTGGTAACTGGGTTGATGGGAGGGTCCTTAATATCAAAGTTATACTCCCCAGGCGCTGTCTCCTGGAGGAGCTTGCCAGTACCGTGGCCCAAAAGTTCGTGAATGCCTACTTGCACTTCGAATGCGGGATCGCGGCATCTGCGGTAGACATCCAGGTCGGCCTCACTAATGAAAGGAATAGGCTCGTTAGGAGCTTTGGCGCTCAGGACATTGCCCAGGGACACGTTCTTGAAGCCAAGGTTCTGACGGATATCATCATAGTTGGGGAGGTTGATACCGGCCGGGAGGCCAGAGCAGGCAAAGCTCAAGACTTCCAATGATGTGAAATCAGGGCTGAGGAAAGTGTCCTTCTCAAAGTCCTTGCCCCAGGGAAGCTTAGGTATCATGCTCTCAGCACTATCTACAAGCGCACCAAAGGCACGAGTTCGCTCCAAATTGACCTTCGAAGAGTTAGTCAAATGAGTGAACAGTGGCGGATGCGAGTCATACCAAAGCGACAAAACCCTCCCATTCACCTCGCACACCGTGAGGGTCTCTGTAGGTCTCAACGAATCCAAGGTTGGTTTCCAGAGCAGGCTTTTGGTCCTTCACCCAGATACGCTGGCTCTCTTTGAAAGCCTCAATAGATCCAGCACCGAAGGACAGAGCATAGGAGTCCAACATCCGCTTTTGGTTAACATTTGCAGCGTTCAAACCGGCCTTCTTGACACTGTGGGCAATCTTCGCCATCTCTTCCTGGTGGTCACCAAAGACGAGACGCAGGTTCTTGCCTTTCAGATCGCCCTCAAGGTCAAAAGTCTCCACCTCGCCAAGGTCACGGTCCTTAGCAGGAGGAGATGACACGCCGGAGGCGATCAAGAGCTCAAAATCACCAGAGGGTGTCTTGCGAATTCTGGTGTTCTCCAACGCCAGACCCTTCTTCTCCATCAAGTCACCGATTGCCGTGATTTCGCCCTTCGAGATTGTGGGTGAATCGGGGTAGTAGGTGGTCATGTGGCCACCGTCAGGGTATCCAAGGTGCATCATGGACTGTTCACTGGTCTCATAGATACCCCCTCCAGTGCTGTTTGCCTTCTGGAAAGCCGCCATGGTCTCCGGGGTGGACGATGCCAGAGCCTCGAGCGCGGATGCTGGGATCCGAGGGATAAACTTGGAGTCACCGAATCCTTTGTAGTTCCCGCAGTTGCCCAGGAATTGTCCTGCATATTCGAGGAAGAAACGGAGATCGTCGGTGCTCACTTGTGTTTTCTGGGCGAGGCTGTCCCAGTCACCATTGGAAGCGTGATAGAGGGAGAGAATGAGGTCATAGATGGGCTCGGATTCGGGAGAGACTTGACGCAGAGTGACACGGGTGCCCTCAAATGCAGCCCTGTTCAAATTGAAGATCACGCATTAGCTCGTGACAACCAACTCTAGCTGGGTGGGCTGCAGGGAAGTGCCTGGGACAGCGTACCTGCTCATGAAGTGCGCATATTTTCTGAGCTTTTGGTCCTTGAGGGTCTCAAAGTGAGACCTCACCTCCAATCTGACAACTGTAGGCGGCGAATCAGCCAAGTAATGCTGCTTAATGCTGTCATCCATGGCGGCACGGGAATGAGAATGTGAAGAGAATGTTGGAAATCGGGAAGGTGAGAGGCGGAGGGGTAAAGGTGACACGAAGCGCCGGGACAAGGGCACAATGCCACGCATCGAGTGCATGAGGGGCTTGAAGTGGTAGCTATGACATAGCAGAGTCACCAATCAGGTACGTGTCTCTCTCGCGCCGACCGGGGTCCGATCTGCATGGCTTGGCAGGCCCACAGTGGAATTCATAGTTAGGTTACAGTTAGTTACAATATTTTTGAATTTGACTGTTCACTATGCAATATTTGACAGATCCTCGGCTATATCAGACTCTCATATTTGTCCAGCCCTTGCTTTTGACTTCCCTGAGTCGTCGGTGTGCTCTGGAACGATGCTGATCGCATCGTTGTGTTCAATGGAGGAGACCTCATGGTGTTGTTGGTTCCCATGTTCCCTGCAGGAGGAGGGGGTATCGAGAATGCAGAGTAGTTGGGTGCTTGCTGGGCCATCGGCCTGGATATGGGGTTTGAGGGTGCCATGATCGACACAGAAGCCAACGACGGACCTCCGCCAATCTGGGGTTGAGGACTAGTAGGTGATCCCCAGATGGATGATGAAGGTTGCATTGCAGGGAACGCTTGAGAGACTGGAGAGGTTTGTCGTGCAGGCTCGAGAGTCGGGAAAGTGCTCAATTTCTGATCCGGAGTGATGGAGCGGAAACCAAGGTTAGACTGTTGGCTCAAAGAACCTGCTTGGGTTGGTTTGCCAGTATTGTTTGAGGACCATGCGAATGAAGATGACATGCTTGGAGGAGCTGGTTTGGCTGGCTCAGGCTCCATGCTGCCCCACATATCCATATCACCATTTGTTGGCGAAGCTTTCTTTCCAAGAACGAGGCGCTCGAAGTTGTTCCGAGCTCCATCTGTCTCAGACGAAGTAAGATCGGTAGCAGATTGCGAGAATCGGTCGACGCCGTCCTTGAACCCACTAGATTCAGCACCGGAGGAAAGTTCTTGCAGCTTTTTGGTTTGTTCTTGTTCAATCCTAGTGGAAAGGGATTTAATCAATGCCATGAAATCGTTGAACTGAGGGAGAGTTAACAGCGGCCCAAGACTGAAACTCCATAGAACCGGAAGCACTTCCAGGGCTAAGAAATCAGTGTCTGCGACAGTTCCAACTTGACGGAAGACCTTGAGTGCAGCCATCATCACCGAAGGCTCTTTTGTTTTGATCGCCTTTAGAGACGGAACAAGCTTTTCTTGAATAGTGTACTTGTCCAAGATAGAAGATTTGGCTGTTTTCGACTTGCTCGTCTGGATCCCAGAAAGATCATCGTCAAGCCCATTAGAATCACCCGGAGAGGCACCGCACAACACACTGAAAGCTTCCAGACTGCGAACCTTGATGGCAAGACTGCTAGTTTTGCTGAAAGTGCTAGCAATGGGAGGGAACACCTCATTCTTGACCGTACTAAAGTCGAGAACTGGGAGCACCACGGGGAGACATTTGATCGCAGCATCCACCAGGGAGTGCGTAGGCGAATCCAGGCCAAGGCGGATCAGAGGTAGAATATCTAGCAAAAGGTCAGATGCGGGGACGAGTGTATGGATCCGGACGACTCACCGTCTTTGAATTCCATGCCGGAACAATTGTCGGCAATAAGCTTCATATTTTCAAGCACAACCATAAGACCGGCATCCTTTTTGGAGTCTCGTTCAGTCTTGCCCGAATCAGTTCCGAAAACCTCCTTCAGACGAGGAATGATCTTTTCAGGGAATACACGGCGTCCATTCGGAATTCGCTGCAGAATGCCAAACACATTCTGTAAAATTAGAGGGAGTAATTCTCGATCCTTCAGCTCGTCCATTAGTGCCCCCAATATTTTTCTTTCTAGCACGGAGACAGGGAATTCAGGCAGTACTCGCTGCAGGCCACGCAAGAACTGAGACTTTTCATTTGGGTTTTTGGCTGGCAAAGATTCCAGAAACCGAATCGTCGAAACCAACACATTGTCGAAGTACTGAGATTGCTGGAATTCTCGAGCATTCATGCGCTGAGCAGGCCTCCTCGTAATGAGCCTTGGTAGAACATAAGACAGCACATCTTTAGGAATTGGTTTTGAGCACAGGAAGTTGTTGCCCTGGGATGGAGTAGAAGATGGAGAGCTCAGCAGCTTCTTATATGTAGTCAAGTTCGCGTTCGTTTGTAGAGGCGAGACATGCGGCGAGTTGTACAGAGCGATAATAATGAGACCCAGAGAGAAGAGATCGGCAGCTGAAGATACATTTGAGTCCAGGGCAAAGTCAGGCGATGTGTAATCAATGTTCAATTGGACCGAAGCAGGGAGCCTTGGATCTTGATAGAGAACCTCGGATACAGCTAATGGCGGCAATGGCGACTTAGTTTCCGAAGAGTCCGGTGGCCCTGCAAATCCCAAACCAGAGATTTTCCAATCTGATTTGGCATTGATATAGATAGCCTCTGGGTTCAGGTTTCCATGCACCAAGCCCGCGGACTCGTGAAGGAATTCGAGACCCTTTGCCACTTGCAGTAGTCCCTTTTGGATTTCCAGTTCATCAATTTCCACGTCTCTTCTTCTCCGGGTTCCGTCTGCCTCCTCAACCATGTAGCGGGTTGTTCGCGAACCGCCTCGTGATGTGTTCTCTTGATCATCCTTCTCCAGAAGCAGCCCAGAGAGTGATGCTGTGAGATGCTCCGTCGCAAACATAAGGCCACCATTTCGTGTATCTTCCACCGGCTCAAGCACCTGGAGAACAGACGGATGTCGTAGGCGGGCAAGATTACTCGCTTCGCGTTTGAGTCGTTCGATCACATCTTCCTGGAGCTTCTTGGAGGATCCAGAACTTCTCCCAAATCCACCAGAACGCGACTCAAGTGACTTGCGATCAAATATGAATACTGATGCGGGAGTTCCTGTGGACTTTTTCTTTGCGTCGTGGATTTTCCAGGGGCCGGAGTAAACGGTGGGGTTGGGTGAAATCTGGTAATTGGCGGAGATGTTGGAGCTGAACGACTTGAGCGCGGAGGAAAACATTGTGGAACTGCAGGCGCAAATTGATCTGCTATGGGGCAGAACAAGCGAAGGCAAAGGCTCGTTTCACAGTGTCGTCACAGAGAGTCAGCACAAGACATGACTTCGTATCAACACGGTAGCATCGAATGGGGGGATTGGAAAGACAGGTGGACCCGCTAATGCCTGACTACGAACGGATAGCAATGTCAACTTGAGGCTTCACAGCTCTGCCCGGGTCACCAAAATGATCACAATGGTTTGTTATCGTCTGGCGTATCGCGACCGCAGTCACGTGTATAGTCTGCCTCAGGCGCGAGCTACCGACACAAGCCGAAGTCGGCGGGTCGATCTAGTTTGGAGCTTCTTATTGGCCAAACCTGCAGCTGAAGAGCTGAGTCATTGCTGTTTTGCGGGGCGGTGAGCCAAATTAACCCGCTTGGGGCCGAGTCGGAGTTGTCGCTGAGCTCCGCAGAGCGACTCATTTCTAGTGCGGAGTCATCTTGGTCCAGATATAAAGACCAGTGACCTGTGCGCAGTCTACGGTATGTCGATATCCCCTCTTAAGTGACTCAATTGTCATCTCCAATCTCCACTCAGTTCCTGGCTGGCCCTTGAATTGTACCTGACATTGCCACAGTCATGAAGTCGTTCCAATTAGCTCGCCGACAGGCGCTGACCGGGCTTGCTATGCCCCGCGCCCTCTCCTCGCAGAACATTAACACCAGCCGGACATGGCAGCGAGCTTTCAGCGCCTCCGCGGCCGCTGCCTCTCAGCTTCCCGGCCTCGACCCTTCGAAGTTAACCGTCACCAAGACCACCACACCCAAAGAGCTTATGGACTCCAAGGACCTTGTCTTTGGCAAGAATTTTACGGGTGAGAGCGTTTTGATGAGCAATTGATCTATGTGTGCTGACTGGAGTCTTCCATAGATCACATGCTCTCCGTGGAGTGGACAGCTACCGACGGATGGCACACACCTCGCATTATCCCCTACCAGAACCTTAGCTTGGACCCCTCAACCTGTGTGTTCCACTATGCATTTGAATGCTTCGAAGGAATGAAGGCATACAAGGACGACAACGGTGGTATTCGTCTGTTTCGCCCTAACAAGAACATGGAACGTCTGAACAAGTCTTCTGCGCGTATTGCCCTCCCTACCGTGGACGGCGATGCGTTGACTAAGATTATCGGAGAGTTCGTGAAGTTGGATAGCCGATTCATCCCTGCGTGAGTGCATCTTTTCTGCTCAGATAGATGTTTTTGCTAACCGTTACAGCGAGCGTGGTTACTCCTTGTACCTCCGCCCTACCATGATTGGTACCCAGAAGACTCTGGGCGTGGGTCCCCCAGGATCCGCCCTTCTCTTCGTTATTGCCAGTCCTGTTGGGCCTTACTACCCCACTGGCTTCAAGGCCATCTCACTGGAAGCCACTGACTACGCCGTCCGTGCCTGGCCCGGCGGCGTTGGTGACAAGAAGCTTGGTGCCAACTATGCCCCCTGCATTTTGCCCCAGCTCGAGGCTGCATCCCGTGGCTTCCAGCAGAACCTGTGGCTCTTCGGCGAGGAGGAATATGTGACCGAGGTCGGCACTATGAACCTCTTCATTGCCCTGAAGAACAAGGAGACCGGCCAGAAGGAGCTTATCACTGCTCCTCTTGATGGTACCATTCTGGAGGGTGTCACTCGCGACTCTGTCCTGACTCTTGCACGTGAGAGACTGGGCCCTAAGGGCTGGAACATCTCCGAGCGCAAGATCAAGATGTCCGAGGTTGCTGAGGCTTCCGAGGAAGGTCGCATGATCGAAGTGTTTGGTGCAGGCACTGCTGCTATTGTCAGCCCTGTCCGCAATATCAGCTACAGAGGCAAGATGGTTGAGTGTGGTCTGAAAGAGGACCAGGAGGCTGGTGAGATTGCTCTCCAGATGAAGAACTGGATCGAGGGTATCCAGTATGGTGACGAGCAGAACCCCTGGAGGTAAGTTGACAAGGAAACGATTCTATTCAAGCTGGATGATTTACTGACTGTTCGATAGTGTCGTGATCTAAGACGGATATGTTGGATAAAAGGGCTTCTTTACCCGGTTTTAGTTCTACTATGGCGGAAGCTTTCAAAAGTCCTTTGCCCAGAATATTTCTTTTCTTTTCTTTTCTTTTTTGTGGTTCAATTTGCTTGGAGACTTTCAAAGTGCCATGCTACTGAGCAGCGGGCATCTTTACATATTCATCTGGAGCCTGGTTCTTTATAAAGAGATCTTCCGTTACTATTATTGTTATATTATTATTTTTTCGGTTTGCTATTCAAGTCGTCAATGTTGTAGAGATATCTTTGTGAAGATACCGTTCCAATTGTAAGGAGTCGGTCTTAGTTTTAGAACATAGGAAAAGATCAGAGGAATTTTAACATGGATTGAAATGTCTTGACTAGGCAAGCATTTACGCCCAAGCCTCGGTGAAACCCCTCCCTTGCAAACATGGAATGTGATATCGGTAGTTGTCCGTTCATTCCCTAAACTCGACGTGATCAGATGCCAATTCTTTCTTTAATCCGTGGGGAATATCATCGGCTTCAATATCGATTGCAATGAGATCAAGGCCTGCCATTTGTCTAGCCTTTGCCTCGTTGACAGCCATTCGTGCTCTAGGAACAACACTCCACTGGAAAGACCTTTGTAGGAATGTCTCCTCTGAAGCAATTTCCTGATCGCGAGCTTCGTCTGGGAGGAATAACAGTTCAACTGATTCCAAGTTGAGATATGAAGTCTCCGGGTATAAACACCACACGATTAATGCAGTGACGAGGTTGAAGACCGCGAAGATAATGTATGTTTTATAGCCAATATTTTCTAGAGCCGGGGGTGCAATTTTGACGACCTGTGGCGAGTCAGAACGATTTACTACAGTACGTCGAAAAGAAAGAAAGAATATACTCACCAGAAAGTTTCCAAGGAAGTCCGCTGCAGCTGCGAGCGCAGATCCCTTTGAACGAATCTTTAGAGGGAGGATTTCCGCTGGGTAGGTATACCCATACTGTAGCCATCCAACCTGTGATATGCACCAATTAAAATAGGGAGAGAAAGTGAGATATTCAAGCGATTGGGCTTACCCCGTGTAAAGCAAGCTTCAAACGCAAAGATGAAGAAGACAGCAGCAATAGCAGGCCGTTGATTATTGGCCGCTACTGTTGCAGCCTCACAGATCAACACAACACACATCCCAAGTGACATGCTAATGTATAGCCGCCGACGACCAACTGCATCGATCATATGCCACTGCGAAGATCAGAAATATATACCAAGGGACTGAGAAGCACAACAAACCGTCAAAAACGAAGCTATGATATACCACACCTGGAGAAAGCAGCTGACAAAAAGTCCCCGCTCTTGTGTCATGTTTAAAGAGCTCTTTAGCAAGGTGGGAGCATAGTAAGTCACAATGTTGATTCCTGTTTGATCAGGGAGAGTTCGTACCCAGTCCGAGCATGAAATCTCACCAGAAGTCTGCTGCATGAATTGGATTCCAACTGCCAAGAAGAACCGCTTGTTTGCTGGACAACCTCCATCTGAGAAACGTGACTTCCAAGGCCCTTCCTCTTCAGCTTCGATATTGATTGCGGAGAGAATCTCGTTCTTCTCCTTTTGCACCATTCGATCGTCAGTTGGTTTATCACGCAGCTTTGACAAGACATAGGTTCCTTCCCTGGCGTTGCCTCGTGCAACATAAGCCAGCGTGGTGTGTCTGGTAGGAAGCGTGCAAAGGCGAGAATATAAATCGCAAAGACAGCTTGAAACGGAATAGGGAACCGCCATTGCACAGCCCCGGGGTGAAAGTAGAAGCCGTAGCTGACCCAATAGGCCAGCATTAATCCGAACAACATTGTTGATAGTTGGCATGATAAATGCCATCCACGTTGACTGGGTAAACAGATCTCGCTTTGGTATACAGGGGCGATGGGAGTGAGAAATCCGATACTTATAAAATGAGATACCATAAATATTAGAGCATGCTTAAAGCCCTTGTGCTCATAGAATTTGACCTACCTAAGCCAGTCACGATTCTACCAACTATCATCTGAATCCTCTCCACGCAACAACCCATTAGTATAGCACCTATAACAATGAGAGCTGCCCCGGTAAGTAGCCCGCGCTTTCGTCTAAACCTTTCAACCGTCAAAGCAGCACCAATGGCTCCAAATACTGCGCCAATATCATATAGAGCAGTGATAGTGTCCGTCATAACAGTGCTAGGGTGTCCCATGGCCTCGAGCCAATACTCGTAGATTACAACCCCAGAAATGACACCTCGGTCATAGCCAAAAAGCAAAAATGACGGAGCACACACTGATGTAATAGATGCCACCAGCCGAGCACCTTTTAGGGCACTCAGCCCCGTCCTGTCGGTCATAACGAGCACTCGAGTATTATCTCGTTGGAAAGCGTGTCATAGGTGGGATAAAACCAAGAGAAAAAGCAGCACGGGGCAGTTCCTTCCTCTATGAATAGACGTAGGGTACTGTATTTTATACGTGGACTAGTGGACCATTTCAATCAGGCCGTGTGCTCAAGTAGGAGGCATTTGCCATCGACATACGTGGAGGTGGATCCGTAGAATATGGGGGATGCTTACATTCGTCCATCGAGATTGCACTTGTACTGGATTTGGACAATAGACCGAATATCAAGCATTAACCAAGCTTCGCGGACTATAGTTAGACTGGATTGGGCCCTGGTTTGCTTGCCGATCATCTACTCCCTCGCTTTACCGGTCAAGCATCCCGCCATCTTTGCGAGACACCCTTATTCGACGTATTCTTTAGGCGGTTGTACTTTCTCCGCATGAGAAAAGTACTGCTTTTGAGATATTTCTGAGGTTATCTTAACATTCATCGCTTATGTGTTGTGTTTCAATAACAGGAAACTTGTGCAGGGTTGTAGTACCGAAGTATAGCCGTACCCGAGGATATCAAAAAGATCCACCTCCTACTTTCTTGGACAACTGGAAGCTTTATACTGCAGAAAGTTGATCAGCGCAAATCATACAATTTAGCCTTGTGTGCCACCGGAGTCGAATGACTTACATGACAGACACTACTGTATGACTTGCGCTGATCAACTTTCTGCGGTATCACTTGTTGTTTTCTCTTCAGAGCCACGGACTTCATCCGAGGCCAGGGTAATTGCCTCATTCCGAATAACCGAGATAAGACTTAACATTGAAGATATGTTTAGCTGTGTCGGAAACTAGCCGATATGGAAATATGCTCAAACAATCATACTCTCTTATAAACGTGGTATGTCTGTGCCCCAGGAATTGAATCCCATAACAATCTCTAATATCAAAAAGGAACGGGTATATGCTATCAGCTCACAAACTATCTTTACGTGAAATACCGGTTCTCTCAAGGTATTAAAAGCAGTATCATCTCACTGTAGCACCACTTATTTTTGGTAACAAAAATTTCGGATCCTGTAGATGTTTGACAATTGGGGGCTCCAAGATCTTATTACATATCGTTCGTAGAATGTATCTTGTGATGATTATTATGTCTTCTCAGTGAGGTTATACGGGAAAGATATCTTCCAGAGTACCAGCCAAGCTTTCATGAACTTCAAGTTTGACTTCGATCGTGCCTACTTTGCTTGGCAGAGCTGAGGTGCAAGACTCGAATGTAAGCACCCGAGAGAATGACAGCCTCAAAGAATTTAGGACTAACCCACCCGCTGTGACCATAGAAGTAGAGTAACTATCGAGTTGTAGACTAGGCAAAATTCCGCCCAGCTGAAAGCCCGCCTATCTATGTCTAGAATCGCATCACATTAGCTGGTGGTCTTTGTTTGGATAGCCGAGTATGTATCATGAATCCATGACCGGAGAGTGAAGCTCTCGATTCAGCTGCCACCATAACTAGTCTGGTGAAACCGATGCCTCGTGATGTTCTCGTTGCAGAATTGAAACAAGGTATTATCCTTGCATGCAAAGTATGAACAAGCTGGCAACCATATTTGCCTCTCTGTATTACGCACCAACGGACCATATCCGTGATTAAGATAGAAATAAGAAGTTTACTCCAATTAAACAATATGGACTTCAATTCAACCAATTATCGAAGGCAAACTGGGTAAAAGCGCATGTCTCAACATGAAAGACACTCCCCAGCTACACCCCCAAAGCAGACCTCGGGCTGACAATCCAAAGCATTGTTGTCAAATTCTACGTTTGGACCTTGCACAAACACAGTGCTGACAACCCCAGCCACCCGTACGGCCCCACCAGTCTCCCAGGGAAGCTGCATCAATACTGGGCCCCCTATCCATCTATAGAGAGACAAGGACCTTAACCTGGAAATGAGCCATGGTGGCTAAATACAATCTATACAAAGCGCCAACTCGCGTAACGGCTCAATTGATAGGCCAGCCCAGAACAACCCCGATAACTGGATATTAAGAACAACCAAAATAGCAACTGAAGATCCCTGCCTGCAACTAAGCCCAAAATAAGGTAAGATAGGCGACATGCAGCAGGTGGAGCACGTGGAGACGGCTAAACCCAGATGCGACAATAGAAGCGAAACCAAAACCGCACTGCAAAGGAACAAAAGGACAACGAGGAATGACGCGACCGGTTTTTGTCTCCCCGAATCACTAGGTTTCAGGCTGGCTCCGTACGCTCTTGGCTGCAGATCTAATGGCAGAATTTATGATGATCGCCGGGGTACAGCAGGCGTTTCATGATGTTCCGCATGGATAGAAGAATGGGGGCCGGGGGATGGTGTGTTTGGTAATCTCATAGGTCAAGTTGATCGATATAGTGCTTTCGAGGTTGCAATGCACGGAAGAGTGGGTTTCTAATTCTATACTCCTATAATCCTATCCATGCTTTGACACGGGCAAAAATCGGCGGGAGGCCATGCGGTAGAATGTCAGCTTCTTATCTTAGATACTCCGGAGAGTGTCTGTGTCTATAGATAGGTTTGTTCCCTTTAACGTTTACAGGAATTAAGTGCCGAGTGATTCTGTTCTCGTGATACCTGAGGAAGAGCACACACTAACCTTGTCCGTTTTGCAGACTCATTCAAGGTTGGATCCTGCTTTGACTTCGATTCGGATATTGTCTTGTTTGGTACTCCTTCCAGCTCTGGGCGCCTTGTCCAGGCTGTGTGATTCATTTAGGTGCACCGATGGGGGTATCGGATGGAGTTGGCGTCGCCAGGAGGCTTTTATCCGCTTCCCACTCGGTCTATTTGAAGTTTAGTGTAACTTCAATGCACTGTCTGCAAGAGCGACAACGTGTTAGCACAACCCAAGAGGCCCGGAGATTGCCGTCATCGATTTGCTGTGACACCGGGATCGAAGCGAGAAAAGCAAAGGAGGAAAACAGACAAGCCCAAACAATGACACCATTGCGCTCCGACTGCAGATGCGTGTCATGGGGGGAAAGGAGGTGTGTGTGTTCTCCGAGCATAACAAGGGCTGTGGCTGCATGGTAGGTCCACCGCCAGGAACATTCTTCTAGATTGTTACTAGAAGGCTCAAAATGCAACTCCAACCAAGCATCCGGGGTCAAGCGTGGACGATGAGTGGTGAGAATCCCTGCATCAGGCAGACTGGGCACAGGGATGGCTGTGCAATCTTGAAATTCCAGCTGGAGACGTGGACAGCATGAGCGGTGAAAGGACTAGAGAGACATCATTGTACCGGGTACCTGAAAGCTGCTGTGCCTCATCTAGAGTGACACCGTCCAGCGATGCCTCCGAATTAACTCGAACAGGAATAAGAAAGGTCCATCGGTCAGGATGGACAGCCCTACCGCGGGGAGAATACGAGACTATAGCGACGCACTGGTAGACGAGGTAACCAACAAAACAGAGGAGCCTCACACGCGGATTGGTGGACCACCATACCATGTAAGGCGTCCTATTCATAGCCTAGTCTGTCTCACCTTGGGAAGAGCCTCCTCAGCGTGTTCGTTGGCCCCCTCATTTCCTACCGGGCCTGTCGGGGCCGACAGAATGCGCTTTGGGGTCGGCGTCAAGCCTCCGGATAGCCCGAGCGCGACAAATGATCATCTTAGGAAACGGGTGTGGATCCTCCGCAAGGTATACCTTCTTAGGTATCCGGGATGTCTGCCAATTAGGCAACCAGAGCACGCGCGGACAATAAAAGAATAAATAAAAGACAAAACAAATTAAAAAAAAAAAAAAAAAAGAAAAAAAAAAGCAAAAAGACCAGAGACCAAAAGACATCAAATGCCCTGATAAGCGTTACATTGGACAGTTTTCAGATGAAAGTGGCTCTATTCCGGGAGTGGTTAGGGCTAAAATAGTACTATACGAGCCACCCAATGATGCGACAGGGACTGAAAGGGTGTTTGTAGGCGATACAACCGGATTTGCGGCCAAGTCTAAGTCTCGAGTCCCTTAAAGTGAAACGTTAGATTTGTGTAGGTCTACCTTTGGAAATGTAAGTGTATGGCAGGTCAGATCTTTATCCCCTTAGTCTGCCAAGCGTAGAGAGACCCAAAAAACGTGGCATGGCCGTGCACATAGCCCCCACGTGAGGAAATAAGGAAAGGATTAAAATAATTTAATATTTACTATTAAATGCCAGTATTAAATGTTAAGTACATTATTAGCTATTAGTATTAAAAAGCTGGCCCGTTTCACCCTTGGGCATATCCTGTCTCGGGCCAGTTGAGAGCTTTGTTAGCACATCCGGCCCAACTACAATATTCCGTGCGACATATGTTCTGAGATTCCCAGGGTTTTGAGGGTTTTAAGTGTACGACGTGACCATTTATTAACGGGAGTAAATTAGTAAATTAGGGGGAGGCTGAACGAGGATCCCTGTCAAATGAAATATAAATAAAAAAGAAAAGATTTAACTGGTTTTAATCGGGACTTTGCACATGGCATCGAGTCTAATTCGAGCACGGACTAGGCTGGCTATCACTACGAAGCTGCAAGGCCCGAAAATCCAATTCCAGCTGATCGGGCTTAAAGGGCCATACTCCGAGACTCTATATAATTAGTTTCAACTCCACCTCCGCCTTCTTCACTTTCACACCTATTTCTGTACATCTTATTTTCCATCATGCATCGCTCTTCTTATGATGGCCGTTCAGGCTCCCGTGGCAGTCACTCCAACAGCAGCGCATTCAGTCCTAACGCCAACCCTAATGAAGACTGGACCAAGATTTCTGATCTGGCAGAGCGTCGTCGCATTCAGAACCGTATCGCTCAGCGGAACTATCGTAAGTGCTTTCATGGCTTGGTCTTGGAGTAGAGTCTAATCACGGCGCCAATATTAGGCAAGAAGCTGAAGCGTCGTTTGGAGGATCTCGAGAGACGAGCTGCGACATCCGCGTCTCCCGAACAGTCCCATGCAGAGCCAGTGTCACCCAAGGCATCCCCCTCTAAGACCCGAACAAAGCAACGAGCCGCCAAATCCGATGTCAAACCGCACACCCACTCAGATCGGTCTGGTTCCTACGAGTACTATGGTCCGGATGAGCGCCAGACCATGTTTGCCCAACAATGTACTCGCCAGCTTTCTGCCTCGCCACCCCCAGCCTTCTCCCACCCATCCGTTTCTCCATACGACGCCTACCGGCAGTCGGCCTACGCCCAGTCCCCGCTCTACCATACTGCGCCAAGCAGCTATAGCGACTTGGCCTACCAAAGCGAATATGGCGAAACTTTCCCTTCAATCATGCCAGTACTCCCATCAATGGGCGCGCCCCGCAAACTAGCCTACGATGAAGATCTGATAAGCCCATTCAGCATGAGCTATGCGACAATGGCCGGCATCGATCTCGTCCAGCAACAACAATCCCAAGCCCAAGCCCAAGCACATGGATATCCCTCAAGTCTTCCGGTACATATTCCTCGCTGATTTCCTACTCAAATCTGCATTTTCCACCACACGACCAGCAGCTAATTCTCTGTCTGTCCCTACAGATGCCCTCGCTTGCCTACAGCTACGAGGACCAGCGAGCACCATCAACGTCACCAGAGGCATCCATCTTCACGTCGCCCCTCACCCCCGACTCTGCCCCTTGTTCGCCTCGTTCTATCTTGTACGAGTATGATCTACGGTCATAAGGCGGATCGGGCTTATCGGAGACTCAGTGCCCCGAGTTCTGGCGGGTCTTTCCGTGGTCATCTAGGCCCTATTGCGGGCCCGGAGCCTGCACTCCTCGTTTTTATTTCTTTTTCTTTTTCTTTTTTTACGAGTCTCTCCACTTTGAGTCATTCTTTGTTTTCTTAGCCCTTGAGAAGTCCAATCCGGACATGTGTGACGAGATAGCTGCATACCTGGCGTTCAATTTCCTCTAGCCTGGTGTTTTGGGGGGATTAGTTGGGCCACATTTGACGATTTTATTTTATTTTTCTTTTTTTGCTTTCATATTTGCTTTTTCTTTGGGGTTAAATTCAGATCTACAGGCAAATCCAAGTAGAAACATGCTAGTCAATAACGTTGCATCCCTGGCCTGGGATTGGCTGATTTACTGCATAACTCCACGGCCCCCAACTCTCTCTTCGTGCGGGATTTTCAAGTGTGCAGCTTGGCCCCAGAAAAGAGAAAATGAAATGAAATGAAAATCCACTGAAACCACTTTAGCACCATTAACGGTTGACGAACACTGATTTACCTTCCCAGTCTGGACTCGTAGAGTGAGGCGCAGTGCATGAGCTAGAGACCAATTGCTCAAAAAGGACAAGCCCATTCATGACTCGTGAACAGAACCGATTCCACTCCACTGGGATGAATCCGATCCCTGCAGAAGACAACCTACTCCCCATCCACCGGCCTTTATCTTTAATCCCTTAAACGCCGGAGCTGTTCCCCCTCTCTAGTTCCCCGATCCCCCTACATCCGTTGTACTGGGTACTCTCCCTACTAGGACGACGGAGCTGGTCCGAGTTGCTGCGCCTCCTCGGACTTTCCCCTGGTCAATCCTCGATTTCGCTGGTTCGTCTGTTTGTGACTGGTCCATCGGTGCATGTATAGTCGCCTTACACGTTGGCACGTTGGCTAGGGGCGGTTGTGGATAGGCAACCACCACATGGATTCCTCTAGACTCTGTAGACTGCTGATAAATTCAAACATGTATATGTACGTGTGTAGTGGCGATCACTCTCGAATAGTAGAGTTTACATTTATCTATCCGACCCCGACTCCGGCGGAATCGAAGAGCCGCGTGGATGCCTGGATATGCCCCTCATGTACATTAACCTGCAATTTATATGTTAATTACTCAAGTACTTTAAGCATAGCCAAAAAGTGGCACGATTGCAACACTCTCCATGTCAACTGGATGCCAAGGGCCAGGTGAAACAAAAACAAAACAGACCTCAAAGCTCTTTAACAACCTGCTATAGTAGGAATTCCCCAAGTCCCCGCCCCCATCCGGCCGGGAACTGGGGCTGAAAACCACAGAGGCGATTCGACAACGTTGTGGTCCATTCTCCATGTCCGCATATCCGTTGGGGGAAAACCCACATGGCAGGGGAATTCCAAGTTCCCAGGAGAGGATAAAGGCCTAAATGGGCATATATCCACAACCCACCCGCGCTGTTCTACAACTGAAACGCGTTAGCTCATGTCTGTTAGTGGCAGCACTGTCCAGTCTTCTTTTTCCCTTCCTGGTTAGACTCGCACTTTTGGGTTCTTATCGGAATTCAGGGTTGGCGGCTCTTAGTCTTGCAGCCGTTTGGTTTCTGCCCCCATTTCCTAGGTAGGTTGGTTTCGTAGGAAGGCTCTAGTTCTTTGACAGGTCGATTCGTCATGATTCATGATGATCTACTTTGATCGGCTTTTTTCTTTCCTTTTTTTGCTCTGTGTTTACGCTGTGATGCGGACTGCGGCGATGTACCCGCATTCGCTAACCTTATCGAAAGTCACAACGCCAGAGGCGTTGTTTCGGTCAATATTGCCGACCAGACGCTGAAAAAGATGCACACAACGAAAAAGGGTCTCAGCCTTGGGCTTGGCTTTTGTTTTTTATTTTTGACTTTGTCCGTGCCGCGCCAACTCACCGAAGGAACCCTGGGGAACTTGAAGATACCTGTACTCCGGTAACGGGCGGAGGGCATAGACCACATGGACAACGAACATAAACTGATTAATAATACAACCAGATTCCTGACAAATCCTGTAGAGCCCCAAACTTCAACGAAACCAATGATGTATTAGATCAGGCGGAACAAGCTCCTTAGAGCGTTACAAAAGTCCTAGGACCAACACAGCCTAAGAAAGTGGAGTGATAACCAACCGGTCAATCTGTAGACGTATCACCATCCAGACGTACGGAGCGGGGCGCCTTAACTGTGGCTAACGGTGATCAAGTACACAATGTAAACTCCACATTCTGCAGCAGGGGCACACGCAGTCAGCACGGGAGACCAGATTGGTGGGAGCGGCTGGAGAGGTAGCTAGACGAGACGCATGGGCCTAGACGAGAGAACCAGTAGACATGGAGTATCTAAGGTCTATTTTTGGATAAACGTGCATCATGGCCTTGAGTCTGGAGTAGTATTCTGCTCACTCTAACTTATCGGATTGGGTAACTACCACGAGGGTCTCACATTCTATGCAGGGCACTGGCACTAATCTAATCTACGGGATACTACATCGTATATGGAGATACAGAATACTATTTAAAGGGTTGACCATTTCACCTTTCCAGCCAAGCGGGAGAGTGTTGGCACTAACTTATGCAATCTCGGTAACAGGGACAATATATTGGTACGTGGCGTTGTTTTTGGCGGTTGCATCTTACCGGAATCAGTTGATAGCTGCATTTTATTTACGCGATGATGTCCACTGCAGCATCCACCAATTAGGACCTAGTTCTTGAGACAATGAGGACCCTTTGACTGGTTTACCTTACCGAGGAAGGGGAAGTATTAGGAATTTGGTCACGGAAAATCCCTTTTAACCGTCTTACTTGACCAGCACTTTATTTTAGTTGCCGTTTGATCTGATTACGGTGGTTTTGCCGCTTTGGGTTTTATTTAGACGTCTCCCCGATAACGTTGGACCAACGCCTATCTACCTGTAAACATATAGACTTGTAGTTGGGAGAGTTGTTAGCAATATCCTTGGCCACATGCATGAATGTATGAATTCGGGTAAACAGAATCTTGACTATCTGATCCATGTCGCTGGTACAATCCCCCTTCCTGCACGTTGCAATCAATATTTGAAAGTGCTTTAAGGGCTCTAGGTTGTACAGTAGCAAATAGTATCATATTTCCTTTCAATATACTGTGGATAAACTACACAAAGCGTCTACACGTAGATAACGTGCTGATTGCTTTGAGATCCAACTCTGCACACCAAACAAGCAAACAAAGATACTCTACCGTTGTTTTCCATATACGATAGCATCCACTGCCAAGATGTAAGCCTATGCAGGGCATTCCAAGGTTTAAGGTTTAAGATCTCACCGCGGATCTCTATGGATTGTCTGGCGTACAGCGTAAACATGAGCAAATAAGTGAAGCCAACCCCCATTCAAAGACAACAAAGAACATCAAAACAAAAATAAAAGCAAAAGAAAAAGCAAAAGCAAAAAAAAGAAACCAACATTGCCAAGCGATCAAACTCCCCTCCTATTGGTATAATAAGAAAGACAACGGAAGCGGCTTAGCCGGAAACCAAAAAAGGCGAGGCAAGGAGCAAGCGCTAAAAGCAATCAAACAATCCCCTCGATCCTATATGAGACCACAACCAGCAAATGGAGGATCTAGTGGGGGGATCCAGAATATCCAGCGCCAAACCAACGAAAGCACGAGCGTGGCAATAACCACCCCCTCCAAACCCCCAAATTAACAACGAAACCCACTAACTAGGCTGCACATAAAGAAAGCAAGAACAAGGATCAGCCAGTCGACCATGTGATTCGCAATATTACACGATCTATCCCACTGCCTCGGGTTGACAGGGGTATACATACATACATGTACGCGCCCAACTAGGGCAAGGAGGGAGCCCGCACATCCGCCGTTCCGCTTGCCCGCCTCTCCGGTGTCGTTCTTTGTCTGAATTTCGACCAGGGTATGAGGATGTGCTGTACAATATATAGGGAAGGGATATGTACACTATACTGTGTGGGCTAGACGACTCCGGAGTTAGGGAGAATTAGAAATGATGATAAATCGGTAAATCTGGGTTTGGGCCAATACGAGACACCTGTGGGAGGTTGCACGGGCATGTGGCCTGTCGGCGTCGCCGATGAGCTCGTTTTCGTCACTTCATGCATGTATGCGGTCTTGCGGGTTGCGGGTTTATTAGGTTGATCGGGGACGCCGGTATACGAGGACTCTTTGAGGCTCTAGTTTTCTGCAGATAACTTTATGCGGATATGGGTCGAGAGTTGGAGGCTCTGTTGTTTCTTAGCTTATGGCTCTGGGCTCTGGGCTCTGGAGTGTGAGCGCCTTACGTGGTATACTGTGAAACATAACTCGGACACGAAGCAATGCATATTTCTATCACGTTCCATGCAAGTTGTCTACGAAGGAGACCACGGGACCTGAGCATTGCGTTATAGTATTCGGTCTAGGAAAGCCGGGGAAGATGCGAAAAGTGCAGTAGATTAGAACGAATCGCATTGAAACAGCGGGTAAATCAAGCTCAGCATCTGTCATCATCGTCATCAAGCCCTTAACCAATCCCCTGCCGGGGTCATCTTTCTTAACCTAAAAACATTGTAAATTCAACCCTCACGAAAACCTCTGCAGGCTTTGACTCGACTTCATCGGCCCTGCACATCCATTGGATCTGTGGGTGCTGCCTGGTCGAGGTTTTGTCGTCGTCGCCGCATCGGGGCCTTCTTGCGGTTTGCGATGGCTGCATCTTGCACTTGTTCCGGTTTCATCACGGTGTCGCCATCTTTATCATCTTTGGCTTGCAGCAGCATGAGCTCCTGCTCGTTGTTCCATGCCTCGTCGAGTTCAATAACATTCTTGGGCTTCATGCGCAGCCATTTCATGCGGGGGCCGACGCGCGACACTTCCGAGACCTTGAATCCATAGATCCGCGGGTCGTAGATCTTACCATTGCCGAGTCCGGGGCAGAGGTTCGATGTACGAACACCGTTGATCTCTAGGGGTTGGTTCTCTGGGGTGGGAGATTCGAGAACCTGGCGGGTAGCTTGAGGGCGGGTTACGGAGCCAGTCCGAGACTGCGTGGGCGCGGCGTTGCGTGGCGACATAATTGACAGTGATGCATCCAGACGGGGTCCAATATCCAAGTCAGGGAAGGTCATGAAGAAGAGACATCCAAAGGTTGTGCCGAAGAATGCGCCATCGACGGAGTGAAAGCGACTGTTGGGGGGTGTATAAATATCCATGCAACCGGGGCAGAACAGCTTGACGGTTTCTTGACCAGGAGTGTCGGATCGGCCAACGGGGAGCACCTTGCAACCGTTACAGTTGACTCGCGGGCAGACGCCGAAATGCTGCATCTCATATTTTTCCAGCATCTGCTGAATGCCCGGCCGGGAGGTGATGTATCGCTGGTGGATCAGTCCGTAGAGCAGTTCGGCGGAGCTCTCGATAACGCTCAAATCGCTGGCGACGCGGGCATGTCGCCGATCGCCTGCTCTCCGGTATGCGGGTCTGTCATCGCCCAGCGCATCCTCGTCATCCTCCTCATCCTCCTCCTCTTCTTCCTCTTCATCGTCATCCTCGGGCTCCACATCGAGAATCATCTCCAGAGCCTCTTTGTACATGGGAACCTGCGACTGCAGACCAGTCAGGTTGAAATCATCCTCGATAAAGTCCTCCGACACCTCGGCGAAGAACTCATGGCCCATCAACGAGCAGAACGAGGAGATCCAGGACTCCGGTGCACCTTCCGAGGACGACATATCGAACGAGGCTGACACGGACGATGATAGGGTTGATTCAGACAGTTGACTCAAATCCAGCCTGTCGAGGCCGTCGGCCAACGCCGAACCTATCTCTCTCGACACGTTGCCGAGCTGGGGGGTATAAGCTTTGGGGAGGTAGGCGAAGACGAAGCGATTTCGTCACGCGAAAGGCGAGGGCTAGGATCGTGCGACTGCGGAGAGGCGATTCGGGAGAGATTCGGGAGAAAGTAAGGTGAAGCAATTCTTGAAATTGCGAGGGATCTGAGGTGATGTGGGCAGAAAAGCTAGACGTTCATGGCAGTGTGCGGGAGGGGGAGATTGTGCGATCAACGTTGGATCTAAAGCCCCACCAAAATCTTATCAGTTTTGCGTAAATTTGATGCCACAAGTTATCAGATCCACGTACATGGAGATCTTTAGGTCTTATTGAGGGTCATTAGTGATTCGACTGGAGGTTGGTGTGTCGGTCAGATCGGGTTAGGTGCGTTCGGTTCGTGGGGCGGTGGGCGAGTGAGAGAAGCAACTCTTGAAATCAGCGCTGGATGGGATGTGATGGTCTTGAAGAAGGCAGAAGTGAAGTCGTCACGGAGATCAATTGGGGGAGTTTGTCACGTGAAGCTGACGTGCGGTAGTCTGGTGCGATGTCTGGATGCGGAAACCAGCCCTAGAGGCATCGGCTTATAGTCAGGCTGGAACAGTGTCTTGGTGAATATTCTACTGTAGTTTGCTTAGAAGACGGTGACTTTCTCTTCATTTCATATCCAAGGTGTAGCCCAACATATGCATGTCATATTGCCTGAGCAGTATACAGACAACCCCACATGTTCAACTCTCGGCGTCATACTATAGGGTTATAATATGGCAATATCACGAAGTTAGTATCTAAGACATACAATGTTCGTATCATTTCCTGGGTATTGACTACATCAAAACAGATCACGAATGACCCGGGCAAACTCCCCCTCATCCCCCAAAACACCCGATAGACCTTCACCAGTATTTTGAATCTCTCCATTTGTCCCAACAAAGCCACCGATAGTATCAGGACTAGTAGTGCCAGGAATGAAGTTTCCAAAAGCACCAACAGCCTCAAACAAGTTCGTCAATTCATGGCTCATCTGGAGCCCATTGAGGGGACTACTACCAAGCTCATTCCTGTTGTTCATCTGCCCATACATGGACAGATCTTCGATCGGATGCCCTGCGAGGCCGGCCATAGCCACCGCTGCACTGGAATGGGGATCGGCTGAGTCTGTCCCGAAAGGTCGGGCTAGAACACCGAGCTTTTCTCCGATTTTCCGGAGGCCCTTGATGGTCTTCCACAGTCGCTTGGAGACGAAGGATTTGGTACTGAACCCGTTGATTAGGTCGAGAGCCATGTAGAATTCATCGCGGACCTGTCGATTAAAGTCGGCCGGTGCATGAGACACCGCGAGGAAAAGCACTGCCAATGCAGCAACTAGGAAGTAGTTGAAGGTGATCTGCTGTGTGCGGTAGATGTCGGACATCTGGTTCAGGCGAGTGAGCACTCTGACTGTGTCCTTGGCTACATCCACCACTGTTTGGGCGTGACCTCGGTCTTCTGCGATGCTAGCAGACGAATGGAGCACGGGGCGGTAGATCAGAATTCGGAGCTGGTTCATTCGCAGATACAAGAGGACCCTGAGTCGTCTCATGCCTCTGCTTACGCTTTCTCCAGTCTTGGGAGACTCCACAGGGTAGAATTTTAGTTCTTCTGGAACCTGCTTGTACCATTGCAGGATCTGGTAGTCCAGGTATCCGATTTCATCTCGTCGAATGTCGGTTGTGCCTTCTGACCCTAGACCGGAATACCAGATCTTAGAGCTGATTCGGTTATAGAGGATCATGCAACGCAAATATGGCAGTGATGCATCCTGTTGTTTACCGTTGTCAGTTGAAATTTATCATTTGCAAAAAGTGTATTCTTACCGGTTCTGGTAGATTAGCATCGATGTCCTCATCTTGGATCACAAAAGGCAGTCCCGTCCCTAAGCTCCATCGTCGATCCAAGCTGTAGACCGACCAGAATAGCCGAGTGACCTCGTTCCAGTGATCCTCATTAGGGAATGACTTGACCAAAGCATCCCGGCGATGAAGTCCCATTTCCAGGCACATCCGCGCTGCCAATCCGATGACGCGATAGGCCATGGCGTCGTCGTCTGTGTGGAAATGATATGTTGCCTGACGAACAATATTAGCGGACTTGATTGCACACAAGAGGGACATGACACCCACCACAATAGCAAACAATTGAATCGTCTTGATGCTATGAGGCTCCCACATCTTTGATTCTATGACTGGTTTCACGTCCAGGTAAAGCCGCTGGCCAAGCTCACTTTCACCACCTCCCTCCACGACCAGCGTGGTGGCAAGGATCAGTTTCAAGAGAACTGTACCCTCATCCTGGAGGCCGTCGGAGCCTGGAAGACCCCTTTGTGCAAACCCCGTTCGGGTAGCAGCCTCGATGAATGTGTACAGTAAATTGGCTTGGCTGGTGACAGAGGCGATATCCACCACTGGATACATAATCCCGATCTCTTCCTCGTAGACTTTACAAAGACGCATTGCCTCCTCACGTCCAATCGACCAAAGAGGATCTTTCGTAGGGTGTACAGTTGAGAGGAGCTGCCCTAAGTGAGGAGGTGAGCCTGCTGGCGTGACATGTGCAGTGGTCAAGTCATCGGTAATCCCATCTTCTGCAGGGGTGATGCCCATATTCTGCAGACTGGATTTGGCCACATCAAAGTTGAATGCTGAACTTGTTGGGCCGTGAAAACGGGGGTGACGGGCTCGAGGCTTTGCTAATCCAGGTGCCATGGGCGTGAAGACGGGCTGAGATGCATCCCTCGAGAGAGGGTCAAAGGATGGAGTCTCAAATGTAGGTCTTTGGTTGCGAATATCATTGATATTGCTGAAAAGGTTATTAACCTGATCCTGTAAAGTGGTGATCTGTTCTGTCAACGACCGGTATTCACTGCGGAACATTAGCACTGAAGACCGCGCGAAATACAATACCGCGACTTACTCCGAGTCTTTGAAGTTGTTATTGCAACAATTCGGTGCATAGCGACCTGATACAGGGGTCAGTTGGGAATATTCCGGGCCGGCAATAATGAAGGAGGTACATACATTCTAAATTCAAATGGCCACATCTTTGGCATGGAACTTGGCCATTGCATTTGATCTTGCGCCGCTTGCACTCGTTGCTAAAACCCCGTGGTTAGCTAGATTGCCGACAAATATCCCGAAGGAAAAGCAAATCGTATGATTATGCACGCAGCTGCATTTCTGACCAACCGGAAAAAATAAATGAAACGACCGACAGAGCGGAAAGGAAGGGGTTCGCATCAGGCCATATCTTACCATGCAATGGAGATGTAACGATTCCGCTTTGTGCGCGTCTGCGTTCCGTTGCCTTGTTCCGCCTTCCGCTTGTTAGAATCAGATGTTCCAATGGCCTGATCCCCGGCATCTGTCTGCGGCGGCGTCCTTTCCATCTGAGGAGACTCTGAAGCCATGACCTGCAAAAATTAGGAGACACTGGGATGAACAACCGGGAAGAAACACCGGCGATGAAGTGCGGAGAAATTCCTCTGTCGCGGGGTCTCCCGTTTTCCCCAGATTCGCCTTACTCATCCGATTGCCTGTCCGCTCATTGGTCCATTGTATAGAGCCCAAAGCAGCTAGATGGAGTTCTATGTTTAAATAGATCATAACGCAAGTATTATTATGTTTCTTCCTACAGACTCAACTTCAGCATATACAAAACCAACAACCAACTCTCCATTCAACGAGCGATCAATCCCTGCACAGCTGAACGCAGCCAAGTCTTGCCAGAAAGCAAATACTGCACCAATAGAAGTCTTTGCTCTGGGTTCTTATGCAGGAATCTGAAGCCTGCCAAGAGAGCTATAAGCACAGAGGCCTTGACGGCCCTCCGAACACCGTGCAAGATGCGACCTCGTCGCGTGAGCTTAGCAGACCAATGCGACCACACAGGGAACGTGCATCGCAGCCAATAATGAATCTGAGTAAACCTGTACACAATATTAGGTAAAGTTTCGCCCGATAGCCGAGACACTTACGGATATGTGCTTGAGTTCCACCCGTCGGCAGTAATATACCAACTGGTGCATACCCCACGACGGAATACAGTCTTCTGCAACTCATTCTGCACCTGGCGAGTCCACTCCCGCTCAGCCTCTTCCTTGACCTCATACGAGCTAACCAGGCCATTTAGAATGGGCTTGATAAACTTCAGCGAGTAGTTAACAGCGTTCTCTGTGGCGAAGATAACACTGGTATGACCAGTAGCCGTATTCGGGCCGAACAGCATGAAGAAGTTCGGGAAGTGATCCATCGCGATACCCTGGTAAGCCTGGGCGCCTCCGCGCTCCGCCCAGACATCTTCTAGGTTCTTGTTCTCTTTGCCGATGACCTTGAGTGGATGAAGCCATTGATTTGTCTCGAAGCCGTTCGCCATAATGATCACGTCGGCGGGGACTTCTCTCACTTCATCTGCGACTTCGGATTTGTTGGGTGGGTAATGGCGACCTGGACCGAGGGTTACACTCTTTGCATTAACTCTGGTCAGAGGCTGGGTGGTCAGCTCCACATTCGGAGCATTGAGACTGCGATACCAAGTCCCATCAATGATTCTTCTCTTACAGCCGAGGCTGTAGTTTGGTGTCAGGATCTCGTGGTATTCCTTTGGCGCGAGCTCGCGCATATGGTCTAGGAACTTCTTTTCCATGCGTGGCCGCATAACTCGGCCCCAGGCTGTGTCGGTGAACATGTCGTAGAAGTTCTTCTCGAGCATCACGAATAGAGTGTATCGCATGAACTTTGCAAATCCGGGAACGTAGGACATCAGTGTCGGTGTCCATTTCTCGTACAACTCGAGTTGTCTAGCGGGTAGCAGATCAGGCTGGACCCATGGCGGTGTCCGCATGAGCTGAGTGATGGATCGAACGTTGGCTTCTGGCTTGGCCAGCTCGGGGATCACCTGGGCGGCGCTGCAGCCCGCGCCAACCATGATGACGTCTTTGTTTTCAAGATCAATTTCATCGTTCCACCGGGCTGTGTGCATAATTTCGCCCTCGAAATTCTCAAAGCCGGGGATATCTGTTGGCAGATTCTTGGGCTCCACCAGACCACCAACACCGCTGACAACTACCTTTGCTCGGACGATCTCTGTCTTGACATAGACACGGTGCTCACCATCCTGGGCTACCAGGCGGTCCCGCTCATGTTGTGCGAGGTCACCAGTCCCAGGAACAAGATGCGAGACAGTAACCTCCCATTCCTCGTCAGCTTCAATCCACCGAAGCTCCTTAACATCTGTATTAAATTGGATCTTGTCCACGATCTGATATTTCTCGCACACATCAGCCATATACTGTGCGAGCTCCGGACCTGCTGGATGCAAAGTAGACCAGTTCATCTTCGGGGCAAAAGAGAATGAGTAGAAAGCCGCTGGACTATTAAAAATTAGAAAACGGATCAGGTAATAAATGTCATACTTAACACTCACATATCGCAAGCAGCTCCTGGATACCGATTAATCCACCAGGTACCTCCAATCCCCGACTGCCTCTCAAAGATCCGGAACTGATCTGTGCCCAAGACCTCTTTGAGCCGACAGCCCATGGCCACCCCCGATTCGCCGGCGCCTACAATGAGGACTGGATAGTAGGTATGGGCATCTTTGCCATACGCAAGACGCTTGTGGATCCGAGAAATTGAAGAAGACATATTGCAGACCAAGCAGAGATAATTGGCTAGGGTTCAATATGCGTATTTGCAGCTCGGGTGATCGACAGTAAGAGTAGACAATGTGGTAAGTTATTCAGCAGGTAACACAGCATGCACTATGCAACGTCCGAAGCCCAAATGCTGAACATTTAGATCTTAAGAACGGGAAAGTCGAGAAAAGTGCAGATCTCTCGTAAGCTCTTCAGCTCGTCACCTGGGCGCGTCAGTGAGGGGATCCTTGGCAACCTCGGCAACGCAGTCGGCTTCATGCTCATGTCGGGCATAAATTGGCGATCAGTCTAGCTTTGTTTCTGACAGAGTTGTGCATATTTGACAAGATTCTGTTGTTTGTTAGGTACATGTAGACGTTTGGAATTTAATGGCAACATTCCAATATGTAGAGCTTCGGGATCCACCCCCAGACTTCTCCTGTCAACTTCCGGGATGAAACAGCCATGGCCAAATCCCCGAGTCTGGAGACTCTCACATATCCTCCCTAGAGCAACGCAGACTCGCACTTTCTCCGTATCATTGGCCCAACAATATCGCACCCTCGAAACCCTCGAAAATGCCACCCTCGAGACTTTCCAGCAGAAATGCTTCCACCCAGAGAAGCCCGCGATCCTCCCATGTGCCGAATTCCAAAATATTCCAGCATTAAAACACTGGTTTAAACCCAGCCAACATAAACCAACTACAAAAGGCACAAAACCCACTGCCAGCCTAAATGTGGATTATCTCCAAAAACACGGCGCCAACGCGTTCGTCCCGCTCGAACTCACCGAATCGGCACACGACTCAAACCTACAAAGCGACGCGACAGAAACACTTAGCTTCCGACAATTTCACGCTCCGCTCACCCTCTTCCTAGACTGGATGCGCATGGCAGAAACAACCCCGCAATCAACACGACTCTACCTAGCCCAATGCCAACTCCTCGATCTCCCACCCATCCTCAGAGCCGACTTTCCAACACCGGACCTCGTGTCACGCGCCGGTAAGGGCGATGTCTACGATACGAATGTGTGGATCGGACATCCGCCCACGTATACCCCACTCCACAGAGATCCAAACCCAAATTTGTTTGTCCAGTTGGCCGGACAGAAAGTTGTGAGACTGCTCGCGCCGGAGGATGGACAGGCTGTGTTTGGAGCTGTGAGGAGGCAACTGGGGAAGAGTGGGGATCGGGAGGCTGCTGCTATTCGGGGCGAGGAGATGATGCACGGGAGGGAGAGAATTTTGCTTGATGAGATGGTTTGGGGGAGTCCTGTTTCTGCCGGCGGGGATGGGGTTGGGGTTGGGCTTGAGGCTAGGCTTGGGGATGGGGATGGCTTGTTCATTCCCAAGGGGTGGTGGCATAGTATTAAGGGTATTGGGGAGGGTGTCACGGCTTCGGTGAGTACTCTTTTTCTTTCTTGGGGTCTGTTGATTGCTGATGGGTTTTAGGTCAACTGGTGGTTCCGATAGTCTGGTATACTGTAGCCCTTATTAGAGCGTCATGTACAAAATGTGTATAATATCATAGAGTGGGGATGTTTGCTACAATACATGCTGAACATATGGCCATTAGGCCTGCGTCTGTAGATACATACTCAGATGATCAAATGCCCAGAAGACGCGCTGGAGCACGACCGCCAGGACTTGGGCTGGAAGACTTTGGATCGGATTACGAGGTAGAAAGGCCGAAATGCTTTCAAATAAAGCAGGGTGTACGAGACAAGTTTGTCTTCGGGCCGTCCGATATCAAATGAATCATATAATGATCTGATAGACTCCCGGCCATGGTGTTTCTTCGATGCCCCTTTAATGCGGTTATAGATATCGAGCACATTGTTCAATTGCTCGCCCAGCTCTGTGGATTTGATAAACATCTTGAGGGTCACATATTCCCGGAGACTGCAAGTTAATCAAGTAAATTGAGCTAGTAAACCTGTATTCATAAATACCGATATCACAGGGGACTCAGTTAACCTCATATCTCGCTCAAGCCATACAGACAAACAAGTTCCAAACCTTTAACTTTCCCTTGATTTTCCCTATCCGTGTTGGATAGTAATAGGCGGGGACATAGTCTGGAAGCGTTTCCTCCTCAATTAGGTCAGTTGGAGATATTCGGTAGAAGTTCGGTTTGGAAAAGTTGAGGGGCTTCCATGATGGCCCAATTCGACGTAATGACATAGGAGAGACAGCAGCATGGTCTCAGCTGTGCATTGAATGTGATAATGAGGCTGAGAATGCAGGGGATACTGTTTGTAAAGTCAGGTGATCGTTAAAACGAGCATTCGAAACACTAAAGAGAAAGTACTAAATTTTACAAGTAATATCTACAATAAATATCGTGTAAAACTTATAATCTATCCCTAAAAATGTCTAGGTGGTAACTATAGCCAAAGTGGATGGAGCTCGGAAAGTTCCATGTGGATTCGGTTCGAGAGTCTCCGCAATCTTTACTTTTCTCACCACCTTAACTTAACACGCGACATGCAAGTGTCAACAGTCTACCGCGCTGCTCTCCTCCAACTCTCCGTCAATCCCCTATTCGCACGCGCATCAATCCCCACATCTCTGATCGTCGCATCCCAAACACAAAATACCCGTCTCTACAGCATCCTCTTTCCGCAGTGCCCACCAACCTACAAACCAACATACACAAACCCAGCCTCTCAAATCCGCACAATGAGCGACTTTACATCCTCCGATTCAGCCACTACGGCCAATACCGCGACGCAGGGCTCATCCACCGACTCCGCAGACCAGTCCCAAACGGAACCGACCAAGGTCTCAGAACAACTGTACCTCCCAGCAAGCGAATCGTCAGACAACGTCCAAGGATCAAACTCCGGTGGAATAAAACTAGACATGAGCACCGGCGGAACAGAAATGAAACTAGACCATTTGGGACCGATGGTTGTCAATACCGATGGGACATTATCGCAGATCGGAAATTGGCAGCAGATGAGCGAGATCGAGAAGAAGAATACGTTGCGGATTATTTCAAAGCGGAATAAGTCCCGACTCGCAGCTTTGAAGGCCAAGGGAGAGGGAAACGTCCCAGAAAGTGCATCCTCAGGATCTGGCGAAGGCGGAAACAAGTTAGGTATGAGCACCGGTGGAATAGATATGAAATTGGCATTTAGCTCCGACGGTTGCTAACACTGACGGGGCATCGTCGCAGATTAAGAATTGGCAGCATATGAGCGTGATCGAGAAAAAGAATGCGTTGTCATCTATTGAGAAGCGGAATAAGTCCCGGTCGGTCTTTGAAGGCTAAGGGGGAGGAAACCTTCCAGGAACCGCACCCAGCGAGGATAGAATCAAACTTGGTATGAGCACTAGCGGAGCAGAGAGGAAGTTGGATCATCTAGGGCCAATGGTTGTTGACACCGATGGGACATTACCGCGGATTAATCATTTGGCAGCAGAGGAGCGAAATCGAGAAGAATGTATTACGACTTATTGAAAGTGGAATAAGTCGCGGCTTTGAGGCTTTGAAGGCTAAGGTTGAAGGTATTAAGAAATGGGTTGGTGTATTATATTGGGTGATTTATATTCTGTGAGGTGTGTACAAAGTAGTGTCTATTTATGCTAATGTGCAAATAAAGCTTCTCAATAATCATATTGGGTATCGTTAAGATGCATCTCGAACTTCTCTAGAGACAAAATGGCAAACCAGCCCATGAATCACGCACTCGCAGGTAATGCAATCTCTGGTCAATTGAATCTGAACTATGGTGGGAACCAATAAGAGAATCAATACTATGCTAACGTGCCAGAATCTCATTCGAAGATCTTGTACACCCACTTGTGAAGGATAGTCCTTGTCAACTGTTAGCAGCAAATTCCATTCAATCCTCAGTTCAGAATACTCACTTAGGCGGCTCAGTAACGAAATCCCTGGTGTACTCCTCAATTTCCACAACACCAGTCATCAAATCAACCTCTTCGGGCTTAAGGAACTTAGTCTTGTGGAAGAACTTCCACCCAAAGTAAAGAATGGGAAAGACGCCGATCATGGTATAAGAGAAAAGGAATGTCGGGATGGACCAATTCCCTGGCAAGAAGACGGTATACCCACCAACAAAAGCCATGATTGTCGTGCAAGTGCAGGCAATGTAAGCGATGTAGGGTTGCCACCAGCTGCGGTAGGGCAGGGAGTCTCTTGAGATGCCCTGTGCTTCTACAGCCTTTTTGAAGCGGATATAGGTGAATGTCACGACAGAGAAATTGATGAGTTGGGAAGCCGTCACCTGTGATTTTTCGTTAGATGGGTCAGACTAGAGAGATAGGATTGATGCTTACCAGATTAACGAACCAGTTCAGCACAACAGCGGCACTGTTAGAAACCTGCAAAAAACTGAGCAGAGCAATGACAAGAACAATTGCAACACAGTAGATAGGCACACCCCGGCTCGTGCACTTGGTCAGAATCTTAGGAGCCTTTCCTTCCAACGCCAAGCCGTAAAGACTGCGACTAGCACAGTACATGTAACTATTCCCCGCACTGAACGAAGCCGTAAGAACGACCGCATTAACAATATCAGGCAAGACAGGAATATTCAACCGGTCCATGGAAATGACATACGGCGAAGCCGCAGCACCGGGTTGATCATTGTCAAATGCATCCGCCATAGTCTTATCGTTGTATGGCACGAGAATACCAATGCACAGAACACCCAGCACGAAGAAAGCCGTAAGACGATAGAAAACACCGTTGAAAGCCTTGGGCAGGACTTTGCGAGGGTTCATTGTCTCACCCGCAGCCATGGAGACGTAGTCCGGACCGGCGATAGTGAAACTCGCTGCGATGAGTGCCGACAGCACACCGAGGAAGCGACCTGTATCGCCTGTTTTGTAGTACTCGGCAAAAGCCCCCGGTTCGTTCCAGTAACGGAAGCCGAATCTGTCTCCGAGGGGGTTACCGCCTAGCATGACGATGAATGTGTAGAAGATCAGGCCGATACTGAGGAGGACTTTGCCGAGGGAGAGCCAGAATTCGGCTTCGCCATACCATTTTACAGCGAAGAGGTTCAGGGCTCTGGTGGGGTTGTTAGTTGACTTGTTTCATGGCGAATGGTGGATGATGGAGGGGGAAAGACGAACCCATAGAGGAATAGGACGATGACGTTCATTGCTGCGACTGGGATCACGTTTGTCCAGTATCGCACGATTAGGCTGACGGCGACGACTTCGAATGGGACCAATGCAGCTTCGAAAATGAAGAAGTTGTATCCGGCTGCGACTCCCAATGCCTCGTCGACGTAGCGGCCGGCGAATCGAATAAAAGGCGAGGAGATGGGTAGGTATGTGACCATTTCAGCCAAGCCTAAAAGTATAGTGAGTATGGGTATCTACAGATCTAGCAAGATTGGGGGAATGTTGGGGCAATCGGGCGATCGATGCAAGGGCAGAATCGAACCAATGGCGCATTTGGAATATGATTTGATATACGGCTGGATGCATGGGAAGAGCTGCCGGAATGATGCAAAGGGCTTTGAAGAAGGGGTTCGTACAAACGGTGATAATCAGAATCACACAACTCCTAGAGAATAGTATGAGATTTCAAGGGTCCAAGAGGATGCAAAGGAAGGTCAATCAGGACTGGTTGGGTTCAAGGGTTTCCGACTTGTTGCAGGGGCTTAGGGCTAACGGCGGGTTTGGTCGATTTCTGATATACTGTTCGACACGGATGTGCCTTGGGCTAACAGTTTTACATCCACGGAATCTGGAGAATAATTGATGCGTGTATGCTGGTAGAGTCTTCTTCTTCTTCTTCCTCTCTCTGTGTTTGTTTGGTTGTTCTTGTCTTTCTTCTTTGCTGATGTATTGGGGTTTGACATTCGCTTCCCCATACTTACTTCGAACATAACACCTTAAGTTCAATCTTGAACAATGGCGGGACAACCCAAGTCGAAGTCGAGAACCCAAAACAGTCAATTGAATATTTTAAAAGGGAATGGCACTCACCATAGACTGAACCCAATAAACAAACTGGCAGGACCACTGGTACGCAAATTTGATCCAATCTGGACGTACAACGCCGTACCAATTGTGCCTCCGATACCGATCAATTGTACATGGCGAGGTTTGAGCTTGCGATGGGTATGGTCATGCGACGACTTCATAGAGCCACTACCGACAGATTGCGCGCGGTTGTCTAGCGAGTCTTTCTCAGTGACTTCGGTCTTGTCGAAGAACTTGGTCGATTTGGATTCGGGATCAGCGATGCGGGCAGGCTCTGCGCTCTGAATGGCAGCCGCCGTGGGTGTATGGGGCACATGCTCCTGGTCTGAATGCATGTTGACGGTGATTCTGCCACCTAGGAAGAGCGAGACAGGTGCATAAATAATGCAAGGACAGTAGAGATAGGAATGAAAGCGAGAAAGATTAACCGAGAGGAATGATTGAAAATTTTTTTGCCCAGGTGAGTAGTATTTTCCTGGAAAATCTCTAGAGTTCAATCGGCATAGTCCGAACTAGACAGTCACGGCAAATCACATCCCCCGGGCCTCGTCGTGGGCCCCCACTCGGGGAGGGGCAAGGGGTTGGCCATGCACACTTGGCTGCGATATCTTAGTCCTGATCGGCATCGGTGACCCCGATTTAACTTCCTGTCAAGTTTGCTTACAGCATGCGAGAACAAGATATGCTTAGACTGGTGGCTTATGGTTGGGGGTAAGAGACAGGGGATATAAGTCTTCTTGTGAGCCGTGTGGAGACAAGGGACCTTGCCGAGGTCCACGGAGAATGGAGACCTCCGACTGTATGGAGTAGACCCAGTGTATACATTATAGACAAGACCTGGCATGAGAAATACATGTAGACTACCTAACATTCGAACGCGAAAAACATATCAAACGCCACAGCATTCCATCTCGGGCTGAAATATGTTCTGGGCTCAGTGGACAGCGTTCCTCTCCCTATCCTGGGAGTCCTTGCTTTCTGTGCTCTCATTCGATGGTCTGCGTCGCTCTGACTCTTTACCCAACCAACTAGGTGGGAAGAAACTATCGTTGTCTTCGAAATAGAGGTGGTGGATCACATCCGAGTCTGTGGAGTCCCGATGTTGGCCCGGATCGGCCTGTGTGATAGGTCTGTCAGAGCTCGGATGGGGAGAGTTGGAGAACATATTGATAGTGTTCTGTGTGGTAGATCTTGGAAGGGTTTATGACAAGATTTCACAAAGTTGATGTTGACGTCGTAGTTGAAGTTCTGTGCACTCGCCACAGTCATCTGATGTCCTTCTTTCGGATGCTTGCAGTCGCCGTCAACCTTCAACATCTATACGTCATGAGGGGATGTTCTGTTTAGGGGGTTCTGCTCGGAACTCTACCAAAACTCTATGCTATAGCTTATTGCTTCTCTAACCAGATGGGGTAAAAAAGAGAAGTCGAGGCACGTGAGTACTAGGTATGTATCTATACTCCTGAACAAGTAGTCAGATGCGAAGTAAAAGGTGATAACTTGAGGGTGTCTCAGTGGCCAGGGAAGTCTCGATATCGAGATAACATGTCTTAGCTTGAATCATTTTATATGGAAGGATAAAAGATTAGGCTGAAAGTAAAGTACATATCTATTTCCAAGGCACATACAGAATTGAGATGAAATTATGTCAAAATAGAAACAATAGCTTATAACATATCAATATACTAAGTCTTAACATGAACACAGACAGAGCAATTCACAACTGACTCCATTTCCTCCCGATCAATCAGCGAGCCGACAGTAAGCAAATCCCAACCTCGGGAAACCCCGCCAAACCCCAACTTCTTTCTCTTCCTTTTCCAACACACGCCACAATGACTGAAGAGAAACAAACTAAGCGCTTCGAACCTAAGGTACCTGTCCAGCTCGACCCGCCAAAGGACGACCCTATTTCCCAAGAGGAATTGGCCAAATGCGACGGTATGGCATTGCCCCTCACAGACACTTTCCCGCCAATCCGAACAGTTATGATCAATGCTGTCAATTCAACGCATCTTAAAAGTTTATTGACACTGCAAACAGGTTCCGATCCTAGCCGCCCGACGCTGGTTGCTATCAAGGGTGTTGTGTTCGACGTGACCCGAAACTCGGCTTATGGACAGTCTGGTCAATATCGCGGTAAGTGTTCCGTCCTAGACTTTGTTGTAGCGTCAATTAGGACAGGCCACTGATAATGTTCCTCCTATGTATAGTCTTCGCAGGCAAGGACCCCTCCCGCGCGCTCGCTTGTTCCTCTCTCAAGCCCGAAGACTGCGTCCCCGAATGGTACGATCTGGCAGACAAGGAGAAGACCACGCTGAACGAGTGGTTCACCTTCTTCAGCAAGCGGTATAACATCGTCGGCAAGGTCGAGGGCGCAAAGAACACCTAAGATGTCATGAAGTAGTATGATTGGTTTGCCATCTACGTTCTATATACGTCGATGGCCTCGCATGGATCGAGTGTACGAAATATACCCAGTGCAACGGACTCAGTCCAGGATATCATTTTTGAAATCACAAATGCTTTTCATTTTTGGAATGGTGGTATCGCGTAGGTACAACAGATCTTCCCTCTGGGATAAATAATGCCTATACAGTAAAAATAAAATCACTCAAGCCTCCTTCATTTCCCCTTGCGGGTCTTGCGTTGCATGCGCTTCTTCGAGATGATGCGGTTGCGCTTGGCGATCTTGTTCTCTTCTTCATCATCCTTGTCGTCCTCCGCAGCCTTTCCATTTCCTCCCTTGCCGTCCTTCCCTTTACCGCGGCTCTCGGAGCGCTTCCTCTTCTTTCCGTGCTTGTCTGAGTCTTTCTCGTCGCCGGCATCGTCGGACTTCTTGGGCTTCGGTTCGCGAGATTTAGCCTGCAGCTCATTGCGGCGCTTGACAACCTGCGCGTTCTCAATGGCGAACTCAACAACAAGACGCTTCTTCTTGTCCTTGTCCTCGTCCTGCACGGATGCAGGCACTTGAATAGCGTGGCAGTTTAACCAGCGCAGACCCATGAGCGCGTGTCGGTGAGTGAAGTACTCGATGAATCCGTATCCACGACTGCGGCCACCACCGCTCTTCTCGGAGACCTTGGTACCCTCGCGGGTTTCGAAGACGACCTTGGCCTGGCGGACGATACCCATCTTCTTCTGCTTACGCAGTTGCTCGAGTTCCTTCATGGTATCGCGGGAGCGCTGCTGCTCCTCTCTTGAGAGGGGCTGGCGGACGCCCTTCTTGACGTCCTTGGCGAAGTTGACGACGGACTCTCGGGCAAGCTGCTTCAAGTCCTTGGAGTTAATGTGACGGGGGATGTTACGGATGGCGAGACGGGTCAGACTGAGGTGGAGGGCGGGGTTCTTCTTGATGAAGGTCTCACGCTGCTTGAAACTTTCCTCCCGCATCTTGATTTCGGAGGGGGAGAGCTTCTTGTACAGCGGGGAGTTGGTTGGGATTGTACCTTCGCCGAGAAGGTAGAGGCGGCGCTTGTCTGTGTCGCGAACTAGACGGCGTGATACACCCTCCTCTTCCAGCTTTGCGGCTTGGCCCTTACTGACGGCACGGGCGACTTGAAGGACTCGGCCTTCGAGAGTGTAGCGTCCGCTGGGGTCGGTGTTTTCATCTTGGAGGACTGAGTGCTTCATGGCAGTGTTGGCCTTTGGCTTGTCCTTGTTCGGCGCCATGACATCGTTTCCTCGGGGGCTTCGCGAATACAAGTGTTTGCGTCGTCGACCTTCCAGAAGCATACGAATCCGGTGCCTCGAGGGCGCTCGGTCTCGTGGTCCAGGACCACGCGTGCGTACCGTAGGGGACCGAATTGGGTGAAGTGTTCGTAGAGAGAATCGTCTGTAGCGGTGAAGGGCAGGTTGCGGAGGAAGATGGTAGAGTTATTGCGGTTGTCGTCTTGCTCTTCTGCGTCCTCGTCCAATTCGTCCAACTCATCCAGATCGTTGTCCTCCTCATCATCTGATCCTTCAGAAGAGGTCTCATCGTCTGAGGGCTCTTCCAGGTGACCATCGGCATCCTCCATCTCGACATCCTCCTTGTCCTCTTTCGGTTCCTCCTCCTCGTCCTCCTTCTTGGTAGTCTCCCACACATCCTTCTCAACAGCCCAATCGACAGCCAATGTACGGCCATCAATCTCCTTTCCGTTGACATTCTGAAGCGCCTTCTCGGCGTTTTTCCGGCCGCGCAGAATGACGAAACCAAAACCAGCAAGCTTGCCGTTCTTCTTGGGAAGAGTGGCGTGCTTGACCTTTCCGAAGCTGCGGAACAGAACCGAGAGATCCTCTGGCTCCTTGATAGTCCACGGCAAATTGCGAACAATCAGCTTAGGCGGTGCGCCCTGTCCTCTCTCCTCCTCTCGCTTGTGCTTCGATTCGAGAGACGCAGCGGTGGGAACACTGCGGCCAACTTTCTCATCAATCTCACGCTTACGAGGCTCGGCGTAGTCGACGCGAATTATCTTTCCATCGAACTTAGATCCGTTCAATTCCTTCAGAGCACTCTCTGCATCCTCGAGATCGGCGAATGTGACGAAACCGAAACCCTTGGAGACCTTGGTCTTGGGGTCGCTGACCACCACGGCATGCTTAATCACGTAGGACTGCGAGAAGTGTTCTGCGAGGCTTTCTGTGGTGGCCGAGGCAGGTAGTGAGCGGACGAAAAGAGTCCGCCTGGCTTGGGGTTGTGCTGGGACGTCGGTGGTGGTTGTGGTGTCTTCAATTTTGACTTCGGCATCCTCAGTGGTATCTGCGCCCGAAAGACGGCGTTTCTTGTGTGATTCAACCATAATGTGTTGGTTGCGACTGAACTTTTTCTTTAGTGAAGAAGAACAAAAAAATTGGCGGCAGAAAATTAGGAAGGCTTGACCGGGCGGTGTGGGTCCACGGTCCGATAAGGATAGCTTTATCAATTGCCATTTACTACGCTACCATTACCAACACCGTCGTGGTCGCTGAGATGGACCCAACAGAAAATACCCTGCCTTCTCGGCCTTCCGACTCCCCAGCTCCAGGTGCAAGCAGACAGAAAGTCCAGCAGCCAAAACCGCAAGCTCTTGCGAACAGACCAGGCACTTCCGCGATCCTTGTATCCACGCGACAAAAAGGCAATCCGATCCTGACACACATCAAGCTTCTACCGTGGGAATATGCCGACATTCCCGCTGACTATGTTGTCGGCACCACAACCTGTGCACTATTTCTGTCCTTGAAATACCACCGCCTACACCCAGAATACATCTACTCCCGAGTGAGACAGTTAGCCGGCAAATACAACCTTCGCCTCGTCCTTGTCATGGTTGACATTCCAAACCACGAAGATAGTCTCCGCGAACTATCTAAAACATCCATAATCAACAACTTGACATTGATATTATGCTGGTCTGCCCCAGAAGCCGCCCATTATCTAGAACTCTTCAAATCCTCGGAGAACGCACCGCCCACGGCAATCCGAACCCAACAAGCGCAATCCTACAAGGAATCTCTAGTGGAATTTGTCACTATACCCAGAAGTATCAACAAGTCCGATGCGGCCAGTCTAATTTCTACATTTGGGAGCTTGCAGAATGCTATCAATGCACAGCCGGAGCAGATCAGTGCTGTCCCAGGGTGGGGAGAGAAAAAGGTTCAGCAATGGTGCAATGCAGTTCGAGAAGACTTCAGGGTTGAGAATACGAAGAAGGCTGCTGCTCCCGCCGTGCCAACTCGGCCAAAACCAGCTCCAGCTCCAGCACCTGTCAATGATTCACCTGATCACGATATAGACGAAGATGAGGAGGAAGCAATTCTCCGTGCGGTGATGGCTGAAAGTAGGAAGACTGCAGCTGAGGCCGGGCAGTCTAGTGAGGCTCGCCCGCCTGGTGTGCAACCTGAAGAGATGAGTGAAGGCATTACAGCCGCGCTTGCGAGACTTAGAGATGATGCTGGTTGAGAGCTGAAGTATTCATATCTTCTTAGTGGAAAACCACTAGTCGAATTTCAAGCTTGGTGTGCCACACGCCAGCGCCGACTTTACCCCTGTCGGGCAAATCCAACGGTCATGGACCAAGCTGGTCACTGGAAATTTTGTTACTGGCATGAACGGGCTCAACAGCGTATGAAAAGCTCGCTGGCCGAAGTTGAAAAGCTATTCTCGAGAACTGCACTCGATGTGGTCGATTGGGAGCCAACTTATACTCTTCCATCTATATTCTGGGAATCACCAGAAGAACCTGACAGCTGCTAAACAAGAAAGGATAACTCAAAATCACTCCCAACAAATACGCCTTCAATCAAGCCAATTGGTTCCAAGCTCTGAATATGACCAAGTGTCATTCGTCCTTTAAGTAGAGGTTCTTATTCTACGCGGAGGGTCTACAAGTGTATCTCCGTTATTCTCATTAGTCGAGTGAGTGTTTCCGAACAGAACCAATGTCTGTCATAATAACCGTTTACCACAGATATGTCCACCGACTCAATCTATCTGAATCCGTTTTTGAATGTCGAAGTATAAAGGAGATTAACTGTATCTGTGTCCACTTTGTCGTGCTGTAAGCATACCCTCCCCAATGACATTCTCTCTTGCTGCAAAGAAGAGGCATCCATACCCAACCACGTCATCATTTCCGTCTTGCGCTAATGTTCTAATATTCTGAAATAGAAAATATAGAAGTCCAAATGTTACTCACGAATTTCCAAGAGAGGATGTAGAGCTTGCAATAGACTCGAGGCAGAAATTAAGTAGTCTATATAATATTCGCGCCAACGGTGATAGCCACGTCTGCGACGGCACCGAATTTTCCAACTAATACTACTAGTAGCTTTGCGCTCAGAATTGATAAAACACTTTCTGCAAATTCATGTTCTTCTGCGTCGATTGGCACTACCGACAAATAGTGCTACCACTGGGGTGGTAGCTGGTCAGCGGTATCTTGGGCCTTAAGGATAAGAAGAGCTGATAATAATGCCATTTTCGACTGTGGTAACAGTCATCTTGGTCAAGACTAAACTTCCAGCCTGATTCATCCCATTCAAAAGAACTTGTTAGGGTACCTTTTCAGCGTCGTTCCACCATGCGACTGCGCTGATTCTGCTCCACTCTGATCCGGTGGGATGACTTCGGTGGGGTGGAATATACGACTTGTACTCCATGTTCATAGGGGCAAATTTTCTCTTTTTCCTCTTCAACTCTTGAACAACAGTAATAATATGCCGCAGTTCAATGTCAGGTCCCCGGCTGCACCTCGATCTACCGTCGGAAGGAGCATCTCACGACGCCACAAAATGCAACATGCTGAAACTCAACATTGGCAGCTGTTCAACTTGTGGTCGCGTCTATTCTCGCAAGCCCTCGTGTCCATATATTCTTAATCATTTCATAATGGATAGCTATACAGTTACAGTATTGACGCCATATCCGTCGCGACCATGAAGACCCCGGACGGTCTCTCACTCACGCCACACAGGCCTGTATGAGATGTCGTATGACCAAAGCACGGTACCAGGGAGGCTCACCATGTACAAGGGAAATTTATGTATCTTGATGATCCGGTCCTCCCCGGCATCGAGTCTGCTCAACTAGATGCCGAAGAAGTTGGGGAGTACGGTGATGATCGATTAATAGTTCCATCGAGAATACCGTCCGAGTTGACCATGACATACGTCTTTACTTCATGCAATTTCATCAACACTGGTCAATTCTACATTAGGCTATCGTCAGTGTTCCTGACGAGCTCCCATTATTGCTTCAGGCAATGTTAGATCGGCCTCTGGGTCAGTGGGAGCCCGGCGGCACAACAAGGTGCTCGGCACTCGCACACCAAGCTTGGACCGGCAATTTCGGCGCGGCGCGTAAGTTGTCCAAGGTAATCTCTCTATTGGGGAAGGTCTGTCCAACTGATTGTTGGTTCGCAGGACAATTGAGAAGATCAGTAGAAGTGGGAATATAGACGAACAATGTGAACAGTGGCAGTAGAAAGCAGTAAATTATAATGCTAAGATCCACAATTCCGGTAAGAAGTAGTTCTCTCAATCGTCCATATTAAGCCAGCATAATAATATTTTTCACCCTATAACATTGTGTTTTCTTTCTACATTTTACATCTCATTTGACACGGAAAAGGGATAAAGGCTCGTTGCTTCCCCGCAAAGTTAACAGCCATGGGTGGAATTGGCGTTAGCCAATGGCATCATACGATTGTCACCACAACATCCGATTTGGTAAAATGGATTACATCACTACAAATGCGGGAATATAAGAACCTCCGAACCTCCTCTTTTTGTGCTTAGTTTCATTTTTACCTATCTTCTACTCAAATTTTCAACATGAACAACTACAATTCTCAGTGGGTCTCGTTCCATATTCGGGGCCACCTAGACAAGGGCGACGTTCTGGTTCAGAACACTGTCATTGAAGGGTATTTGTTGTTTCCTAGTACCCATTATATCTCTAATATATGGTAGCGGTGAGTTCTACGATGTCAATGACCGCCGCAAATCCCTCACTGAAGAGGAGATCGACGAAATTGTGATCCCTTCCGATGGCGTCGGCGAGATCGGTGCCCAGAGCCGTCGGGGCAGCGAGGGCCGTCTCGACTTGTTTCATGACAACTCCAAGATTTGTGAGCTTCATTGGGAAAACAGAGGAGGAAAGTATGTCAATTTGGTCGAGGTGTTGGACAATAACGACAAGTATAGAATCGAGCATGGGGGATGGAGTTCAGAGGCAGGACCTCTCGGACACGTGTTTGTGGATATCTTGCCGAAGAAGAAGTAGTGCTTTACAGCTACAGCAAGGGGGAGATATTGAGGTTTCATACCCCACCCTTTTGCCATTCTTCGTGTCGATACACCGCGTCAACCCGAGAGCTTGCCTCTTTCTGCTTTTGTTTTGAACGAAACCAGTCACTACCAGTCACCACAAATTAATGGGCTTCAGAACCCAACTTTCAAATCCACTATCGGGATCTCACGATTGTTAACTTGGAGGATTCACGCCGTAATGGTAAAATAGACAGTAGGAACCTACCTTTCACGATTCCCTATCTAATATGTAGGGATAACGTAGTTTATAGTTGGCAGTTATCCTGATCAATATGATGCGTAAGCCTTCGACAGTTTCTATTCCTATCAGCCCGTTCTAACTCTTGCGCCTCCCCACAACACCTGAGTTTCCTGTTAGTCGACCTGTGACAATTAATAAGTAAATAAGAAAAGGATCTTCCGTAATTATAGCGCGAGTAAAAGAACTACTTTGCTAAGCCGCCTGCTCTCTAGATCGGTCTACTGCTCGCTTAATGGGACTTGGGACTGAATTCAGTGATGTACCACGAGTTCCGAGACGATATAGGGTGAAGAAATCGAAGCCTACTTAAATAGAGTCGAATTGCATAAATATGAAAACGCGGCGATGTGAATTATGTAGATATGCGCCTATATAGACAGGATAATGCCTACCGGGTGGGATCTTTCCTATCTCCGCTGCCGCCACTTTTATGAAGGCGCTTAGGCTTAGGCTCACTAAGTCGTTAGATGTTAGCAAAGGCTCACCTAGGCAGATTCAGGGATCATGCTTAGGTCAGTCACGATTAGAGTGGCTGATCCTTAGTGAATGAATACTTAGTGAGATGCGCTGGGTACCTACCTCCGAACACCCAACAGTGACTCTATTGTCTTCATATCTCATGATTGTTGTGCAAGGTACCATACAAGAAATCCGCCTCGGCTGGCAGATTCAAACCGGGGCCTGACACAGGTTATCAGGATTAAGAGCCGAGTTCGTCGCTTGTTCCAAATCGCGATGTGCGGCGCTAGTGGCACCTGCAAACACTGGATCGATTGTCCCTTTGAGTCTATCAACTGCTGCAGCGAGAAGATTATCGGACTGCCGCTGCTTGCTCAAAACGTCTTTGAGCGCTTCACGTAGAAGCGGATCACCCGCTGATTCACCCAGCAATAGCACATCGCTAAAGGACTCCATCGTCTCACCATCGACCTTTAAGGGCAGTCTGGTCAAGTCCCGAAGTGCTTTTTCAAGCTTGACCTGGTGAGCAGAGAATGGTTCTTTTGACCGATTATCTGCACCAAGTTCTGTCTCATGCAATACACGCTTGATGTCATACAAACCACAACCCTCGAAGACCACGAGGGCAGCCAATGCAGAACGGGTATATTCAACAGTGAGGAACAGCTTTGATGGGTCCGATGGAGAGGTGAAACACTGTCCAGGGCCAATTCCATATGAATACAGCCCTGCCAGCAAACCCGTAGATGTAAGCGATGCAGTACTCGAGTGCATGTGGACGGATAAGGTCTTGAGAGTGGAGTGAAAGGTGTCGGAAAATGCATGGCTGGCAGGAAATGGGATAGCGATTTGAACAGGCGGATTTTGCGAGGGGACTACCATGTATGTAGAAATAGATCTACCAGACGCCCTTCTTGATCTATGCCACCTTCAGTTGCTCGCAAAACCCAGCAAGTAACAAGAAACCACACGGACCCAGGTTCGGATGATGCACGGGGAAGTGAATCATATAAAATGCGTATTGTTGCTTTCGGGAGGTGACGAGCGAAAAGGGGTTTGTACCAAATAGCCAGTCCGCAGGTCTATTTCCTAATTGAATTAAAACAGCACTCTGTCTATGATACCGTAAAAGGAAAAGCGTACATTGAGAGGGCTCCAATAGCCTGTCAACAACTGCTAACGAATTTGAAAGTACACTATCTAAAGATGCCATTAACTATGTGTTGAACAGCAAATATTCTTCCCTTATTTTCTGGCAAGGAGACTACTCCCTCACCAGCACACGCGAGTTCACGGGTTCCGGTTGTACAACGAGCCGCGGATTGCAAGAGGGTCGAAGAGAGAGCCAAAAAGCTGATGATTGAATACCTCGAGCTACTCGACAGTTGTCTCTTGTTGAGCTGAACGGATCACCCGCGCAGGAACTCCAACCGCAATACTAAAAGGCGGAATATCTGCCTTCACGACAGAGCCGGCGCCAATCGAGCAACCCGAGCCAATAGTAACACCGGCCAAAATGATAACACCAGCACCGATCCAGCAGTCATCTCCAATAGCAACACCCCTTGTAAATTCACATCCTCGATGTGCTCTCCGCTCTTCGATCATGGTGTGGTGCTCCCCGGTGATGATACTGACATTCGGGCCAATTTCCACATTGTTCCCAATCGAGACCAACCCACAGTCGAGAATGGTAAGGCTACAGAGACGGAGACTTTAGTGATTTGTTTCTAGTCGAGATATGGCACGTACTGGAAGTTGGCATAAAAGCTCTCGCCTACACTGATATTACATCCATAGTCGACAAAGAGAGGAGGTTCAATGTAAATACTATGCCCCGTGCGACCGAAGAGATTCTTGAGGATGGTTTCTCTCTGGTGAGCGGTCTTTTCCGATGCGACGTCTCCGTAAATAGATGCGTTGAACTCTCCAGTGAGCTGCCTTGCTCGCGACCGACCCTCTATGAGATCTGGTGCTAAGGGAGTATATCTACGCTCGGGAGGCGAGGCAATAGTTAGTTTTTGGACGGAGCCAGGAACAATAAACAACATACAACATGCCACTTATCATCCGCTGATATTCTTCCCCCCAGCAAACGCCTCGGAGATTTCGAGCCTTACTCATTACCTCGCTGTCCTTGTCTGTTTTGGGAATCATATTGGCCCAGGGTGACTTTAATTACTTATCCTTTGTCTCGTGACGGGTCCTCGCGAAGCAGATGCTCAATTTATATGCTCCATCTCGCTATTCATCGCCCTCTAATAGCTTCAACACATCGTGATCATCAGAGTTGATTGTCCAATGGGATGATTTGTAACACCGCACATTTTAGCTGATTGACCAACATGACACGGAGCCATTGCTGGAATACGAACATGCGGAGAGGACAGTCTCGGTTTCGCGGTCCTGCGGCCCGGAGGATAGCGCGATTCTCGCGAAGATTGGAATTCAATACACTGTGTCTACATCCGTTTTCTAACATTTATAGCAGGAATGCTTGGCTTCCCGGTCTATGCTTCCAGTGTATACTGCAACATCAAGTTCGACAATAAGTGGTATGTAATGCTGGCCTGTGTCATACAGGGTGCATCTTCCGGATTATTCTGGCTTACAGAAGGCGCTATTGTTCTGGCTTATCCCGAGAAGCAAAAGCGTGGCAAGTATCTCGCATACTGGCTTGCTAGTTGGATTGTTGGCCAGAGGATTGGGGGTGCAGTGATCTTTGGTGTCAATGCGCATAGGAAAGAGAAGGGTCATATCAGTGTTGAAATGTATCTTGGTTTCATTGCTATTCAGGCTATTGGGCCTTTTGTGGCGCCTTTGCTCTCGCCTCCTGCCAAGATGCAACGATCAGACTATACCCCGTTGTGGTGAATCTTCCTTCTAGTCTTTCGAAGGAGCTTAGAGAAATGGGCAACCTTCTTTGTCGGAAGGAATTTCTGCTTTTGGTCCCGATGATGTTCCAAAGTGTGTTCTCTGAGGCTTTCTTCTCAACATACAATGCCACCTACTGCACCGTCCGAGCACGGCCTTGGCCTCACTTGTTGCCAGTACCTCGGTTATATTCGTGAACTTCTCTCTAGGGTTCTTCCTAGACTGGAGGAGACCCAGTATCAATCCGCCGGCAATAGTTGCTTTTATTCTGATTTATGCATTCGAGTTATCACTCTACCTCTATGCAATGGTCATCACAAAAGAGTACGAGAACCGAGACACAAAACCATTTGACTGGACAGATGATGGTTTCGGAAGATCGGCATGCGTCTACATCCTCATGCTAGTGGGATTCAACCTCATGTACGACTACCTCTACTGGGTCGTCGGAACGATCAACAAGAGTGGAGGGGAAGTGGTTCGGCCCAGCGCAGTGATACGAGGCATCGAAAGTGCAAGGCAGGCAATCTCTTACGGCATCAATTCGATCAATCAGGACCAATTTCCTCTATCAGGAGCCGTTGCGGTCAATATGAGCTTTTTTGTGGTTTGTATCATTCCATCTTGGCCTGTTATTCGGAGGGTTGGTGTGCTTAATGACCTCAAGGTTCATTCTATTGTTCAGGATGAGGTTGCAGAAGATCTTTTAGAGGATACTCTGCGGAGTGATTCTGATGTCTATCGGGCTACACAAAAGAAAGTCCATGGTTCGGATGTTATTGCGACGGCCGAACATGACGAGATAAGTCCGATGCATTGAAGGCATGTGGGCTTGGCTGCAGCGTTGAGGACGGCGTTGAAATCATCTTGAGTCTTTTTCCTGGTTTCTTTCTTGTTCTTTGCTTCCGATATTTATGCGGTGCTACCCCCAGCTTTAAACAGTCTCGGTTTGATACTACTCCCATACGCACCTCATCCTTGTGGTAGATAGTATATACTGAAACCTTTAGCTTTAGAACATGGGATGGAAACTTCAACAAAAGAGGGTCCATGATAGCTCAATTGGTGTAAATGGACAACCTTATTCCAAACGATGGATCGAAACTCAGACCCTATTAGCGACGGCATATCACTATGAGTGATTATTGAGTTTATGAATGTCAGTCTGTTTGTCATAAATTGACAGTGTTGACCAGGCTGCGCAGTGGGGATCTTGTCGTGAACGTGTCAGCCCTAAATTGAACATGCTAAAGCCCACGTGGTCTATCACAATGCGCTGCCATTCAGCAATCCACTTTGTCCTCTGTATATCACCGGCCCTGGGAAGTCCAGTACCAGTATATCCAATATCAGACCACGTCAACCTCCCAGCCATTTTCACCAAGCTATTCGACACCACAAATCAACTCTACCGCGACCAAAACATAACCAAAGACCTATCCGAACTCAAATTCCGAATATATGACATCGCCCTAGGCAGAACAACACCAGTCCCAAGCATAGACGAAGCACTAACAACCTTCTCAACCCTCCAAACCAACTTAAACCCACTCCAACGAGCCCTAACTCTAGCACGCAACAACCTAATCCCAACAAACATCCTCGACATCCTCTGGGGAATAACAAACAAACAAATAAACTCAATAACGAACACAAACCCCAAAGCCCCAAATCCCCCAATCTACCCAACAAACCACCCAACCGACGCCCCATACTCAATCCCAGAAACAAACCTACGCTCCGCAATCCACATCCCAGAAACATTCACCTACGGCAAAACAAACAAAATCCCAATCCTCTTAATACCAGGAACAGCAGATCCAGCAGGGAGCACCTACTACTTCAGCTACACGAAGCTATTCACAGAATACGCATTCACAGATCCAGTCTGGGTGAATATACCCGGCGATTCCCTAGACGACATCCAAACAAACGCAGAGTACGTAGCATATGCGATCAACTACCTATCCTCAATATGCAACCGCACCATCGGCGTGCTATCCTGGTCTCAGGGTGGAATCGACGTGCAATGGGCATTGAAGTACTGGCCATCGACACGGGCCGCAGTTAGTGATTTCATGGCTGTCAGTGCTGATTTTCACGGGACTGTCATGGATATCCTGTGTGATTACCCGTCTCCGTTTTGCACGCCTGCGATTTCGCAGCAGGGGTATGAGACCATGTTTGTGAAGGCTTTGAGAGGAGGAGGTGGTGATTCGGCGTATGTGCCTACGACGAGTGTGTATTCAGGTTATGATGCCATTGTGCAGCCGCAGAGTGGGGGAATGGGGGCATCAGCGTTTTTAAAGGATGAGAGGGGGTTGGGGTTGAGAATGTTCAGGTTCAGGTTGCTTGTCGGGGGATGGTTGGGGGAGGGTATTATTCGCATTCTTCTGTGCTTGTTCATCCGTTGGCGTTTGCGCTCTTTGTTGATGCTTTGGAGCATGAGGGCCCTGGGCGGTTGGAGAGGATTGACCTTGGGGTTGTTTGTGGGATGTCTCTTGCGCCTGGGCTTCGGTTGGATGAGTTTTTGGGAACGGAGGTTATTGGGGATGTTGTTGGACCGCTTAATACTTTGTTGTTTCGGCATGGTCCGAATGTTGAGCCGCCGCTTAGGGGGTATGTTTATTGATAGTTGGAGATATACATGACTGGTTCGTGTTCTTGTTCTTGTTCCCACTGGGTACTAGTGATCCGATATGGGCAGTGGTCTCTATCATACATACAAAGTCAAAGGCTTTCATTGGGTATTATTGTGTGGATCTCTAGACAGAATCTCAGTTCGATCGAGAGATCAGCACGGCAACGAAAAGCACAGCACAAAGCCTCCGGCCCAAGCCGACAAGGGGCGTAAAGAAAGGAATGCGAAATGGAAAAAAACACGAGTACGAGGTGGATATAAGACCCGGCAAGCAGACTGAAAACGATATGCCGGAAACAAACTAGCAGTTCATCGTGGGTCGAGGACTTCATTTCATTGGGGCTCTGGCTAATCATCCCGTGGCGAAAAGCAGACATCGTAGCGTAGGAGCCGAGAGGCAGAGGCCGTGGCATGCTAACAAGACTCGAAATGGGATTCGTCAAATTTTGGTGAAAGGAAAAGAAAATGGAATGGAAAGGAAAAGTTGACGGCATTTATGTGGGCTTTTCACATCCAATGCGGCCGAGTAGGGCTTTCCGATCACTCTGGTCGAATGGAACACGGCCACGGCCCCGGGCACGTACCGAGGCTCCGTTGGACCGCCGACGGTCCAGGCCAGGGGCACCGTCAATGGCAATTGTGTCAGGAGTGGCACCGTCCTTGGCAACCAGGTGCACTGGAACGTGGGATACGGGTTGATCCTCGACCTCAGCCTCATCCTCCTCGTCACTGCGGGAGTCCTCGGCGTTACCACCGCAGAGAACACCGTATGCAACACGAACGATCATGCTGAACCAGACAATGGACAAGCCCTCCAGGGTCAGCAAAAGGGACAAGAAGATCCATTTCACGGTGCGGTTCATGCAGATGGGGTTCTCCAGGTTGAAATACGGTCCGAACAGGTATGCAAAGGAGTCCGGGTAGCCATTCTCCGAGATCATCTCAGCCGTCGAACCAGAGTAACAGCCGTATGACATTTGCGCTGGGACATTTTTATAGATGGACCAGCAAAGGGCTGGGTAGATGATGTGACGGGTGATGAACCAAGTGGTCATGAACAGACCAAATCCAATGTTGCAGGCTGTTTCGAACTTGAGGTACTTGAGAATTTTCGCGGACTGTCCAATAATTAGTAGCTGATAATGAGCACTTGTAGATGAACATACCGGTAACAGAAAGTCCACAACATCCATCAAACACAGCACCACGTTGGATACATTATAGAACCCGTAAATGTAAGCGGAGCTCAAAAGAGCGCTGGTAATGATGTGGTGAGAAAGCATCTGGTAGTGATCCTTGCGCCTCTCCTCCACGTGGATGACGAAGATCTGCTGCACGAGGAATGCAAGTTCCACGAGCAAGTACCACTTCATCAGCCCAGAGAGAGGACGCGCAGGCCACCTGGACCAGATGGGAGCAAAATCGCCCCAGTAGTAGGAATTCTTCCAGAGATACTGCGACAAAACAACAGTCAGTTACCACAACCTCGAAGAGCATTATATCGACCGAACGCACCATTCCCACGCCCCAGATGAACGAGTAGTACATAGCATTCCAGCCCTGCTCAGCAACACGGACAGCCTGCTTCCGCTTCAATCCCGCCGAGCGAGCCATTGGCTGAATAATCCATTCGATAACAATGGCGCGTATACCGGTGAATGCGACAGCGGCACTGAAGACGAAGTAAACATCGTCCCAGCCCTGCACGTATGAATTCGAGGCTGCGTCGTAGTAGGACAATTGGAAGAAAGGCTGTGTGTAGGGTCGGAGTGAGGGGTAGAGGTTGTGCAAGGCTAGTAACATAGCCAGGATGGTCATGGAAATGCCTGCGAAGCCATTGGACATGAGTTAGCAGAGCCGTAATCTAGCTTTAGGTTATGCCGAGGTACGCATAAACAGGAGCGCAGCATTTCCCGACACAGCGCGGATTTCCAGTCTGTTTCTTTCTGCTCGAATTGGGTCAGGAACTGTTGGCGTATTCATACCGATCTGATTGGCGACCACCCATTCACGGAACGTGGTCTCCTTGACCCTCGATCCAACGTATGCATTGCGCTCCGACGCTACGGAGGTCTCTTTGGACATGGTGAAGAGTGCACCAGAGTTGTGAAAAAGGGAGATTCTGGGGGAAGAGCTGAAGTCGGAGAAGTTGAGAGTCGAGAGTCGAGAATGTTCAGGGCCGAGATGCGTGTGGGACCTGCCTCATCCGCCACGCCACTATTTTCGGAGCTGTGGAGAGAAGGACTCGTTCAACCGGGAACGACAGGATGAGAAGAAGAGAGAGAGACTGAGGAAAGGGAATGGAGGGGGAAGTCTCGTTTCATCTCACGACGATCATCTCCACTCACCGCCTCGTCAAGTGTTGAATGTCGATGTTGATGATTGGATGCACAGGTGCATGAACTACGTAGGGGTTGAGCTTGGCTGGCTGCACGTGTACATCTAGGTAGTTAACTTACTTATACATATATTTACATACTATGTGTGTGTGTGTGTGTGTGTGTATAAAATGCCATTTCCGGTGTATTTATGTCATTCCTGGCATCTGCGGATGTCCACGTCAATTATATATTGACTATATTGACTATTTACTCTAAACCCTCCGTCACTCCTCGCACAAACTCATTCGCACTGACACCCAATTGTGCCAGGTCGATACCTCCTTGGCCAGCCATCGCCCGCGACATGGCTCGAGCCACTTCCTCCTCTTCCCAAATATTGTTGAGGATCTTCCCTTCTCCCGCCTGAGTGGGGTTCTCCGAGGCCACCATAGTCTGCCAGTACAAATCATCGCGACTCTTCAGGGCCTTGTCACGCACCACAGCATTGCGAGTAACACTGGTAGCATGCATTTTGGTGTGGGCACCCGTTAGCGCGTTCACGGCTATGGAGACAGCCTTGTCAATCTGCTCATTCGTAGAGGGCTGCTTGAAAAAAAACCGATTCGTAGCGGAGAGGTATAACACCACTGAACAGGCGACATCGCAGACCACGAACGCCAGCGGTCGCAGCAGTGTGATGCTATTGTAGAGGCCGGAGGGCGGGGTCTGCCCCGACCGCACAGACGTTGAGGCACTTGAGATGGCATCGTAGGTTGCCACAATGTAGACATCAATCGCGGCCAGAGCCAGACCGGCCATGGTGAACTTCGTACGCCAGCGGGCGGATTCGTGGCCTGCGATGGGTGCTGAGGTGGCTACGCCGAGGATCATGAGGTGGACCAGATGCGGGAGCAGGACGTGGAATGGTAGGTAGTACATGAGGAAGGTGTTCAGATTATCAAAGGAGCAGTACTGGCACGAAGTCAAGGCATCTGGGCCATAGGTCAGGTAGACCTTGCGGGCACCGAGGGAGGTGAACTTGGATTGAAGGAGGGTGTCGGCTGCGGTAAGAAGGGCATCGGGCCGGAGACGCGCGAGGCGGGCAAAGAGGATATCTGTCGGTGTGTTGATGCGCGAGCGAGTCAGGGAGAAGATGTTGGGTTCGGGCGCGTGAGGGTTGAAGGGGAGGCTCAGGAGGAGGAAGAAGACGATGCTGCCGAACAGGATGTTGAGCGCTCGGCCTGGGGCTGCGGGTAGAGGGCGCGGTGGAGGACGGCTTGCAATGGATGCGCGGAGGTTGCGATAGGCAGTGATTAAGCGTGGTAGTAGCACTGGGCCGAAAAATATGAGGAGGGATTTGACGCTTTTCACTGTCAGCTATAGAATGCGGAAAGTAGAGCTTTGGAACTTACGTTCCCCAGGAGATGGAGATTGTCGCCATTTTGGAGCTTGTAGGAGATAATCCTACTTCATTGGGCTCTCTGACAGTCGAGTTTAGATGACAGAGTGTGAAAGGCGAAGTGTCCAGTTCAATGAATGTCGGGGCCAAAAGGCGTGGGTCCGACAACTACTCATCCTTGCAAATAACTTACTTCTACTCTACAACTACTCTCTGACAACGAACATGCCATACTCCATATCTATTCAATGTCATGTCTACGTTCAGGGTAATCTGCATCATTTATAAAGATAATCTCAATTGGCTCCAGCTAAATAGCATCAAATACAAAGAAACAAATACCAGGGGAATCAAACGCCAAACGGCCATCGCAAAAACGCTTGATCGTTCAACTCAAAGCCAGATCATCCATTGAAAAGAAATCCATTCCATTTTGCAGACTAATTTCAAGTCCAGCTCAAACCATATGTCCCGAGTACAAAGCAGGGTGGTGAGCAAGATCAGGCTCGCGGATCTCCACCGAGTCACGAGAGTACTTGGACGAAGCAGCATCATTCTCAGCGACCAGCGTTGGGTTCATCGGCTTGGAGATCTTCAGAGGGAAGCGACCAGTGAAGCGCTGGGTGGCACGCTTCACGGGGTTCGACCTAGTATACGACGGAAGCGTTTCTTCGCGCTTCATGCTCAGGTGGAGAGTGCGGTGGCTGCTTGTTCGGCTCATCACTTTCTGTGGTGCAACTGCGCCGTAGGCTCGGACGTGGCGGGCGCTGACGCCGGCTTTGTAGTCGCTGAAGAGGAAGCTCTAGAAGGATGAATTAGTACAATGTCAAGAGAATACAGATTGGGGGTTTAGATTTACTTACTGCTAGCACGTTGAGCACACTAACTACCATTGCAAGAACACCGGCGGAGATGATAATGCGCCAGAAGGCCATTCCGATTGTTTCCTGGGTCATGGCCTTGGTGTTCAAATTGCCTAGAGTCGAGACACCCAGAATCATCATGATACCGGCAAGAGTGTAAAAGCCCGCATCCTGACCGAACATCGGCCAGTGATCATCGAAATAAGTGCGCAGAATGGGAAGCTCGGAGATAATGAGGAAAACTGTCAAACGATTAGTCCAATGTCAAGTATATGGAAGAGAACACACTTACTGCTAACGATAGCCACCACGGCATGAGTCACAGCCTCGAAGAAAAAGAAGCTGTTCAGCATATTGATTTTGACCAGCATGACCACGGATGCAGCAATGATATCAAGGAAAGCGATAATGTTGAGTACGCGGATGGCGTTCAAAATCACGTACCCTGGACCAGCCAGGGATTCACGCAATCGGTTCATCATGTTAAAATCAAAAGCAGCAGTTGAAGTAGAGAAACAGGTGTAAATTGGGTAGGAGAGCCTTCGGGTTTGGAGAAGAGATTAAAATGGATGGGAAGGAAGCAACCTGACCAGCAGACAGCTTGATATTCCACAATGGAACAAAGCGAGGTCAACTCGAGGGAAGAATATACAAAGGGAAAATATGAATGGGACAATGGAGGTAGACGAGAATATCTACCCTATTGAATGCCGATTGTTGTAGCGCCTTGTCTGCTATGAATAGACTTGAAACTGACACAAAGGACATTTAATTAAAGCTCCCACTGAAGGAGATCGACAGGGTTCTGACTCGATATGGAACCGATGCGATCTATGCAAGCGTTTCATTGTGGTCCAGTTAGAACCATTCAGCGCTGAGAGATCCGGGGTTATATCCCAAAGGGGCTTAGGGTCTTGATACCTTGGTAATACAATCTCAACTGGCTTTTGAGATAGCTGAAGGAGTGGCTGAGAGTTGTTGGTTTCAACCAGGGTGAAACGACTCCTGGCGGCTGCGGGTGGCCACTGCCCTCGCCTACTTCAGCCTTATATTGGGATGTTTTTGCCCAAAAACACATGAATCATACCTATCTGTTAGTGTGATCTAGGGGGATCTCATGATATTTGAAGCAAAAGGTTAATGGGGTTCTCAAGTCGAAGTGCCGAAGAAGTCAAAAGGCAAAGTATGAAACGAGGTAACAATCTCCGACCCCAATGGTGGGGAATTAATAGGCGCCCGGCACCTTGAGAACAGAAAATATATCAACCCCGAAGACTAGCATATCCAAGCCAGTAGTCCGTGGTTGTACTGTAGTTAGGGCAAGTAAGTATGAGGCTAAGGATTTGGTGGCGGGATCCCAAGCCGAACCCCTCCAAACTTTTTCTCCGTTTCACGATTTCGCGCCCACTCACTCCCTACTTTCCTTATATACGAAGCCATAATGACGCGAGGTAACCAGCGCGACAACGATCGGGCCAAGGCCCAGAAGAAGGCTGCTGCTTCGGTTCGTCTCCCCATGCGCCAGCGTGTCTGACTCTCTAACAACCGCCACAGAAGGGGAAGAACACCCAGACTGGCAGCCAGTACCAGAAGTCCAAGGAAGACGCTGCTGCCATTATGCGCGAGAAGCAGAGGAAGGGTATCTATTACAATTACCGGCAAATCTGGCTTGGGTCACAGGGCTAACTTTTTCTCCTTACAGCGGACGAGAAGAGGGCTGCAGAGGCAGCAGGAGGAGGGAAAAAATAATGCGATTCCGATTCTTCGATTCATACCGGCTCCTTTTGCGATTTCTACCGTTCTTGCGATGCCGAACATACCATCTGGCAACCAGACAATAGACAACAGGCAACTTTGGAATGGCATCGTGGAGATTGGGTCACGGAGGAGCTGGAACTTGGATACGACTTGGAAACATCATCCACCTATGCCCTACTTGCAAATATTCCGGGCGGGTGTCTAGCGAGGCGTTCATCTGACTCTCATTGGCGTTTATACCAAAGCATACTGTACATCAAAGCGCTAATCAAACGAGACACGACACAGAAGTTATTGGTGGTTCTGTTATTGGCGGTCGTCCACCCTTTCACAATCTACAGGATTTACCCACCATATTTAGACCATTATAATTTGAGGCACTGAAGAATGGGCAAAAAGTAGCGAAAAGGAGAGGCCAAAGTAGAGCGAAACCAATGCAGGGAATGATATACGCGCTTCGAAGCTAGGTTTCGTGTAGAGACTGTCGAATACTTTACCAGGGACTGTATACACATTTATGACCCTTGTTGTAGAATATGCCTAGAATACACATATACGTAGTTAAGCTGTTTACGAAGTATCATTCTGACCATTTACTGCCCAGTATACCCTCGCCCGGTCCAACCAGGTCTGCCATGACTTCTTCTGTAAAGCATCCTGCGTACTTGGGGAGTCCTTGGATACAGTTTCCAGGATGCAGCATAAACCCATACCATCTGCCACACTTTCAAGGCCGAATTGCTTAACAGCTTGATGGACAAATGTCCAAAGACTCTCGCCTTCCCACCCAACACCAAGCGAAAACGTGAGCACTTTCTCAAGCGCATGCGCTCGCACCGTGTAATCGGGGACACGGCTCAGCTCGTATATCCCAAAACTCCACCCAGAGATATCGCGCGGATTAGCCAGGCACCATTCAATCGTCCGGTTGACAATGGGCAGCGCCGCTTCAGCTTTCCAGTCTGGTTTCCCTGCCATTCTTTCGGCAAGAAGCGCGTTCAGCTGTCGCATATAGCTGAACGCATAGTAATTCTTCGGATGCAGTTCTCCCGCACGAAGAATAATCTCCAGTTCACTCCGCTGGAGTTGTAGCATAGCCTCGGCACTCCAGGCCCGTCTTTCGAGTAGATGCCTCAGCACCCAGAGCCGGTGGTACCATAACGTAGGCGACTTGGTATGGCGATGAAGTGGCGAGCATTGGTAACTCGACATGAGCGTAAGCTCAGCTTCTAAGAGTTCTGTTACGGCGGGGGTCTGGTTTGGAATATCCTTGGCGTTCGAATGTGCCATGGCTGCGCATAATCGACGCTTGCGCCAATTGCAGGCTGTGAGATGTTCACAGTCAAATAGTAGCATCACTTCTGTAATTGTTGTAACCGTATTTGTTGACTGGGCTTTTGTGAGAATCGCACTTTGCAAGTCATCTTCTGACATGGGCATTAACGTCTTGAAGAAGAGTGCTCGCGCGACCGTGTACGCCTGCACGAGTGCTTTCTTTGTGATTCCCACTGAGCAGCCATCTTGCAGGAATGTTGCGCCTAGGCTTGGAGGGATGATCTCGATTTCGAGGACTTGGTTTCCTCTAGATGAGAAGATGCGGGCAAGTTCCTGGAATGTATGCTCTGGGTTGGACATTTGATTATTTGTTTTTTTTGGTGCAGAGAATTAGAAGAGGCTATAGTGAGGACCTCATCATATTGAGTCCTTTGATTCTTTGAAATGGACCTGTAATTTGTGGGCAAATGGAGAAGTGGTGTAGGCATGCGAAGGCGGAAAGGCCAAGTCCGCTGTTATTTCCACCTTTCCACATTGGACGTCATTTCACTTCAACACCATTTCTTGACAATATCCCTCGGTTTCGCCTGCAATTTAGGCCCTGCTATCCGATTGAGCCGTCGCTTTCCTCCAGGCTATCCCAGCCTGCGCAGTCGCAGTCGCAGTCACCACCTCCGCATCCTAACTCCTTCAACCCCCGCCACGATGCTGTCCCTCGTCTTGACAGTGCTCTTTGTGCACATCGCAATCCACTTGGTCAACACGATCGGTGCGAGTACTATAGACAACCTTGTATGCCACCAATAAGCGCCCGCTTAGGCCCTGCAACTTGCAGCTCCGCAGAACACCTACATGTGAACCCAACAACTAACACCTATTCTCTAACAGCTATGGCTCCTATACCTACGACTGCCTACGCCAACAGCCCGGAAAGCTCGCAAGCAGCAACAGCTAAAGCGCGAGGTCCTCGAACAAAAGCGCGATATGAACAGTGTCAGCTCGCAAGACCAGTTCGCGAAATGGGCGAAACTGCGCAGACGCCATGACAAGACCATGGAGGAATACGAGGCGATGAGTACGTGTCCCATTGCCATGGCATAGAGGAGACAAGACCACGCTTTTCTCCCGGCTGGTTTAGACTACTAACGCACCCTTCTTCACAGACAAGACCCTCACCTCGCAGAAAACCTCCTTCGACTGGAGCGTCAAGACCGCTCGCTGGCTCAGCACAAACGGACTGAAAATCTTCCTGCAATTCTGGTACTCCAAGACCCCGGTCTTTGCTCTCCCCGAAGGCTGGTTCCCCTACTACGTTCAATGGATTGTGTCCTTCCCTCGCGCGCCACTGGGCTCTGTGAGTATCCAGGTTTGGAGCAGTGTCTGTGCGGCTGCTATTGCGCTTGTGGGGGAGGTTGTGGGTGCATTTATTGCGCAGGTGGTAGGCCGGAAGGAACCTGTGCCTGTTGGCGCTGAGAGTAAGAAGGCGCAATGAGTAGGATTGTCCTGGCTATCATAATTTATGGGCTTGGTTATGGTGTATTATATGACGGGTAATGCCACGATATTATCATGAATATTGCATTGCATATTGTTTTAATCAAATTCAGTTTCTGTTCAGTTCAAGTTCAATTGCTTTTTCTTTCTTTCAATAAATTATACATGTTCATCAGATAAGAAGATAATCGTTTATCGTCAAGGACCCCCTTAGGGAATCTCTGTGCTTGACTCTATGATTGGTATATCATCACGCGAACATAAACCCATGGCAAAGACATGAATATGATAAAAGAGTCCGGCCCCTATGACAGGGCATCTGCAATGAGACAGAATCTCACGGCCGCTTTGCCATAAGCTACAGACTCAAAAAGAAAGACAAAATCAGAACTCCTCGCCTCAAGAATGAGCCCCATTGAGTTACCCTCCACCCACAACCAAACGGAAGCAGATGAAAAGGGCAATCGCATGACTATCCGAACATGACGAAAGGCAACCCAATACAAGGAACCAAATCCTTCCCCTCTCCAACACCCAACACACACCCCATTCTTTCCAGAGACATTGTGACATGTAACCGTCGGGTGGTGCGGAGTGCTGGGAGGGAATAGGGCAGTCAGCCGCTATCGAATTGCTTCTATGGCGGCGCGTTTCCGCAATGCCTGCTTGGGACTTTGGCGGAACCAAAGCGCAGGGTGTCCGGGGACTTTCTCCCAAAGCAAGTTAGAAAAGGAGTAATCCTTTTGTGTGTGAGCTTTGAATGCGATTCTTTGAGCGAGGAGTTGGGAGAAGGAAGAGGAGGAGTTTTCTTGGTGGGTTTTTATTGTTGGGTTGGTCAGGTGATGGCGCTAGCCTGGTTGGGACTAAGTAGAGCATTTTCAACTTGTTAGTTGAGCTTGAGCATAACTCGAGTTCTTCTTGCGTTTGTTGAGTAATAGAATTTCTTTGCTTTGGTACAATTACACTAATTTGACAATTTCCGACCAACTGCTTTACTGAATTAGGAAAAATATTGAAACTAACAATGCATTGACAGAGGCTATATGAATGAATTACAAACAATTTTTACATGATCCCGTTTACGCCTTGGCCTTAGTCTTGGTGACCTTCTTCGCCTTCTTGGTCTTGGTAGCAGGTGACTTGGCAGCAGGTGACTCTGTAGCAACCGCCTTGGGGACTTCCTCAGCCTTCTTGCCCTTCTTGGACTTCTTGGGGGTATCTTCAGTAGGGGCGGGAGCCTCGATAGCCTTGGCAGGCTCCTCGACAGTCTTCTCAGCGGTCTCAGCCTCAGCATCCTCAACAGCCTTGGGGGCCTCCTGCACAGGGACATCGTCAACGCTCTTCAGCTGGGGAAGGTCAATCTCGTAACCCAGAGCCTTGAGCTTATCAGCCTTGGCCTGTCTCTTTTTCTGCTCAGACTCGACACGCTTGGTCCACTGGTCACGGGTCTTGCCCTTCTCAAGGCGCTTCTTCTCGATGCGGTTCCATGGGGTCACCTTGAAGCGGCGATTGGCGCCCTTCCAGATCTCGGGGTGGAGCTGCTCTTTGGGAACAAATTTGCACTTAACGATGTGGCCGTACATGAGGTAGTTGTCCATGGTATCAGCGACGATCTTGGCGACGGTGGCCGAGGAGAATTCAATGAAGGCGTAGTGCTTGGAGCGGCCCGTGAGACGGTTGCGAGAAAGACGGAGACGGGTAATGTCACCGAATTGAGAGAAGTAGGCCTTCATCTGGTGCTCGTAGAAACCGTGGGGAATGCGTCTAAACACATGTTAGATATTGGCATAAACTGAAGATTAGGATGAAATCTTACCCAATGTAGACAGTGCCGGGCTCCTCAGGAGCACCGTTGGCCTTCTGCTGCTTGGCCAGCTTGCGCTGGGCCTTCTTGGAGTCTGGGATCTTGGGAATGGGCTGGCCCTCTTTGTATCCCTCGTCACCGGACTCACCCTCATCATCACTGCTCTCGAAACCCTTGATGAGGGCAGCCGTCTGGTCATCCTCGGCGTCATCCTCAGCCTCGCTCTCCTCAGCGGCAGAGATAACATCCTCGTCCTCCTCTTCAGACTCGACAACGGGCTCGGGCTTTTTAGTCTTGTGGGCGGCCTTCTTAGCAGCGGCCTTCTTGAGGGTAGGCGCAGCCTCGGTCTCCTCCTTCTTGGACTTCTTGTTGGCGGGCTTCTTCTCGGCCTCCTTGTCAGCCTTGGCGGGGGCAGCAGGCGCTTCGACCTCCTCATCGGTCAGGAAATCTGCAGCGCGCTTACGAGGCTTGACCTCACGGGTAGGCTGGGCCTTGGCCTTGGGAGAGGCAGCGGTCTTGTCAGCCTTGGGCTTTGCGGCATTCTTCTTCGAGATAGACTTGGGAACAGTGTCCTTGGTGGCATCGGCGGCCTTAGCCTCGACCTTCTTGGTTTTTTTGGCGGGCGAGTCGGCGGCGACAGGTGCGGCTGTAACAGCGTTAGCAAGACCAAAACGGATTCCACGAGCTAATTGATTGTTCGCATACCCTTGCGCTTCTTTTCTCTCTTATCAGGGGCCATTTTGACGTTGTGTTGTGTCGAATTGGAGACTGGACGCTTCTCGTTCTTTTGCGGGAAACTTTTTTTTTCTCTGATTTGCTTGGAAGGCGGTGAGCCACGCCTACCACAGCACTTATCGGCGCCCAGTGTTTACCTCTGCAACCCTTCTTACGAACAGGAATGGGCTGCGAAAATGGGGAAGAATAAAAAGGCGAAGACCCTGACACAGGAAGAGATCTGGGACGACTCTGCTCTACTTCAGTCCTGGGATGAAGCTGTGGAGGAATACCAGGTCAGTTCCTTCCCGATTCACGTGACCTCTATCTAACTTGATGGCAGCTTTATCACAGCATTCACGCCAAAGGTGAAAATGTTGAAGATGTCTTGAGAGAAGCAGAGGAGTCTGGGCTTATTGTCGAGGGTGAAATTATTGAGGCTGAAGTCGAAGTCGATGCCGCCGAGAATGATGCTATTACCGGGAATGAGGATACATCAATGAACATCGATGAACCTGCCCAGGTATGTTACTAGTCCTGAATCATGATAATATAGGCATCACGCTGACAATTCCAGGCTTCTCAACCTGTGAATGGCCCTGGCCCTGAAGTCTCTACCACCGCTCCACCGATGCCCCATCCCGCTATGGCTAATGGTATGTTCGAACTCCATGATTTGTGAATTATATCGGACTAACTTTTAATCTATAGTTCAGGACGAGGCGTTGAAGAACCTCATGATGTCTTGGTATTATGCTGGATACTACACAGGAGTCTACGAAGGCCAACAGCAGGCAGCCCGAGAGAAGCGCTCATGAACAGTTGTGACTGTCCTCGGAAACTGCCATCCGACAAGATGCTCTTCTCAAGTCGCAGCTCTATCACCATATCACCACATCACCACATAAGCAGCGGATACCCAGACCAACTTGCTAGATAGCAATGAAAATAATCACTACAAATTAATGTCAAAACACAACCATCATGTCATTTGCCTATCGTGGATATCCCACGAGACATATCCACTGTCAACAGCGTGAAACAAAATACAAACCGAAATTAAAACCACTTCAGCCAGTATCCACCATACATGAATTGATTCATCAGACATTGATAACAAAAACAGGTGTCGACTCTCTTACTGTTCGACTCTATCCAGCTTGAACCATTTAAAGACCGCCTCCAGCACCACCAAGGAGACCACCGACGAGGGGAAGCTTGCCTAGTGCGTTGGGCTGAGAGGTAGGGTGGTGGGTGTTGGTAGCAGTAGGAGTAACGAAGGTACCAGAGGAAAGCTTCTTGGTAGAAGTAGGCTTGTGATCCGACTTAGTCTCATCAGCGGCAGCATTGCTGTCATCGTCGCTTTCTGCGGGAGCATGCTCAGTCTCGTTGTCCTTGTCGTTACGCTCCTTCTTATCCAGTCCATCCATAAGCCTAGTAGCACTCTGCATGAAATGTGTCAGTGGATGATACATTTATATTGTTCAGTAGACCATAATCTTACCTTCAATTGGTCAAGGGTACTTTCAAGAGTGAAGCCGTGGCTGGGTGCCTCCTCGTCACGCTTGACGGGCATAGAGAGCGCCAGCGCCGCAAGGACGAGCAGAACAGAGAGGAAAGAGAGGCTGAGACGGGCCATTGCGAGGTTTTGGTATACTGAAAGATTGATTTATGAGAAGGAATATATGTTCAGAAAGTGTGCCCAAACGAGTGGAAGAGCGAAGATAGATAGCGAACGAGTGATTATTTTGTTGGGTGGTGGATAGGAGGGAGAAACAAGACCTCTGGCCTGCGGGGGATTATGTGGAATTTATATCTAGCCCCTTTGATCGTGTGAAGGGAATGAGAGGCCAAGGGGGCTCGGACGAAGACCCAAAGGGTCTGTTGCGACGCGTACCGCCAGTTATCTTGCATCTTCGCGTTGTATCCAGTCTGTATAGGGAGTAAACAAAAATTGCAGTATTGGACTTGTTCTATAGGCCTTCAACACATGCTCAAGGCTCGTCTTGCGCCGGAGAACGATTCTGACTCTTCCCTGCTGGGAGCTGGTATGGTTCAAACCTGCGACAATCTGGAAGAATAATCATTCCAGTTAAGGATCGCCATGATTGCAATCAAGGGATGCTTTGTCGAGAGAAGAGCGAGCAAAAGTAACCAAATGGATGCTGTACTAGCAAGTATTGTAACGCATTCCAAACTATCACGTTTTGTTTCGAATTGCATTGGGGGCATATTCATACATCCTCGGGAAAGCGTGTATACATGCATGACGGAAATACTCCTGAGTCAGTTTCCGTTGTCCTTTTAACGGCTGCTCTTCCTCGTGCTATTGATCATGTGCAGGAACACAAGGCTTAAAGGGATGAAGCAACTTGCAAGTATCACGCAGGGTTGTCGGTCCCTGGCAGGGGCGCAGAGGTATAGATCGTCACTTTGCACATTCCGTAAATACGAAGCATTCTTCGGCGATTGCACGACATTAGGCGTTCGAAGCAGCAATTAAGCCATTCGAAACAATTCATGAACTATGATTGATTACAGGAATGTATCTCCTTCTTTTTGACACGCACAGCCCCATCTGTAGGGAGCGGACGCAACACGAGGGAGGCTCCAGAAGAACATTTGTTCGACTGAGAGGTCTCAGTTTTGGCATTTTTTTGACCTCGAATATCATAGAGATGACGAACAAGACTTCGAAAACGCCAAGGCGGTGTCTACAAATCTAGCTAAGCTGCTGGTTAGTGAAGCGCATTGTAAGCCTGATCTCCTCTCTGTAGGAATGAGCAGGCGGGATTGACAGAGATCATCTGCCGCGACGGAAAGTGCCTCAGGGCCGGAACCCAACATCAAAAGTTCCGGAAGTCCTGGTAAACAATCGAACACTTCCATCCCAACAATGCACCAAGGGTATCAAAGACTATGAATCCAATCTGCGTGACAAATCGGCAAATTCCAATCAAAACAAGATTCCCGGGCATGGGGATGTTGGCTCAAAAGCGAACCCGACCACCTCTGGCTGAACGTCAGGGGGCGGGATTAGAACGAGCATTCTTCGGTCTGGGTCCCTAACTAAAATTTGTAGATGGAGTGAGAATATTCCATCGACAAGAGTGTGTTGGAGACCGTAATATGTTATGAAGTTGAAGAAGAGAAGATCTGCTGGAAGCTGCGCGCAAATTTTATTTGACGGCTAGCGCGGATTATGTCATCTATATCACGTGGCCGTGTATAGGTATGAGTCTCTTTTTCTTTGATATTCGTCTTGAAATCAAAGTTGTATGTATTCTCGTGGTTATGACTACGATGGGCTAGACTAATAAAATGTACACACATTATACTTTAAGTCAGTCCGTCCCCGACAAATGAAAAATCGGCCCAAGCTTCATCAACTATAGATTTATGCCCATGACATCACAATATTCTCAGTATCATCGGCATAGAAAGTACTTTTTATCGCAGAGAAATAGCCGAAATATCTTCGCTGTGATATGATCTCAGTTAATGAAGGAATTGGTTGTGTCAGCTGAGATTTGGGATTGGATTCCCCCTCCATCAGTATGCACGGATAATATATACTTGGATCGAACTCCAAAATTGAATTTATGATTTTGCTCCACGAATGCCCAAAATATCCTACAACATCTCAGAATCCATGCACGATAGTCACAGAATACAGCTTATACTGTACGCTCAGCTGGATGGGAGGTAACCGCCTCGTAGCTGAAGCAAAAAGCAATACAATTTCGGACGCTTTGGAGAATCATCCAATCAAGTCAAGTCTGGACCACGGATGGGCATCCACGACATTACGTGTATCAACTCATAGTGCGGCTTAAAAACGGCACAGACGGCGCGCCTTGCTTTACTGTAATCGGTTTTCAAATGTTCTCCAATTACAAAGGATGGAATTATTGGTGCAAGTTAACACTATGAAGAATCGGTTGGCTTGCGCAGTGAATATTATATCGCATTTTCAAGATTGTCCAGTCTATTTACATTATAAACTCCTAATTTGTTGGAGCCTACTTCAAAGGAGATTGATAGTATAGCTGGAGCTGTATTTGGCAGCTTCTCAGTTATTGAAAAGGAATCGCATCGAATGTAGCTATAATCCATGGTAAGCACTAACGTGGACCCTTTCGGCGCAGATCGGTGGTTGCTGTGCCCATCAGGCCATTGGGTATCATTCTCGTGTTAAAAGCCCGATAGATATAGATCTAGAGAAGCAAATATAACTTACCAAACGAACGGGGCCCAAATGGCAGATCAGGGGGCGAATGTAGATCCCCGCCCGAGGCAGCAATATGCAAGTTCCGCTTCCTCCGAGCGAACGAAAAAAGACAAGGAACAAACATAACTGCATATAAAAAGCCCGCCACAAAATGCAAAGGAAAGTACAGAGGTCACTGACCCAATTAATATTCTTTCTCTGCATCCTCTTCTTCGTCCTATACCTCAACCGCCCACGAAGAAACCAAGACAAACTCTTCGCATGGACCAAAGTCCGCTACAAAACAACCTCAGCCATCATCCCCGAAAAAAGAGGCATCTGCCCAGGCCTAGCAGGAAGCACCAAACCAGCCCTAGTGGTCTCGCGGGTCGCAGCAGACGGCAACCCATCCTGGCTAGAAAATCTGCGCGCAAAGTACCATGTATGTATATACAATGTCGACGCCCCAACCAACAAAGAAAGCAATCTGCTCCAAGTGCCTGCAAACCGCGGCCACGAAGCAATGGCCTACCTAACCTTCCTCATCGACAACTATGACGACATCCCATCCGCAGGCGCAGTCTTCGTCCACGGGTCCCGCTGGGCCTGGCACAATGATGCGCCGGACTACGACAACGCCGCGCTGCTCGCGGCTCTGGATGTCCGTCGCGCTCTCCAACCAGCAGGGTATCACAACCTGCGCTGTGACTGGAGTACGGGGACGTGTCCGTCGTCCGTGCCGGCTCAGGGCAGTCTCGAGATGAGGTTGCAAAGTGCCGTTGCGCCGTGGAGTCCGCGCGCGGCATCGGATATGGCGCTGCCAAAGGCATTGGCGCATATCTTTGGCGGGGACGTCGACGAGGCGCTTTCATCGCAGATTGAAAGGCAGGTGCATTTGCATCTTGGGCGGAATGATGCCGTGCGCGCGCAGTGTTGTGCGCAGTTTGTTGTTTCGCGTGAGCGTGTGTGGCAGCATACGCGGGCTGAGTATGTTGCGCTCCGGCAGTGGTTGCTTGATGGGATTGATGATGGAGTTGCGAGGCGGATGAGGGTTGATGAGAAGGCGGCGCCTGGGGATGATCTTACTGCTGGGCGGGTTTTGTCTTACTTGTGGCATATTTTGTTTGCGCCGTTTGAGGAAGATGGGATTGATTTGATGGCGCTTAATCGGTTTGCTTGTCCTACTGCCGAGGAGTGCTATTGTCGGCTTTATGGGAGGTGTGCTTTGAAGTGTCGTGGTCCCGCCAGCTGTAGTGGGCAGTACCGCGTACCTCATAATTATAAGTTGCCGGCGGATTGGGCTGAGACGCATTCATAGTGGGATTGGGATTGGAGTTCACATAGATTTGGATTATATTGGACAATCTGGAAAGTTATATTGGGTTGCATATAAAAGCATTAGGATATCATGTCATTTCAGAACTGGTGTTATGTACAAATTGTAGCTCAAGCGATGCTATCAACCAGCTAAAATCTGGCAAGTACCCGTTCCTCGGTATCAGCTGAAGCAGAAAGATTATACTCAGAGTTATACTTCTTGCTCACAACAGACTTGGCCTGCTCAGCCGTGAAGCCCTTGGCCTCTACAGCCGGGTTGTACCCAAGACCATTGAGCTTGCCAACAACATCAGAAGGCACAGCAGCAGCAACCTTGCCATCGGCACGCTTGTACACAGTCACAACGACCGCACCACCAAGACCAAGGTTGTGCTGCAAAGCCGCGGACGTACCATCAACAAGACGGTTATTCGCCCAGCCACGCAGGTGCCAAACCAACTCAGCACACTGAGCAATACCCGTAGCGCCAAGAGGGTGACCCTTAGAGATCAGACCGCCAGACGGGTTAATAACCATCTTACCGCCGTAAGTGATATCACCCCGGCGGACCATTTCATGAGCCTTACCAGGCTCACACAGCTCAAGAGCATCAATAGTAATCATCTCGTTGGCCGAAAAGCAGTCATGCAATTCGCAAACCTTGATATCCTTAACATTGACACCAGCCTCGGCTACCGCAGTGCGGCATGCTTGGCGCGACATACCAAAGCCCATCAGGTCGATCGAGCTGCGGTTGAAGACCGCGGCGGTATCGGTAGCGAGGGTCTGACCAGCGATCAGGATAGCCTGCTCCTTGAGATGGGGACGTGCATCCAGGAACTCCTGTGAGACCACGACTGCGGCGGCACCGCCGTCAGAGGTCGGGCAGCATTGCAGCTTTGTCAGGGGCTCATGGATCATAGGCGCCTTCATCACTTGTTCAAGGGAATATTCGGTTTGGAATTGCGAGTAGGGGTTACGCTTGGAGTGCTCGTGGTTGACGCGGGCGATTTCGGCGAAGTCTTCATTCTTAGCTCCGTACCTATCACCATATTAACACTATTCCCTGTATATTGCGATCAATCACGGCACCGTGGTCACTCACTTCTCCTTGTATTCGACACCCGCATTACCGAACATCTGCGCCGCACCGGGCGCATTGGTCACCCCGCGCGTCTCGGCCATCATCATTCCAAACAGACTCGTGGGATTCTCACGGTCATTGTACATCGATTGCAAGCTACCAGGGTTCATCTTCTCAAACCCAACAACAAGCACACAGTCTGCAGCACCATATGAGACCATCTGGCGGGCCATAGCCAGACCAGTCGACCCGGTCGAGCAGTTGTTGTTGACATTGTAGATAGGGATACTGGTTTGCCCGAATTGGTAGAAGACGCGCTGGCCGCAGGTGCTATCGCCATAGACATAGCACGCAACGCCTTGGTCAACGTCATCGTAGTTGATTTTGGCGTCTAGCATGGCCTTGATGCCGGCCTCGTAGCCTAGCTCGTGGTAGTCCACCTTGCCGCGAGGCTTGATGAACTTGGTCATGCCTACGCCTAGGACATAGGCGGGGCTTGCTTGCTTTTTACCCATGCTATAGTGTGTTTTGTTAGTAGCGAGGTACGGGAGTGTTGGCAAGGGGCTTGACAGATGTATAAATAAAAGTAAATTGGGGAAGTGTGAAATTGCGGGGAGAGACCGAGGTCCCGAGGACCCCGGCATTGGCATTGGCACAAATCTGCATAACTCAGTTCCGCCTTTGCATTCTGGGGTTTGAATCGGCTCGCTTTTGAAGATCATGTTCTTGAACTCTGATAACCCGCAGCATGTGGATTTCCTCCGATCGCATCTTCTCACGTGAATGGTCTGTACCCGGATTAACGTGCAAACTGCATGTGCTGGCATTACAACTTAATCTACGGGGCATTTCACACAATATTCCAGAGAATATGAGAATAATATTGAGACATCTATTTATCTCCCAGACTACCTTATAGACATTCATATGTCCTCGGATGAAGCAGCTTAATTTCATGATTATGTGAACGCTAGGAATAACCTCTTATATCCTCATTTCTTACGAAATTAACGAAGACCGAGAATAAAGTGAGGAATAGGAGAGAGATAAGAACTACCGGTACAGAAACGGACTAGGCTAATAGTTTCATTTGCAGTTAGATTAAGTAGATTAACTTCCCCGCATTCCAGTCACTTCTTAGGCAATGGTGCAGGTGCCTCAGCTGTCGAAGTTGGTACACTGTCCGGTTCTCTACTTCTACAGATATGACATGCATGTGCCCTATATTGAACACTATACGACCAATATTTGCCAAGGATGATAAACCGGATTAGATGATGTGCAACATGTCCCCAATCATATCCGCTTGTGTTGACGCTGGGTGTTTTATCCCAGTCATTCCACGGGTATACACTTGTTGGATGCAACAGAGCCTGGTTCCATATCCCCGTTTCTTCGGAGTACTGTCTTCCCTGTTCTGAGTTTCTTTTGCTTATGTTAGCTCTCCAGTGACATGCAGATACCATACAGTTGGTGCTCGGCTTGCATATAGCGGGGTTCGTAGAGGTGGCGATACTCTGTACATGTAGCATGCTTCCCATCGTACCTACGGATGAACACTTTGTAACTAACATAATAATTCTGAGCAGAAACCACAGAGATATTATACTGTAGCTTAAATATCCTAACAACTGTACGGAGTAGAAAAGATTGTTCACAACGACGTCACCCGACTTGGTCCTAACCGTTTTGGGGAATTAAGCTCGGTCCACATGCCATTTTGCTCAACTTCACTTCTTCGCTCGCCCGGGCGATTGGCTTGTGCTTGTTATTCATTCGGTGGTAAGTGATTTTGACGTATAATTGCTGAGAGCAGATTATCTGTGATGAATACACGGAGACTAATACTGTGCCTTCGCAGGTCACCATTGCCGCGGAAGTCGGAATCCAGCACGATCACAGCGGTTCAGACCAGAGGACTTTGAAGTATATCGCTTCACCAGTAACAACTCCGCCGTCGCCCGTCGATCCTATCAACGCCGGGATTCATAGTCTCGACCGTTTGTCTTGTGCCCTAACGTAAACCTGCAAAAACGGCACCCGTGCCGCAAGTCTGGTGGGGACCTCCGAACAAGAGTCAATATATAACAGTGCTGGCGGGTCATTTAAATGGACCATTGTGGGACGCCGAACGGTCTACTCTAGCTTGAGAGACCGGTTTGCGTTCCATTGGGTTCCCCAGCCTGTAGGCAGAAGAGTCACTCTCTGGGGGTGCTGGCCATTGCATCGTTACCCCTCGCCGGCGCCGATGGACCACGCAGAGAAATGACTATTGGCAAGCGCTCTGACGACGCACCATTCCCCTCGTCGTCACCCCAATCAATTACAGCAGACATGTCTGGCTCCAACACTTGGACCTTCGACGTGTCCACGCGCAACAGGCTCTTGAAGAAATACAAGACTCAAGTGTCCTCGGCGGCCTCGACCATCTGCGCTACCATCTCACTGGTGAGTCTTTTCTCGAGGGACTTTGCGCCTGCGAAGCACAGCTTGGTAATTTTCGTCGGGCCCGATGCTAATTTCGTCTCAACTCGTGGACAGATTCCTCTTGAGAATATCAAGACCCGAATGCAAACGTGAGCTTCTCTCAGGTCTTTGAGATTGGATGACCATGCTGACTGATGATATAGCCATGACTTTAAGAACGTTTGGCAATGTGCTCGCTACCTTTGGCGTAATGAGGGATATCGTGGCTATGTCGCTGGTAAGTTGTTGATTTCCAATGCAGTAAATTGAGATTTTCTGACGGTCGCATAGGCGCCCTTCCTCCGCTGGCAAGTGTCACAGCAGTGCGCGTCGTCAATTTCACCGTGTACCATTCATTCACGGGCATCATATCTGATGCCGTTGAGAGCATGACTGGCTTCAACCCTGTGGCTGACTATAAGCGACCTGGAAGCACCCCGACCATGCTTGGAGTGATGACTTTTACAACTGCGGGCATGATCTCGGGTTTGTTTGCGTCTCCTCTTGCTTGTAAGCTCATTTCGGTCAATTGAACGACGAGGATGGGGCTAACGTCGACACAGGCCCCTTTGAACTGGCGAAGAATGTCGTTCAGACCTCCGTTTTGGTCTCCAACCGCGCAATGGCAGCTCCGGATGCCGCTCGGGACCATACGCTGCGTCACAAGCCTCGCCTTGGTACCATCGCGGCAATCCAACAGATCGTCAAGCGCCATGGGGTCCGAGGGCTGTACACCGGCTTCCGCCTGCATGCGATGCGTGACACCATTGGCACCGGCATGTACTTCGCCATCTATGACACCGTGAAGCAAACCGCAGAAAGACAACTGGGTTGGCACAAGAATGATCTCGGGTCAACCATGCTCGCCGGCGTGATTTGCAGCACTGTCCCCTGGTTCTGTGTATGTGATCAGATACTCCCATCCTGACAAGGGGTACTAACAAGCGGCTTACAGACATATCCTTTCGACACGCGCAAGACCCGCGCTCAGAGTGTCCTCCTCGGCAAGAGCCAGGAGATCGGCGAGGCCTCAAAGGCCATTGCCAGATCGAGTACTTACAAGGGCATCTCGATCATCATGCTCCGGACGGGGCTAAACAACATGATACTGCTCAGTCTCATGGAGTACTTTAAACGGCTCATCAACGAGCTGCCAGACTGAGCGCTCAAGTGAAGACGCCGTGAATCGGCCGGGCTGAGATTGCGCCGCCCGGAATGAGCCTTGGCCCAGGCAATGGAGGGGGCGTCATGATTTCCTATCCACGTACATGCATGGATGAGGTGGAACCTCATTAAGGCGCAAATATCTCAACAGCGAAATGAAGCATAATTGAAAGCCGATGCGTTGCCCATAGTTCGTAAAACATATAGACACTTGACGATCGTTGCCCGGATAGATCCCATTTCTGCCTCAGGCCATCAACACGTCATCCCGTTGCCCGGTGGGGTTGAACTTCTCGTCAACAAACGAAGTCTTTCGCACCCCCGCCTACAGCGACAATGGCGTCGTGAGTACTTCAAGGCATATAGCTGCAAAACCCTTGAAATATTAGATCCCTTTGCTCACAATGGATACCAGCAACATCCTTCAGCTCCCGTTCCGTCGCTCACACGCCGTCTCGCTCTCCGATGCCATCACGCAGTACATATCTTCCAAATATGATCAGCGCCCGGATATGTTCGCGGAGGATCTGATGATCATTGATCGTCTAAGGTCTGAAGCTGTCAACGTTCAGGAACCACATTTCAGCGGTATTAGCCGGTTGATCACATACGCAGCGCAGCTGAAATGGCTAGGTGGAAAGTTCCCGATTGATGTGCGCGGTCCCTCCTTTGGTCGTGGTGGTTCTTGGTTTGGTTGAGCTTCGAGGTTGACGGGGTTTCTCTAGGTCGGGGTGGATTTTTCATGGTATCCGGCTTTTGGGTTCAACGCTGCGCGCCCAGGTGAGTTCACGATAATTTTGGGGAGAGCCAGCCGAGATGTTTGCTAACGGAATTTGCGAATAGTATCGCAAAATAACCTTCGGTTTGAATTGGCGAATATTATGTTTAACCTCGCTGCTTTATACTCACAACTTGCATATGCAACCAACCGGACGACCGCAGATGGACTCAAGCAGGCTTGCAACTACCTGTGCTCTGCAGCTGGGGTATTGAACCATCTCCGAGTTGACATCATCCCGGACCTTCGCACATCGCCGCCGGAGGATATGGATGAGATGACTCTCCAGAGTTTGGAGCAGCTCCTGCTGGGTCAAGGCCAGGAATGCTTTTGGCAGAAGGCTGTCAAGGATGGACTCAAAGACAGCTCTATCGCAAAATTGGCAGCAAAGGTGTCTGATTTCTACGGTGACGCCGGTGACTTGGCTGTTAAGTCTAATGCCATTAGCACAGACTGGATCCACCATATGACTGCGAAGCATCATCACTTTGCGGCAGCGGCTCAGTTCCGCCAGTCGCTGGACTGTTTGGAGAAGCGCAAGTACGGAGAGGAGGTTGCCCGTTTGCGCGATAGCTTGATCTGCGTCAATGAAGGTCTTAAGGAGCAGCGGTGGATCAACAGGACTGTTCTTGGTGATCTGAACGGATTGAAGAGCCGCGTCTCGGAAGATCTCAAGCGTGCTGAGAAGGACAACGATGTTATCTACATCAACCCTGTTCCACCGAAATCGGAGCTCAAGACTATTGAACGAGCCAGCATGGTTTTTGCTAAGGCTCCTTCGCAAGTCACCGATGCGATTTCTATGCTGGGTGATAATGGGCCACTGGGCCAGCCGCTGTTTTCTAAGTTGGTACCATATGCGGTACATATCGCTGCCAGCATATACTCTGATCGTAGGGATCGTTTGGTGAACGATACACTTATCGGGGAGTTGGAGTCCATGACCGACAAATTACGGGAGTATGCACTCGAGAAGATTGGGACCTTTGAGATAATTGTTTGCTAATGACGGTGTCGACAGCTTGCTTTCATCCTTAAATTTGCCCGGATCTCTACAGGCACTCGAGAAGCCACTAGGCCTTCCACCAACGCTTGTCTCCCACGCAGAAGAGATGCGCCAACAAGATGGCCTAAACCGCTTACACCGCTCGATTGAAGATACAGCTAAGATCAAGGGCAATGATCAAGCAGTTTATAACGAGGGTGTCGAGCTTCTCCAAGCCGAGAAGGCAGAGGACCTTGCAGCCCGCCAGAAATATGGCACTGACCGGTGGACTCGTCCAACGTCGGAATCCGCAGCACCAAAGCTATATAAGAGTTTGAATGAGATCAGCGGCTATTTCACATCTGCTCAAAGTAGCGACGATCTTGTGCAGCGGAAGCTACAAGATTCACACTCAGTTTTCCTCGTGCTCACTGGCACTAACCGGGACCTTGAATCCTACGTACCTAGTAGCCGACGAGCAGCTATCCCGCCACATGTTGAACGCGAGTCGAACCGGCTACGGGGCTGTCTGAGTGAGATCAGTCGTATGGAAAACCGGAGGAAGCGGCGTATCCAAACCCTAAAGGATAAGGCACGGGCCGATGACATTCGTATGTGTTTTTTGTGCTTATGGCGAATTATACTAACGAGATTCTAGATCCTGCGCTGCTGAAACAGACTGCACGCCTAGAGCGGGAGTTCCCTATGCAGGCTATCCAGGCCAGCCAGTTTGAGGATTTGTTCGAAGAGCAACTGAAGCATTTTGACTCGGACCGCGATATGATCGCACAGGAGCGTAGAGACCAGGATAACCTCTCTGATCAGCTCCGGGAAGCTAACCGTGCTTTCACCGGTGCTCATAAGGGCGACGCCTCGACGAAAGAACGCGAAATTGCTCTTCAAGATCTAGAGAATGGCTACTTGAAGTACAAGGAAATTATTTCTAACCTCGACGTCGGACGGAAGTTCTACAATGATCTTGCAAAGATTGTCGCTCGCTTCCGTGATGACGGGAAGGCCTTCGTCCATCAGCGCCGCATGGAGGCGAGCCAGTTAGAAACGTATGTCTTACCATTCACTTACAATATTTAAAACCAGCTTTCGGATACTGACTTCCCGCAACAGCGACATTTCCAATGCTCAGGCAATGTCCTCCCTACACATCTCACAACCCCATCTTCGCCAACAACCCCAGCAACCCGCACAATCCACCTACACAGCTGCACCCCTGTCAGAGCAGCCATCTCAACCCCCAACACCTATTCACACTGCGCGACCAGTCGACCCTGCTCCCCCTCTCACAGCACCCCAACCAGTCCGCGCACCCGTCGCTCCACCTCCAGTTTCAACACCTGGAATGCCAGGCATGTGGTCACCCGAAATGGGGATCAGATTTGGCTCTGCCGCTATCCCCCCCGGAGCGAACCCGGCTCCGGCAGCTGCTCCTGCACCGGCTCAGACCGGTCCGAAACCCACTCGTGGCCCTCAACCCGGGATTTGGGACCCCAGCCAGGGATTGCGCTTTTCTTGAGTGACAGCTGTTTGTTGAGACATTTGTAGATCGTCTATGCACATACTTGGAGTTTTGTTGAATACATGTGGGCTTACTCTCTGCTGTGATATACAGGGCGAGCAACACATCAAGATTCGCTTTTCTGCATACATGATTGTCGTTACATCCTACATTTTCTTGTTACTACGTCTCATACTTGGGGTTTCTGTCTCTGATTGTGACAATCAAAAATCAAAATTGCATCTATTCACCGGGAATAGAACCCGCTATTATCATTAACATTATATCCAAGAATATCGTAGTATGTGATATGTAAAGCGAGACCAAACGTAAACACCACACCTCCGACTTTTCACAGTGCTTATACACTCCAAACATATTTATAGACACAGAGTCCATTCGGCAGGAATGGTCACAGCTTCGAAACACGAAGCATGGACTGCGGTTCATTGCCTTGAGGCAGAATCGGTCACTATTGTCTCATGAACCATGATAGCGTGAAACATTAAGTCTCGCAAGTCTGCAAGCTTTCCGTCATCTCTGGCACGAGAAGAAATCCACGCCAAACAAGCTTCAAGTCTAGCCGGCAGCTCCATTTAACTTTCCAGAAAGAGCATCTCCATTGCCATTCAAAACAGCATGGCCATTGACACCCTCCAAGCCCTGATTCTCAGCCTCAATATCAGACTCGTCGGGCTCAGATCGATCATCCTTCTTATCACCAGTAGCAAGGAACCGGAGTGCACTGCGTAAAAGGCAGTACAGCCAAAAGAGATTGAGACACTGAAGACAAGCCAGCAGCCCAAAAGTGATGATGTTCGAGATCCAGCATTTGTATTGTTGTGTCTCCCAGTTGAGTTCATAGGGCCCAACAGTCCGGAACTCAGTTAGAAGGGAGTATAGAATGCGGAGATTCAATACATGGCGCAGATACACCCAGGCGCCGATTGAAGTCGCAAAGAACGGGATCATGAAATCTGGGGCGATATAGTGAAGAGACTTGGAGACCTGTAAAGAAAATCAATAAGAATCCAATATAATCAATGAAACCCTCAAAAACACCCCGGACCAAGACAAACTCACAGCAAGAAAGAAATCACTAATATCATGAGTGACATAAACCCCAATTCCAAGAAATGCAAAATGAAACCGATAACTAAGCCCAATAAGCACCAACGTCACAACATGATGCATAACAAGCTCCTTAAAATCCTTCCTAGGCTTCTCCAGGCCGAGTAACATAACCAGCGCCTGCTGCGCCCAGTACGCCGCCTCAAACAAATAATAAAACTTAAACGGCGCCTCATGCGTCCGATGCGGAAACCCCTCATACATGCCGCGCGTGTTGAAATACCACACCGGCGTCTGCCGCATCACATACAACCCTGCCGGGCCGAGGACGCCGAAGTAAATTGCTGTGTACATCTGTTCCATAAAGCGGGCTTGTTTGCCTCTGGATTTGATGTATGTGCGTGCTAGTGGGCGTAGGAGTTCTTGCATGATGAATTCGCGGGTGAATGATAGGAGGACTGTGTAGAAGGTCACAAAGGCTAGATCCCATGGGCCCTTGCCGTATTGGGGTTTGGCATTTGGGGCATTTGGGGACTGTTTGTAGGATAGGAATATAAAGTGGTGGAGGATGTTGGACTCGGTCGGGTTGACCGCATATAGCGCTAGAATAAATAGCAGTAGGGCCAGTGGTGTGGCCCATGTGTGTTTTCTTGCGAAGTGTTTACAGCGGTAGAGGGCTGTACGGCTCCTTTGTTGTTTGGGTGGCTTGTCCACGTTGGTGTTGGGTTGTTTCTCAGTTTCATTGATTGAGGATAGTGTTGGTTTGTGTTGGGTGCTGTTGATGTTCCTACGTTGGTGTGTCCCATTTTGTTTGGCCTTGTTTAGGGGGGCTGAGATGGCCATCATATGTACTGCGAGACAGGTGGAAGTGGGAAGAGAACATCCAACTTACACAAAGCGAGCTTATACGAGATCGCCCCTTTCCAATCAGAATCCTGGACTATCGTGTGTTTCACCTTGCCTCTTTTGGTTAGAGTGAGATCGGGGTTCGGGATCCCAGATCCGATGGCATTTCTTACCCTAAGTTTTTGGTCTACGGAGATGAATGCAGACATGTTCACGGTGTAAATCTATCAGGGTTGCCTACATCTAGGCCCTGTTTGTCAGGCTCTGGGTTCATATATATACCCTCCCGGTGCCCACGTACCGTAGGGATCTATAAAAATAGATCAGCTGAAATGGGAACTCTAGAGATGGGTCTCTCGAGTTCGACTTACATTGTTACATTGCGGCTCTCAACCCCCAGTACCATAACCCGCCTGCCCCTTCTCGTACCATCATCTGTTCCTTGAAAGATTTAGGCATATCCTTCTTCCATTTCCATAGCTCTTGTAGTTCTACTCGAGACTTCCTGCAATAGCATCCAAAATCTTCTCACCGATGATAAGGAATACCTTGAAAGCGTGACCACTATCACCTGGACTCCCACGTTGCTCGGTAACTAGGCAGTAATTCCCCGGCGGCGGATAATCTCAACGACCTTTTCTCCTAGGCCCAAATTCAGCTCCTTGTGTTTGGCTTATTTACATGTATACTGTATAGATGACGATAAAAGAATATTGCTATTCCGAAACTAACCTTAGAATAGCATAGTAGGTCTTGGCATTAGGGATCGAGAAACAATCGAAGAGTGTAGGTGGTGACACCAATTCCCGGAAGTACTGTAAACCCTTCCTCTCACTTCGTTCGTTTCAAGGCATCTCTTTTCTTCCTTGAAGGCATGTGTAACGTATACCGTATATTATACGAATCTCCTATACCCGCGACTTTCTGTGCCCCTCCATGCTTATCGACAGCCGATGTCCTGATATCTACCCATTTACAGCATCTCGAGAATTACTAAGACCATTTTCATAAAATGGCGCCGAGACTATCACCCCCAAAGTTACTCTTCATTCGCGACACGATACAAAGCGGTCACTGACCACGCCTCAAATGGCGGATGCAGCTGAACGCAGCGAACGAGAGATCAAAATTATGCGGCGGAATTTTATAACCAACCAGGCTACGACCCTCCTCTCATCAGCCTCCCATTTATCTGAAAAGGCTGTATCTGTCGGAGATAAACCAATCTCTTTCAGGGGTTGTAACATGAAATATGTCCGTTGTTTCTTGTTTTCAGTCCGAGACACGCAATTCCTCGTAGTCAATCATCACATGCTCTCGATATGCGCGGCGATTGGCGAGTGCATCGTAATATCGACGCAAATTGGGACGCTCTTTCCGGGAGATCGGAATATCGAAATAGCGAAACAAAATATGGCCAAATTGGATGTCCGCCAGCGAAAATGTATCACCAGCGATGAATATTTGAGTCGATAACTGCACTTCTGCAATATCAAGGAAGCGATCGAGATGTGCGATGGCTCTTTCGATAGCCCCTTGGTCCTGCTTTGACGGCGCTGTTCTGACGACGCGCCAGAAAATGGGAGCTGTAAAGCCCATCGCTATGTTCAATTTTGACCACTCTGCCCATTTGTCAACTGAAGCACGTCTCTGATGATCCTTAGGCCAGAATTCGTTTGTCCCGTAGCGATTAGCAAGATATCGTAGTATTGCCCCTGTCTCCCAAATCGGCCCGCTATCGCCATCCTCAAGAACAGGGACCGTGCCGTTGGGATTCATAGACAAGAATTCGGCCGTGTCGTTGCCGCCATAACGATGTCCTACATCGTGACGGTTATAAGGAAGACCAAGCTCGCCGATGCACCACATCAGCGCTTGAACATTGGACGAAGTTCGACGACCCCAGACCTCAAGCATTGCCATTTACGTAGGCAGGAGCCAAAATACACCGTATTTGACCAGTTGAGAGGGAAAACAATCAGACAACGGGGATCGTCAAAGTAGGCGCTTAAAGTAGGCGCTCAAATTTGCGAAAGCTACTACAGTGACGGTTCATAAGTTTTAACAACACCCATGGACCCACCCATTTACCGCCTTCTTAATAATACTACACCGCCAAGTTTAAACACACTAGTGAACTTCGTATCTCTTGCATTTCTCACTTCTTCGACGTAGTACTCTGATGCGGGAGGGCGGCTGTTATTTTTTTTGGCGGCGGTGCTTGGCTTTGATTGCGAAATCATCACACTCTCTAGAAACGTGATTTCGTGCACTTGCTTAGCAAGCCTTTGACCTTTTATCACATAGTAGCATTGCAATATTAGGTAGCTCTAAGAGTTTGGGACTGCTGAGAATTGCGAAGGTTTACAGGAGCAGCAGACCGTCTCGAAGGAGCTTTGGCTTTCTTAATAGCCAATCACTTAAGGGGTGAAAGGAATCCAGCAAGTACAAAATCCACAATGAATTGAGGAGCCATTAATATAAAATTGGCTATAATTATTGAATGAAATCCTTCAAGTCGGTGGTGTGATAATTAAACCAGAGAGATGTATGCATGTGGAGCAGGCCAGCAGAACCCTTTATGGTAGAATAGTGGGAAGGCCAAAGAAAATATCCTGATGCCTGTGTAAATTTGTGTAAATCTGTGTAAGTTTATATCTTATACGCTAATCCAATCTCAGGTGTCACTTTTAGACCACAACAGTATGACGATCACTGTCCCAAACATAACTATTTTTCATCTCTCAAAACTCGCCAATATTGATGCTCGGGCTGGTTTCAATCTCTTCCAAGTCCCTCCCACTGTTGTAGCCAGATTTCCATCAGATCTGCAGATATGGGTTGCAGGCTTCTGATTGCTGGACTTGCCCGCTCTGCCTTGGATGTATCAATTTTGGAAGATGTTTTATCGGGACTTGTCAAGCCACGGTAGAAAGGTAATAACTTGAGAGAAGGCTTCTCTTGCATGTCTTGCGTCATAGGGTGTGAAATCAACTCAAGCTCATGAATCCACTCGGATAGGTCGACATCAGTCAGATCGTATTTTGATTTGATAGGACGAATAAGATCCTGCCACGACGATGTGTGTGGATTGACTACGTGGAACGTAGCGGAGATGTGTTCTTCCTGTTGTTCAAGACGAGTGTGCATAATCTCTTCTATTATATCTGCAACAAAATCCTATCAGGAACGAATTAGTAAATTGATTGCTTTCTCACTTCCACAGTGGAGTGCGCGTCAATCCAATGATGACTTACAACTGGAATCCAGTCAATATTGTTAGCATTTCCAAGATGATTCGGGATCTTTCCTAAACTTTTCGAAGTCTCCACCAAGGCGGGAAACCATTCGCTTCTGTTCCAATTTCCCATGCTTAGACTTGGCCCAGCAATCTGTCCCACGCGCAGGATTGTCGTTGGCACGCGAGCCACACTCGACATATGGTAGCATAGTCTCTCAACGACGTGTTTCGATTCTGCATATCCTTGATGCGGGACTGCATCAGGAGACTGTATCAGGTCTTCTGGAGCCGACCGACCACCCATAGATATATTCCAATTTTGTATTGTGCTTATTGAGGACACAAAGAAGAAATGCGGGCGGAATCGACCTCGTCTGCTGATGTCGAAAAGGTCATAAGCACCTTTGATCAGAGGCTGAAAGGAAGTAAGCGAGCGGTTGAAATTCACATCCCATGCGTTATGGACGGTAATATCGACTGTGTTGAGCAGTCTGTAGTATGTGGTACCAGGAAGGCCGAGGTGATTCTCCCCGAATACTGCATGCACAAATTCAACCCGATAATCGTTCAAATGCCAAACTCTCAAGCCTCTCTTGTGGTGGCTCTTCATCTGGTTCTTCTCAGCACCCTCTGATCTGTTGAGACAATAGATCTTCGCTACCGACGGATCACCCAGGAGAACATTCAGAATATAAGTGCCGAGAGACCCCGTTGACCCTGTGAGTAAAACAACATGCTTCCGGCAGGTGTCTCTGGATATAGACAGTGTGTCCTTTTCTGGAAGAGCGTGAGTGTAAGTCTTCAACACATGATCGATCTTTGCTCTTCGAGATATAGCCATCTCCACGCGGCTCCCATGTAGAAAGCTATTGATGAAGTGCGACAAGGCTGAAATGGTTGGATGATCATAGACCATTTGTGCAGTGACCAGTGCTTCACTATTGGGATTCCCGCCGTTGATGGCTTTATCCAACATGTTAGCAATGGATGCGGTCTGTAAGGAGTCGAGTCCGGCCGCGTAGAGATCAGCCCAATCATCTATTGCCGGACTATTGAGCTGGCCGTGGACAACCTGCCGGATGTAGCAAGTGATTGAAGATATTGTCGGCGTCTTGGGAAACTCCAATTTGGTAACTGGCTCCTTTGCATACAGGCTGTCAATTTCAATGTGGTAGTCATTGTTCACCTGTCGGCGCTGGGTGCTTCCTTTTGCGGTTACTTTGAAGGGCTTCGCTTTCGACGCAAGACCAATGCGATTGAACATCACTCGCCCATATGCGGGGACCATTTCATTTGCTCTTTCAACTAATGGCCAGACTTCACCCAAGAAATCTTCAACTGTATGTTCATTATCTGTCCACAGGTCCCAGTTTGGTTCAATAAGCATAGCGGATTGAAATCTTGCTTGTCCGACGACTATGGCTTTTGAGACCAATGGGTGTGCCTCTATGGCCTTCTCAGTAGCAATAGGATTGAACTTTTCACCATTGCTGAGAACAATAACATCGTCTAAACGTCCGGCATAACGCCACAGATTTGCTCTATTCGGGTGTCGTCGAAAGAGATCCTGTGACCGATATTCCCTGAGATCAGGGAATGTATGGAAGATTCCGTGAACCTTGCGGTCCTTGCCTCGACGGATCACTAGCTCGTGCAATTCGCTATCAACTGGATCCATATAGACGTTGGAGTTCGGGGCCCAATCAAAATATGCCCAATCCGCACTTTCCTCTGGGGCCATCGACAGTATCACCCCCATCTCAGTCGAGCCAATGAGTGAGATCAAGCGCACCCTTTCTCGCAACGCCTCGCCGATATCAAAGGCCAGGGGAGCTCCTCCAAAAAAGAGATAGTCTAAGCGACTGAGACAATCCATTCCCATTTTTGTGCTGCAGATATTTTCAATCAGAGATGGGGGCAGAGTAGCCGCTCGGGGCATGAGAGTCTTGATAGTATTGATGATAAGCTCCCCTGACAATGGCTTGAGAGGAGGAATCGCGAATGGCGCCCCGTTGAAAATGGCTTGAATGAAAGCAGAAAAACCCATTACGTGGAAGAATGGTGTGACTGTCAACATTGAATCGTCCTTGGAATAAAATCCGGAGGGAATAGCAAGTTCCCTGCCTGGCGGAAGGGGACAACGCGAAATGTTATCAAATGCAGCAAAATAGCCATGTGTCAGGTAGATTGGCTTCGGAAGTCCTGGCAGAGTCAGCAAACAGTCCTGAGTAAAGTTGTAGGTTACACAAACCAGTTGTTCCAGATGTGTGCAGTATCAAAATGACATTATCCACATCAGCACTAAAAGTACTTGTGTAAGGGTAGTATCTAGTTTTGCCATTGACTAAATCCTCCCACGATGGAAGTACCAGAGTCTTCAGATTCGGATGCACATTTCCAAGAGTTTGCGCTTTTTCCAGAAGTTCAGCGGAGTGTAGCAGTATGGTTGACTGAGTCTTCTTGAATAAATGTGAAAATGCTTCGTTGGAATTTCTTGTGGATGGCAGAAATAGCTAGAAACATGGAAGCTTAGTATGTATTATTGATAGCGCGAAAGAAGCTGGGAGATGCGCGCACCTTGTATCCCACCTTACTACAGGCAAGAAAGAGAACAAGATATCTCAAGTCGTTTGCACCTATGTAGGAGAGTGTCTCGCCTGATCCATGGCCGATGGTAGTGTCGATCCACCAAGACAGGTGATTCGTAGCATGTGCAACATCGGCAAACAATACATCATGAAATCCGTCAGACGGGCTTGAGCCATTTGGGAGGTAGCAAAAGAGTTGTTGAGGATTTGTGACCGCCCACTCATCCACAAGAGCGGCTGAAAGCCTTTCACCGACTTTAGCAGGATTTATCGAATGCATTGTCACGACAATAGAACTCAAGTGGTATTGGCGAAAGCTATTGAATTTGAGACCAAAACGACTCTTATGTACGTAATGCCCATCACACTCTATGGACAAATCATTGCTATTTTCGGCCCGGAAGGTTGAATTTCAGCGTAAAGTCATCTCCAATTGAGAGATGCTTTCCAGGCTTCAAAGCGTCTTGTGGTGCCGTAAGCCGTTACTTGTTCAAGGAGTCATCAAAATCACTCATAAGATGGCTGCCGTGATGGCGCGCCCGAGTACTGAACCGTGGAAAGATGGGATTTCACATTTTCCAGTGACCAACTTGTATTGGACGAAGGTAACAAGACACCTCAGATAGGCAACATAGCGCTTTCTCATCTAAAGTAATTGAGAACATAAAAGATTATTATAGGCTTGCTTGCATAATACATGAGCCGTGGCGCAATATCTTACTTAGTGAAAGCTTGTACGGAAAGGGGAAATGTATGAAAGAATTGCGTCGATTTCAAAAGCTTATATTTAGGAAATATCGGGACCTACGAGAACATTGAAAGACCGAATGCTCCAGGCCCCCGCCACCGCAAAACAAACGATCTTAGTTCTTGAATTGCATTTCTGAGAGATTAAACAGAAATATCGCCACGCGGGGCTAATCCTCTACGTAAACCGTCACCTGCTCCAGCTGGTCCGGATTTCGTATTAGTAAGATCTAAGCCCCCCGAAATATTGACTGGGAAGAGGAGACTCGCAAAACTCTCGTGTTGGTGACCATGGATCCGGGACATCTGCTAATCGATGAATAAGTTAATCTCAAGTTTTCCAATGGATAACACCCCCTGGGTCGGGCAGAGATGAAACTTGGATGGCTCAAAGGTCTCCTTAGCCAACGTGAGCAGAAAAGTATTTTGAAGATGTGAGTATCAGAACGCTCGATGAGAAGCTAAATGGAGCCTGCCTAGTTTTGGACTGCGAAAATAGAATGCTGGGATCGAACTCCGAAGTCTACCGCGCAGAAAATCTAAACAAAATGTAGCAAGAAGAAGTCAGGGAACTATTACTGCTAAAGATTATGATTAGCGTGCAATTGTTTCCTAGTAGGATATTGTCACATTGCCTACCCTCCAAAAAACTCCAACAAGCCGACCGGGCACGTTTCTTGTCCAAAACAGTCGGTCTGCATCTTGGACATTTTCACTGTAAAAGGAATACCGAAGCAACACTGGTCGCTATATTAGAGACACAAGGAATGACTGTAAAACAAGATTTGAAGCTATGAAATCCCATACTATGGCAAAATTCAATCATTGTTTCCTTTCCCCCTCTTCATTATACCTACACATTACCCAATTTTTGAAATTCTGTCAGCTTGTCAGGATGGGCTCTGTGCCTCCAGAATCGGGTAAACGTGCGGCCGATTTCCTCTAGTATGCTATAAAAAAATTCAGTTGCTTACATCTCCATTTTCGATACGTGGAGCGTGATTTACCTTGGAGACCGTTTCAGGAATGGTCTTTTTTCGGCAGTGAATGAGTTGCTTAAACCAGACCATTGGTGGCTTGAAAAATGCCATGGCGGAACGGTATCATAATTTGAAATGGGTGAGCTCCTCAAAAATGGTATCAAAATATTATCTGTCAACATCTCGGAAGTGTGCCGGACAGCCGAATCTAAACGGTCTGGCCTTGGTGGTGAGAGCATTGGGTCAAAATGACTGAGCAGTTGATCACGTATGTTCGATGGCAGATTTAATTCACTGGGAGACCCAGGTGAAATGAAGGTGCTCATTAAGTATTTCCACTCTTTTCCCACACGCGCAGATTCTCGAGTCGCCTCTTTGTTGAAGAAAGTCTGCAAACTGGTATAAAGATTATGGTAATCTTGAACCTTCACAATGAAATCGAGTGACTCGGTGCAGTGCTTGTGAGATACAAAGTCGAAGAAGGCATTGGCGGTATAGGGTCCCGGAGCTTTATCAGACAATATATCTTTCAAAATGGTTGGCAGAGAAATAGGCTTTTGTTCCGCACTGAGTGCTGCCGGAGACTCCTGATTGAGTGACATTGTTTGGGCCGTTTATTTAGTGGTGGTGTTTCGATCTTTTGATAATAAAAGGCATAGCCCTCCTTGCAAATAGAAAGAAAGAGCCACCGTATGTGTGAATTTTCAATGATAGGATGGGCACTTCCACGTTCAAATATTCTAGGTATTTATCTGACCGACCATCCAGCTATGGCGCCGTTACAAATATCATGTGCCTGAATTGAACCGTACTTCGTCATATATTATGATACCATATTCGTAAGCCTTCCCAGCCACCAGAAACTCTGATTCAAATCTCTCATTAGGTGAACAAGTGATAGATAGCTGACAGTATAACTTATAGATAGGGCGAACGTGCAATTCCAAGGCTATAGGGTAGGCTGAATTAGCCGCTCACTCACCATGGATCAGGCTTCTCATAAAATCTAACTGAGCACATTCACTGAGCAACTTTCTAAGGTGTACGCCCTTGCTTTCGGAACTATGTGACCGCACCCATGGTACAGTGGTGGATGGCGCTCTCCAAGTCGGATCCTGTGTTCACTCTTATTTTTTACCAATCATCAGAAGCGAGGATTCACCTATCACGCGTGAAAGAACTTGATTGCGATTCATACATGCTCTTTAGGAAATAAAAGAGGCTAGTTCCGCAAGACTTTGCGCAATGTCCCGAGTCCCCATCGAAACCAGTGAAATTGGCCGGCCGATGTACTCCAAAGACGGACTTTCTAGCACAATGAGCACCAAGTATTGTTGTTAGTCATAGCTTCTTCAATGTAGCGGTGCATGTACGCATGCCGAACGGAATCAATGATGCCGCTATATGATGAGAAAATCGCATTCCCAACGAACAGGTGCAAAGTACTTGCTCAAAAACCTCCCGAGCAAGTAGAAATGAGGTGTCGTCTATATGGAGCTGTGTATTACTTATTTTGAGCTAGGCTTGGGATTTAACAAGCTTTCAGATGGGGATTGCCATTTCCTCTATAACTTGTCATTGGCAGCAGATACGGACTTTGCCAAGACTGCGGCCCGAGTACTTCGATGCCATCATACCATTGGGGCAAGAAAGAGAAGACTCAAGCCAGTCCATTGGGGTACTTGGGGTAATCATTTTAACTTCCCCTTCTCCCCATTAGAGCGCGAAGTGGAACACCGTGGGAATAGGACCACGTTCCCCGTTCATACTATTATCCCCGACATGCTGTTCCCTCTTGATGACTGTGGCGTAGAACAACTAGTGCCCATTTTGCTGTTCGAGGGCGATTTTTCCGCGGAGGCGCGGCTGTACGGCCATCAGAGTGCGACATGACGATGTGGCAATTCTCTCCACCTCTTTAACCCGGTAGCATCTACCTAATGAGCTTATCTAGTGATTGGGTACCAAGGTGCAGTTGCCTGTTCCCTAGGATATATTCCGAGACATTATAGATGGAGGCTCGATCGGTTCTATCGGCTTCTTCGGCTTTGTCGGGGTTTAAGTTGATTCCCCCAAAAAATCTCCACATTTTTTAAACGCGGAGATAATCTGGAGTCCGATAGTCTCTATTGTTGGAGGTTTTAGAACTGTCTAGCCCATACAATATTTTTCAGTTGCCTGTAATTGAAAATAAAAACGTGGTTAACGCACATTAAAAAGTTCTAAAACACGCCTTCACCCTTTTAAGCGCCCTTCGCGCGACTAACATTTCTAATCAATCGGCCCGGACATGGCTTGCTTGAACATATAAGGCTTCTAGGAATACTTAATTGTTCACTTGCTTTAGTTCCCCTTGGTCGGCTTATAACTGAAATCGCAAGCAATGAGCAATATGGACGGAGGGCAGGTTCAAATGAACTGGTTACAGCAGCCATACACATATTCGTGGGCACCTGTGAATATGCTAGTAAGTCACATCATATTAATATCTCTCATATGTGACCGAGGATTAACTCGACATGCAAATATAGAATTATTCAAATCCGTACACTGCACCCGTCACAACAAGTACATTTCCGTCAGCACTAAACTCGAGCCTGCCAACTTCGTGGCCACTGTCGAGCCCTAACCTTGACAATGTGGCTAATTTAAATAACGAAACTAAGTGAGTAGAATCACCAAGTCCTATGGTTAGTCTGCGCCAAGGTACCAACAGATGCTGCAGCAGAAATGACCTTACTCACCAAGAAACATCATTCCAATACCCCAACCTCCGGCCTTCCTCGGGCACAAAGATGTTGGCAGACGTACAAGAGCAACCCGAGAGCCCAAAAGAAATCGCTCAAACGTTTCATCTGAGTCCTATTACGAAGCAAGCCAAAAGACGAGTTCAAAACCGCAATGCGTAAGTCTTCTAGCTCCTCTCTACATTTCGATGCGATATTTACTTCTACCTCAGTCAAAAGGTATTCCGAAAGCGCAAACAAGAGCACGTTGAAACGCTGGAAAAGCAAGTCATATACTTGAAGCAACAACTCGAGCTTTGTAGACAGGAAAATAACTGTCTACATGGTCTGAGTAATCACATCTTGGATAATCTCTAGTCTGCTTAACAAAGGCACTTGGGACACAATGAGATGATAAAAGTATGGCGTATGTTTATAACATAAAAGATATCCAATTTATGTCCTAAAAGCTGTGTTAATTTTTGATACGGGTTCAATTTTGCCCATTTTCTTTCCCACGCGGGAATATTTTCTCTGGCGAAAATTCCGCGAGAAACGGCATACGAGACCGGAATGCTGCGAGCCACCCGCTTCATAGAAGAGACCAAGGCATGGATTGATGATACGATGATTGCAGACGAAAGGCTCGTATTATGCAAGCTCAAAGGTTAATTCTATTTTCCCTCTCATCTAATGAGCAAAGGCAATGGGCTGGTCGTTTTCACAGGCTGCAGGCAGGCCGGCGGATTGCTATAGCGATGGTATCTCCGCGTCCAACAATAGAATGACTTTAATAAGGTAAATAGTCTTAGTCACGTATACGATTAATAAATAGACACAAAAAGCTATATAAACAAATAGGTTTCATAAAGATACATAGCGGCAGAGTAAAAAAAGTGATAGTTGTAAGCGTTCGGACTAAAAGAAAGGTGAAAAACAGAGATGAATCAGCGAATTATGCAAAGAATTGATGCCAAACCAGGCTAAATCAGGTATCGATTGACAGTCTATGTCAATGTCTAAATGAATTTTGAGTGGCTGGCGCTAGCATCACAAAATAGATGGTGTAGTGGGTGAAACCGCCGGTGACAATAGCACGGGCGGTTTCAGATGGCAGAATGCCTGGGGCCATATTCAGCTCAGTTCACTCTGCAAGAGTGGAACCATTTATGCACCACAATATGACTACTGTTTCCTCGAATCCTTGCCTTCATGAAACAGTATCAGGTTGAGCGGTCTACTCTATAAGAAGCTACTCTTTACGACTCCCACCGATTAGGGGAGTGGGGAGTGGTTGGTTGTATGCTCTTTGTTGCACCCGTCGGCTCCGATCACGTATTTAGAATACTATGCTTTCTTTACTAAAAAAAATGGGACGAAATAGTATCGATAGCAATATACTATTAGAACCTTAGTTAAATAGAGTTAGGGATAAAGAACTATCTACCCTACCCGATAAATAAAAGATATTAATAGGGATATCGAAAACGGACTAACTTTAACGGACTACCCTGTAATTCTAGTCGGCGCTAAGAATAGAACTATAGGACTTCCGAAGATGAGTGTAAAGGAAAAGAGTTCTAGTGTTTGCAGGATAGAGCCTGTCAACTAAGACTCACCAGCCAGAGGGAAACCTTTTCCTCCAAGGAAAGTGAACCGATTAGAGATTCAACAGACATACTTTTTAGATGCTCAATTATGCCGACTAGCAGTGAGAAAAATACATTCCTCGTGGACGCCTGTCCACGCCAGCTGGGGAGATGTCCATACTCGGGATATCCGACTGTCCACTGTCCACTTCGCCATGTGTGGGGCTTGCAGTCGTACACCCTAGAGTTTCCCCGGATTTTTGCTGCTATGTAGATCCTCAATCCATTTAAGATGACCTCGTGTCCATCATATCAAGCGCTAGGGCTGTCAACTTGTTCAGCAAATTAGTCCCTGAGATCTGCCATGACCGAAGAATATGTCAAATCATCCTCTTCTCATATTGAGTGGGAAGAGCCTCGATTCCTCCAAGCAGATCAGGAGTTGAGTCTGACAGGTGCTTTTAAAAGGCACTGGAGGGCGTTGTTGATATGTAAGGTTTGATCTATCCATTATGTTCTATTCTCGGCTAACGTTGTGAACAGGCAGTATCTCCTTCAGCGCCGGTACGATGTTCGGCTACGATACAATTGTGAACGGCGCCTCGATCTCCATGCCAGCATTTATGATGTATTTTGGAGAGAAAGAAGCATCCGGATTATATCTTCCGTCATTATGGACTGCACTGTGGACTTCCATGTCCGCCCTCGCCCAGGCACTCTCGGCTACCGGCACAGGTTTCCTTGCTGATCGCATCGGCCGTAAATGGTCCGGCGTCATTGCAGGTGTCATTGCCTTGGTCGGTGCATCAGTTCAATATACAGCCCATACGCGAAGTGCGCTACTTGGTGGCAAGATTGTCGGGGGACTGGGTATTGGAATGGCTATGTCTGCTGGTATGACATATGCCTCGGAGGTCGTCCCTCCTATACTTGTCCCTGCTGTCCAGCAAGCATTGGTAGTATTCATTTTAATTATGCAAGCCTTGGCAATGGGTATTATTCGAATCTTTGTTACCGATATGGCTGAACAGGCCTTCCGTACGGTGTTCGCTATTCAATGGGGCGTGGGTGGGCTTGTCGCGATTGCATTTGCCATTGCACCAGAGTACGTTTCTGATATCCTACACCGATCGGCCATCACTGACTGCTTGAAGGTCTCCTGTATACTGTATTATCAACAAACGTGAAGAATGTGCAAAGAAGTTGTTCAGATGGCTCTACCGCGACGATGTGGATCGCGAGGAGCGCTACAACCACCTGGTAAAGACCATCCAGGAAGAAAACTCGCAACGCGAGGCAAACCAGTCAAGCTATATCGAATGCTTCCAGGGGGTAAACTTCAAGAGGACCATGACTATGATGTTCCTTTTCGGTCTTGTCAATCTAGGTGGTGGGCCGTTTCTCTCGCAGTCAATCTACTTCCTTATCTCCGTCGGCCTGCCCACAGTTCACGTTTTCGATATTTCGATCGGTGGATTCGGGCTGGCTATTGTTCTCATCATTGCCAGTGGAATTGCCTTGAAGAATGTGCGGCGCAGGAGCATCTTGTTCTGGGGATGCGTTATCAACTTCCTCTTCAATCTGATTGTTGGAGCTCTTTATTGGTCTCACGGCACTGGTCCTAAGTGGGCTATTGCAATCTTCATGTATGGATTGGATCTGTCTATTTATGGCGGAGACTACATGCTAACAGACATAGGAACGTTCTCATCTCTTTGCAGGCCAGTCTCATGCAAGCCCCTGGTTGGTCAATTGCAGCCGAAATCTCTAGTTACCGACTGCGTGCTAAGTCAATGTCACTTGGAATGATGTCTCAAACCTTTACGACTTGGCTCGTCACCTTTGTGGTGCCGTATATGTACAACGTTGACTCCGGTAACCTGGGTGCGCGAACTGGCTTGGTCTTCGCTGGTGCTTCGGTATTGCTTATCTGGGGTGCATGGGCTATTGTTCCTGATACTACTGGGCTCTCAACGGAGGATATAGACAACCTTTACGAGGCAAAGGTGCCAGCTAGGAAGTTTGCTAGTCATAAGATGCCAGCCACGCCATCCGGTGGGGATGTTTAGATATTTAGCTAGGTTGTATATAGTTTCGCTTGGCCAGATAGCAATTGAAAGAAATTGATCTCCCTGGATCGAGTAAACCAGATCAAGTTTGATACTATCCATGTACAGCTACATTAATTCCCGAAAAACCTGAGTACTTATAGGATGACTAAATTAATCATGTCATAGATCTTCGCGCGTTGTGGATGCCTTCCCCCGGTGACATAAAAGCAAGGCTAAATTGAGGGACGCATTCCACGGCGTCATTTTGCTTACGACATCAGCAGCAGCGAACAAAATCAGGTTGGTCGCAGACGTGTTGCGTTGGTGACTTCCTTGTTGGTGCCGAGCCCAATCCAATGCCTCTTTCACAACTGCAAAAAACCCATCGGAAGCCTCGAATGCTTCCATCTTGTCTTTCAGAAGATGAATCTGTGTCGGATCTATACACCTCACAAGTGTCCAGACAAAGACCTCGCTGAGGAAGCAGGTGATTATCTCTGGGGGCTCTGCCATTCGGGACTTCGGTTCCCCACTTGACAAGGTGGGCTGTACGCGCAGATCTTGAATGGCTTCCAGACAATGCGTGAGTATGGTTCCAACATCCTCGGGGTGATTCGTGAGAATTTTATGCATCGTGTTTATTGCTGGAGAGATCTCAGATGTTCCCGACTTTCCAAGTGCATTTTGAAGATCCACAATTGGGACGTGCAGAGTGAGACGGCCGAGGCGATGATACACTTGGGAACTTGCATGGAAATAACGGGAGGTCTCATACATAGCCACATCGGGGGCAGGTGCTGATGCGTAGGCTTGATCCCAGGCAGCTAGCATTTCTAGAAAATGATTAGATGTTGCTTATAATCGAATTTAAATCAAACTCACTTGAGATAAGTTCCTTGCGTTCTGCGAGCGCTTTACACGCTTCTTGTTCCGGAAGTGACAAAATAGAGCCTGCATGACGGCTCGATAAGCATCTCGTCACCAGATAGGCATAATGAGATTGAATCTCAGGCTCGAGAGTGGCGAGGAAAGTGGAATTTGCGGGAGTGTTGACTTTTTGTGTTCCAGGTACTTGCCATATTTCTGTATCAAGAGTCGCCTCAGAGACCATTGAAATCTGCTGTGATAGCTCGAATATTTGTACTTGGATGGTAGTAAGAATGAGATGACGGGTCCAGGAATTGAGGCTTATTGACGAGGGGAAAGACGTCTGTCGCAGAATTGAATCGGATGAGGCGTTGTATGAAGTGCTTCCTAGGTTCAGAGGCCCCAAAAAGGGACTCACGACAGAAGCATAGGTTGTTGCAGGTGGAACAGAGGCAGAGCCAAGTAACGTTCTCCAACAATTGGCAGTTGAAGCATGCCAAAATTCCTCGTCACAAGGACATTCGGTGGTCATGACCTCCGCTAGGCTGATTGAAGCCGGTAGGTATAGCAAACATGGAAAAATACAGTCGAGACCGTAAGTTACCCACATGAGCCTCTTTCTCGATTCCTTCATAATCCATCTTTGCCATTGGCCATCGGCGCTATTGCCAAATTTCTTGAGGTCCTCTCTCGCGGAGATAAATTCGTAATTATGGATTTGGCGACAATAGGTTATCACTGCACCCCGCAGGCTCTCGGAGAGCTCAAAAAGCCGCTTGTTGCCACACCACAAGCCTGCATAGCAGATTAGTGCCAAAGCATAGACAAACATGGGATCTCTCATAAGTTTGTTATTCATCTCGATGGCAATTTGTGAGCTCAACCTTGCCATGTCAACCAGTACAATTGAGAAACGGCACGTGTGTCGTTCACGGCTGTATATAGCTCCTATGGCAATCATAACAGCAAGAAGAGGATCAGGTAAGTCATCACAAGATCGTAAAGAAACACGATGTATGACAGGCATCTGGTGTTCAAAATGTGTGAAGAATAATCTTATGAAAATATTCGCGGTCTCCAAGTCAGGAAAATGAACTGAGTGAAAGTTGAAACCTTTTCTTGCAGGGTCCAAAAGAAAGGCGATCAAACTTTGGTACCGCTGCTGGGAAATATCAAAGTAAGTATCGTGGTTCCGTCTCAATGAATGGTTTTTGGGTAGTTCAATTGACTTAGCGGCGGTAATCGCTTGAGAGCCTGGGTCCCATCTGTACGGCCATTTATCTTCCTCAGAGGCTTCATTCGGAGGGGATGCCGGCCGGCTCATTTTTCCTCCCCTGTCAACAAAGGTAGCGGAACTTGGATCATGATGGTCGACGGTTGTCTGATCTCTATCAATATCTATGGCCAAAATTGGTGCGGCATTGAAGGGCGGCATTGACCCTGATTCGAGCAGCACCGACATGATATCGTCATCAAAACACATATCCTCGAATAGACATGGTTCTTGCATCCATCGGAGCAGATCATCATCAACCGTGTTATTGGGGGACTGATTTGTCCAACGAAGGGGGTGTTCAGTCTGAACTTGAGTTTCGAGCTCTAAAGTCTGATCTATGTCCATGTTTAATGGATGTATAGGGGCCCAGGCATTGCTAGTCCCACACAGTGCATCATTTTCCGGAACAGACCGAGCATTCAGAGAATTGGAACCTGCTGAGCCCGCAACGTTGTGCGTTTCAGCCGACCGAATCTCATGTAACGGATCAGAAGTGTGCGGCGAGGCTAGCCCATGATCTTTTGGTGACGCGATCTGCCTCTGGGACGCCAAAGTCGCGCTAGGCGACCGCTGCGCTTTGTGAATCTCCTCATGACGCTGGCGCACATCGCTCCTGGTGAATTCTTTGCCACAGACGGGACAGCGATGCAACTTTTGTTGTTTGTCTATATCACAGAATAATAAGCATACAACAGTCACTTGTGGATCAGATACTCACGGATCCGAGCATGGCGAGCAAGATTCTCCCGCCGAGAAAACTCCTTTGGGCATAACGCACAGCGGAAGCGAGCCGACTCTGTTGACGCAGACATAGTTGGAAAGTGGACAGTGGACAGTGGACACAAGGCAAAGCAATTTCAAGAACGCTACGAAGATGTGGGGTAACTATGTGAGATGGCTAGAGGCGAATTGAAGTGCCTGTCAAGTGAAGTTAGCGAGTCAAGCACTATTTGTGAAGCCCGTGGGATCGGGGTAAAACATGCCGGTCGGGATATCCGAGGCCAGACTTGTAACCTCGGATTGTCTATATGAGCCACAAGAGAGCACAGAAGTGTTGTTTCTCTTTTGATTTACAAATAAGAAACGTTATGATATCCCCTGCTTGGACGCAAACGCCACCATGGATCTGGCTACCTTCACATAGTGAGGAGGAGAGCCAACCCGGTCGGTATTTCCTGTTTCGCAAAAGCTTCCAGTGGACTCGACCGTACGGGCTACGTGAGTTTCCAGTTCATGTTTCTGCCGATAGTCGATATCGGCTCTTTGTGAATGGCCAACGTGTTAGCTTTGGCCCTTGTAAGAGCTACCCAGAACGTTGGTATTATGAGACGGTCGACATCCTTCCTTATCTCACGGAAGGAGAAAATGTCATCAGTGCACGCGTCTTGCGGTACTCTTCTGTTCACACGGGTTCTTCATCGATAATTAGCACCGAATTGCCTGGTCTCATGGTGTACGGCGAGATTGAAGTGAGTACCAGACCCCAAAGTCAATATATATTTGCCAGTGAGTAACATGGTAGCAGGGACTCTCAATCTCTACGAACTCCACTTGGAAGTGTGGACAAGAAACAACGCGTCAAATTTCTCCTCATTCAGAGTGGAACTATCTATTGGGCCCACCGTTCATGTCAAACAGTGAAAGAGTAACAGAAGCCAAAACGCTTTCTGGTTGGAAGCGGCCAGCTTTCGATGACACCACCTGGGAGTACGCCATTTTCCAGTTCCGCCCAGTGAAGATGCTACCAATACAACGACCATGGAAGTTGACACAACGGCCTATTCCGGCACTCCCTGAGATTCCTGGAAGGTTTGATGGAGTTGTAAAATGCGAAGGACCAATCACCCATAGCCAGTGGAATAATTTTATCAAAGGAGAAGAGGAGCTGATCATTCCAGCTGGAGAGACTGCCATCGTCGACATTGAATGCGCATCTTTGACTACAGCATTCGTCAACCTTCAATGTGGGGAGGGATTGGGATCAGTCATCACATTATTGTATTCGGAGTGCTACGAGAAAGATCTAGGGATCGAAACCGCTCCTTTCCCCATGCCGAGGACCAAACTTCTCAGATCAGACTCAAACGGCCGGCTATATGGAGTAAAAGATATCTATGCCGTGGCCGACGGCCAAGCAGAGCAAACATTCGAACCATTCTGGTTCCGAGCATTCCGATATGTGCAATTACATGTCAAAACATCATCTCAATCTCTCAAACTCAAAGGATTTACACTACGGGAGACCTCCTACCCACTCGATATTGCCACTGAAATCCAGGCTGGACCAGAACTCAACAAGATCTGGGATGTCAGTTTACGGACTCTTCAGAACTGCCGACATGAGACATACGAGGATTGCCCATTCTACGAGCAAAACCAATTTGCATCTGATTCTCGACTGCAAATGCTATTCACATATCAACTATCATCGGATGACCGTCTTGCCAGAAAAACTTTGGAAGAATTCCACGCCAGTCGGTGCTCCGATGGGTTAATCAAGGCGCAATTCCCGGCCGGATTCAACAGTAAGCAGATACCTCAATTTTCGCTTTACTGGATTGCAATGGTATGGGATCATATGCAATATTTTGCAGACAAGGCGATTGTGCGGCGGTACTTGAGCACCATCGACGGAATCCTCAACCACTTCGATGAGCGCATCAATGAACTAGGATTGGTCGGTCGGCTCGAAGACGACACATGGCCTTTCATCGACTGGGTAACTCAATGGTCGGTCCCAGGGAAGATCTTCCAATCGTGCATGCCTCAATCATACACCGCAACAGGCGTAGCAACATTCAATAGCCTGCTATGTATTGTGGCCCTGGTGCAGGCCGCTGAGCTATGCGAATTCATGGGACGAAAGGATACCGCCTCTGAATATTCCATTCGAGCACAGGCCCTCCGAGATGCGGTGAATACTCATTGTTTTGCGGACGGCTTTTACCTAGATGGCCCGTCGACAAGGGAATACAGCCAGCACAGTCAAGTATTTGCCATTCTCTCCGAGACAGTCACCGGCACAGCAGCTCGGGATCTAATGGTACGCACAATGTACAATACCTCACTGGCACAATGCTCCAGTGCTTTACAATTTTACGTGTTCCGAGCTGTGGAAAAGGTCGGTCTTTACACCAAGATGTTCCCCGCCCTTTTAGACCCATGGAGACGGATGCTCGCGGATGACTTGACAACGTGGGCTGAGTTCGAGGAGAATCCTCGGAGTGACTGTCATGGGTGGAGTGCTTGTCCAGTCCACGAAGTCGTTACCCAATTGTATGGTGTCAAGCCGGCCAGGCCGGGATTCAAACGTCTCCGCATTGAGCCACAGATGGACCTCCTTGCGACAGGGGAGGGGACGTTTGTTACTCCTGCGGGGAAGATCAAGTTGAAGTGGACAGAAGATGGAAACCTGGAAGTGGAGAGTTCTACAGATGTTGAGGCAGATGTTGTGCTTAGGGGTTCAGTGTATATTGTTCGATTTGTTGCTGGGAAGACTGTCAATTTCCTCAAAGAGACGGAGTCTATGGTGATAATTTGAAGCTCAGGACGATGTCATGTTTCGGGGTATGGAATGTTCTCCGGGTTTGTATTAACAAATCCAACTCCACTTTTTACGAGATTAGCTTTGTGGTTAACTTTGTCCATCTGACAATCCCGAATGCCCTGAATGTTTCTTTTCCTTCGTAATAATTTGGCTTCCAATTTGCTTTTTTTCTGTGCTTGTCGCAAATCATCAAGCGAATATGATGACCCGGTTTATTTTCGTGACGAGGCTGCTTCCAACCCAGTGTTCCCGGAGCAAAGATCTGAAAAAACATTCGGTGTGCGTCTGCCCAAGTGGGGCTCAAATTAAGCTCATCGAGTGCCAACGTTGCTGTTACATAAGGGTTGGAGTCTGTTGGAGTCGTTCAACATCTTCACTGGAACATTGTTTTTTTGTTACTTCATGAATTCCTGGAGGATTCCGCAAACCTACGGTTTTTACATAACTTTTTGTTATTTCTGCAGTGGGGTATGGGGAAATTGTGTTATTTACGACAGTAGATATATTCCTGTAGTCTCTTTTTCACCATTGCCAACTTCCATAATTATAATCAACCCGAGCTTCAGTACTACAGCTGCGCATCCTTTCATCATGGTCCACAACATCCACATCGCCGTCCTCGACGTCGACATCCCAGCCCGCCGACTCTACGAGGCGCGAGGACTCTGCAGTGCACACTTCCGCACAATTCTTCGCGAAACCGCCACGCGCCTCAACGAGACCTTCTTCGCCGATAAAGACCAACTCGAAATTAAGATTACACCATACGATATTCGCGGCGGCCACTATCCCGACCTTTATAAGCTGCGCGGCGATGCGACCCAAAACCAAATCCCCGTGGCATCCCCCATCGACGCGGTCCTCATCACGGGCGGCTCGCCCGGCGTATATGAGATGGACCACTCACCCTGGATGCAAGAATTAGAAAAATTCGTGAAAACCGTCTACAACCAATATCCCGAAGTGCGAATTCTCGGCACCTGCTTCGGCCACCAAATGATTTCGCACGCACTTGTGCGCAACCCCGAAGATACCGTCCGCGACGTCTGGGTCGAGAAGTGCCCTCTGGGCCGCGAGGTTGGAATTTATACCGTTCAATTAGAGAAGGCTTTCCTTCAATCATTCCCTGCGGCGCTCGGTCAGCTGCCTGAAGGCAAGTTGCGCATTCAGATGTTCCACGGTGATCGCGTGATGGCTGTTGAGAAGGGCACCCCTGTTTCTCTGGTTGAGTCGCCGCCTGTCTCGCTGCCTGCGCCGTGGGTTAATATTGGAAGTACGCCCATCTGCCCTATCCAGGGTCTTTACCACCCTGGCAGGGTTCTGTCTGTACAGGGCCATTATGAAATGGATGTTTTTGGTATGACCAAGATGTGTTTGGAGTCTGCGCCTGTGATGGGCTGGAAGGAATCGAAGCTTGCTTTGTTCCTGGAGCAAGTTGGGGATGACCTCAATGAGGGTGGTCAGGATGATTCTAAGGCCTTTGCTTCTGCTGTTGTGTGCTTCTTGGCTGGTGTTGAGCAATGATGTCTGCAGGATCAAATAATTAAAAATAAAAGTTCATTTTGGTTATCCCTTGCATTAACTACGTTCCCCATGGCACTGGACGAACAACCAGGGGTTCGCTAGACCCTAGTAGGACTGATATGACTCCCAATTTTGGCTAGGGCATGCAAGGTCCCCTACATATTTGTGTGACTTGTCCGAACGCTAAACAATCTGAGACATACATCGGAAGGAGTAAAACCTGAGGCGTTGATTGGCCAGATCAGGATTGCCAAGGCCCGGCCCGATGCTTTCCGCCCCCAACTTCGGCGGATCGCCAAGCCTCAGAAGCCCTACCAGATGTACATGCAGTATTATTTTCAATGAGGAAGGGCCTACTGGGGCTCGTCTCATCCTGTAATGATCAGTGTGAAGGCTGCGGGATTTCTGCGGTACAATTTCGCTTGCGATGGAGGTACATATTCTCATTTCACTCTCCGTTGTCCTGTAGGAGGAACTGGATAGTGATTTCTCAGACTAACTACTAGTCGAAGAGAAGGCGGAAACGAGAATGCGGTTGCGGCTCTCGTGCCCTCCAACGGAATTAGTCGACATCTCCGGCATGAAATATGAATTGCAACAGAAGGACTGGCCTGACACTGCGACTCATTTCGATTCTGGTCAGGTCTCTTACGTTAATTCATCTTTCAAGGCAATCTTTCATGTCTAGCACACTATGTATCCCAAGGAATTCAGGAACTTGTTTAGCCCGGAGGAGAAGAATGTAAGGTCGTCCAAGAACCGTGCACGTATAGTTAAATTGTCATGTGAGCGAAATTTCCTTAGCCAAACTTCGTTTGCGTACAGTACCTCTAGGGCAAAGCTGTTCTGGTTACGGGAGACATGATTTTAAACATTCACTCCTAACTTTTATAACTTCACAGAATGCGAAAAATGGGGGGATATAGAAATCCTAATTTGAGTAGTACGTAGTACCTAGTCAATAAACAAGCCACCGGAAGCGATGATGTGTGACCCATTTATCCACCGTGCCCGTTCCTCGCAAAGAAACCCGACAGCGAACGCAATCTCTTCTGGCGCTGCCATTCTCGGTCCAACGGGAGTTTGATCAATAATTGGTTGAAGGATCTTCATCTGTTCCTCTCCGGCGGCAGCAAAGCCCTCGGTCTTGGTTGGGCCCGGACTAACAGCGTTGACGGTGCATCCATACTTGGGAGGAAGCTCTTTCGCCCTGCGCAACTCATTAGTGTTGTGTCCAGAGCTCAGTCACTGACACTTACTTACCAGCATTTGGTAAAGGAGTCCACCATTCCTTTGGTGCCCGCGTAAATTGTCTGATTAGGGGGCGGGCCTCGAGCCGAAATGCTCGCGATATTGACGATTCGCCCCGTTCCCTTAGTGAGGTGCGGAAGACTGGCTTGCGTCAGGAGGAATGTGCCACGACCGTTCACATTGACGAGTAAGTCCCAATCTTCAAGTGTTTGCTCTTCCAGCGGCTTGTTTACTGCCAATGCGACGCAGTTGACCACGATGTCGATTCTTCCCCATTTGGAGACAGCAGCGTCTACCAGGAGTTGTGGCGCTGTGACTGTAGACATATCAGCCTCCACGGCAACTGCCGGAGTTGATAGAGAGGATACAACGGCATCCGCTTCTTCCCGAAGGTCATCGAAGGGGTAATTGACGACTATATTCGCACCACGAGCGGATAATTCTCGGACAATAGCGGCACCAATGCCAGAGGATGAGCCGCTAATAATGGCAACTTTTCCGAGTAGCGTTCTGGAATTCATGACTTGAAGTTATTTATTGAGTAAACTTGTGGAATCAAAGACGATTGAGCAGGTAAAGCGGTAGTAATATCGACAGACTGCAGTTCGCTCAAGAAATTTTCAAGGTGGAATTTGCTTTGATTCTAGTTTGAACTAAATGCGCAAGCTTGAAAGACCGTATAACCCCGCAACGGTGGAACTAACGTGAGTGTTTAAAGTTACTATACGCGTCCCGCATCGCTAACCAGGAAGTCGGGTGACCACCGAATATCCCAGGCCCCTCAGCCAGGTCAGCCACTCCCCACATCCCGGTCGCAGTGCAATGGTCAAGGTAGCTCTTCACATGTTGTCACAACACACCTGGAAGATCTTCGCATGCACAAAGCAAACTGCCGTTCTCACCTGGTGGGCAGTCTTCCTCCGGCAATTGGGCCGAGGGCATATTGTGTCCAGTACAAAGTGGATCGGAACTATCTCCTTAGCCAAGGTGCAGCTATACAATCGTTACGACATGTTACAACTCGGCTAAGGAGGCGTTGGAGTGGTGGCATAGAGAGTACAGGAGTAATGAGCTTAGGTTATTATGTACATGATGCTTCACGTCTTCTGTCGTGGAAAAGAAATCCAATGTCTAGTTCTAGTTATGATGGACCTTGCTAGCTACGAGCAGCTTCCAGCCCATCACATCTCCCACTGGTGAGTATTATCCAATCCCTTTGTGCCTGACGCGTCTCCTTGATCGAGGTATCCACAGATTCTCCCTTGCGGGTCCCACTTGCGACGAATCTCCATCAGGCGCATGGCATTCTCATTTGCCCAGTACTTGCTCTTCCGGGTTTGGAAGTCTGAATCTCCGAGATAGGCACCCACTGAATGCTTTTCCACCCTTGTCATGACGTTCCGAACCCACTCCAAGCAGCGTGGGTCATCCTTCTCCTCCTCCCAAACTGTGTATAGGGCGAAGTAATGGTCCGATTGCATGCTGAGGGCCATATCCGGGAGCTTCCTTTGGCTGCAGGGGTTCATGCCATACCACAGAGAGAATGCCTTCTTATGCGGAAGTGTTGTAAATGCCTCTTCCAGGACAGCTGGGACGTCTGTATCGTTCTTGAGGTACGCATTATCAGTGCAATACCGGTGGTGATCTGGGTTCTTGTCGGCCTGATTGGTGTATTGGCGCTCGAGGCTGTCCTCTTGGCAGAACCATTCCACGATGGTGCCTACGGGTCGGCTGTTCTGAGCCTTGCGGAGGGCCTTCTCAGAGTCATGAGCATTGTCCTTCATGGTAACGAACAGGACGAAAAACACCATCTCGCTCTTCTCATTCGGATAGTGGGCAACCGCCGCTATCTCGGTGTCTTGGTCGAATGTTGGCGTGATGTCGAGAACCCACTGGAAAGCCTCGCGGTACATGCTAATGGGATAGACGTAGCCGGAAGACCGGAATCCATTCGCAGGGTAAGAGTTCAATCTGAGATGGAATTTGGTGACCACACCGGGAAACCCTATGTTTAGAGCCACTGTCAGTCACAGTAACACAAGGAGGATAGACAGAAGTGCCAAGTGCGTACCTGGTCCCGCTCCTCGAGCTGCCCAGTAGAGCTCCTGATTTTGCTGGGAATTGCAGTGGAGCAACTCGCCTTTCGCAGTGACGACGTCCACGGCCTCTACTCTCTCACATGCCCATCCCCAGTTCTGTACGAAAAGAGCATAAGCAATGATACGCAAGAGAATTTCCGAGATGATGATACGTACACGGCAGTTCCAGCCCATTCCACCCTGAAGTAAAAATCCACCAAGCCCAACGTCTGGGCAGTGACCACCGGGGAACATCAACTGGTGCTTGTCGACCAAGACCGAGTTGAGCTCCCTGCCAGTCATACTGGGCGACGCCTTGGCCATTTTCTTTGGCGCATCCACTTCGAGCTCTTTGTAGTTTTCAAGGTCAATCAAGATGGAGCAGTCGCGCACGCTCCAGGCAGCCCAGGAATGACCGCCGGAGCGAACTGCGACTCGGCAGTTGCGCTCCGCGGCCAACTTGACTGCTTCTACAATGTCATTCTCACAAGTGGCGTGGACTACAGCTAAGGGGAACCGTTTGGGGCGACGCTGATTGAAGACGCGTCCGACGCGGGCATGTTCGTATTCCGCATCGGTGGCAGAGTCGCGCCAGGTGATTTTCATGATCGGCTGAAGACGTAATGGATGAATTGCAATGGCAAGAATCGAGAAGTGAAGAGAACCAACCAGCCGGCGTTTAATCCTCCCCGCAATATAACGACCTTCCTCCGCTTTTCAGTCCTCGGCACCGGGCCGCGCGGCGTTGTCGGGAGAAGAAGTGGAGGTGAAGACCGAGATTACCCCGTGGGGAAGAAAATCATACAGCTCTCCACATCCCGGAACAAGTGTTCCAGCCACCTCTGCTGATCATCGATACAGACACTCACGAAGTTATAACCCCTCTCAAGGAAGGAATGGGCTACACCATGTCATCTGTTCATCGCAGGTGTCCAAAAAGGGCCAGTTTGACATAAGGCATATCATCGCTACCCAAAGTACCCTTTTCGATGATCACTAGCATCAGCATGGCCGCAAAGACAACCACTCTACGGCCAGAGGGCATCCAGTCTAACAACCTAGGCAGCCTGCAGCTCCGGCACCATGAGACCAACGAGATCATTCTCATCCCAACTCCCTCTAGGGACCCTAACGACCCTCTGAACTGGCAGGGCCTGCTCCTCACCCCCTAATTAGTCCAGGGGCTAACATATTCGCCTCTTCAGGTCGCGAGCATTCCGCTACTACCTTGCTATCGTCGTGTGCTTAGCTGTGTTCTTCTGCAACTTCCTTGCCGCTGGTCCCACGGTAGCCATCGTGAAGACAACTGTGGACTTCCTCGGTCCGCAGGGACCAGACTTCAGTGCCCATATTGCCAAGATCTCATACTTCTACAGTACCACCGCCTTGTGCCAGGGCATTGGTATGCTGTTTTGGATGCCACTGATAGTCAAGTATGGCCGACGACCTATCTACGTTATTTCTTTCATCCTCTACCTGGCCACTGGGCTGTGGTGTGCATTCGCAAATACCTACGGGGCGGAACTGGCTGGCCGTATTGTCATGGGACTTGCAGCTGGCGCTGGAGAGTGTCTCGGGCCCTTGACAATTGCGGACATCTTCTTCCTCCACGAGCGTGGCGCAGTGATGGCGACCTATACAGCTGCCCTGTCAATGGGTGTTGCTGGCGGCATCATCATAGATGGTCTCATCACCATTTCTTATGACTGGCGCTACATATACTATATTGCCTCTGCACTGATTGGAGGCGTGGCAATCCTGGTCATCCTCACTTTCCCAGAAACAACATTCAATCGTCATCCTCAGCCTCGGGAGGAGCCAGTCATCGACGAGGACGCTGATACCAAGCTCATCTCTCAGCGCTCGAGGCCATCAGAGCACCACGAGGCTGTACCATCCACTCCGATTCCAGGAAAAAAGACCTATGTCCAATCCCTACGTCTCTTTGGGGGAATTTATACGTCGGAGTCGCTTTTACGTGTCTTTATACGTCCAATCGTCCTCATTGTCCTCCCTCCTGTTCTCTGGTGCTCGCTGGTATTTGCAGTCACCATTGGCTTCCTGGTGGCCATCACGTCCAATTTTGCGACCGCATTCTCAGAGACATACAACTTCACATCCTGGCAGTGCGGTTTATGTTTCGTGTCTGGCTTGGTGGGCTCATTCCTGGGAATTGCGTTTGGTGGCCATATCTCCGACTGGACCGCGGATTGGTTCACTCAGCGCAACGGTGGAATTCGAGAGCCGGAGATGCGTCTCCCGTCCATTGCTATCGGAGGCGCATTTGCCCCAGTCGCACTCATTCTTTATGGTGTTGGGATCAATAATCAGCTTCACTGGATGGTTCCAACTCTTGGCCTCGGCATGCTCAACTTCGCGATTGTTCAAGCAACCAATGTTGCTATGGTGTACGTGATTGATTGCTATAGACCGGCAGTAGGAGAGGTGACAGTCTCAATCCTTGCATTTAAGGGTAAGTACTATGATCTGTTCTACATTTATCTCCTTGTCTGCTACCAATACTAACTGACATCGCGTCGCTTAGCCGCCTTTGGATTCCTGCTGTCTTTCTACACAAACCCCTGGATTGCTCTGGAGGGATATAGCAAGGCTTTCGGGGAGATGGCATTTCTGTCCGGTATAATTATAGTCATGGTCGTAATCTTTTACTTCTGGGGAAAGAAAATTAGGCACAAGACATGGGACTGGCGGGTGATGCAGAAGTATGGCCGGTGGGATGAAGATCGAGAAGTTGGGGAGTAATTCGTACCCTGCTATTTCCTTTTCCCGATTGAAATGAACAATTACCGGCCAATAATATTGAGAAGACTCAATCATACATTCTCAAGAACAAGTTTCCCCTATCGTTCTTTTTATTGCACCGTGCAGGGAGCGATATCAAGCCTCAGGGGCTCGGATCTCGCCCGACCTTCTCAACCCACGTCTCCTATTGAGTTTCCTACTCGCTGTTTCCAGTTAAACACTTCAAGCCTAGAGATTCCCTAATTTTGACAGTGTCTCACCAGGTGCACTCACCGGACAAGAAGAGGGCAACGGCAGCCTAAAGATTCACTATCAGCATCGCAAAGTACCGCCTCTGTAGCTGGTGCAATAATATCTCTGATGAATCCGGTCAAGGAGCACAATTAGACATCAAGGAATAGTTTCTGCGACTATGGATTTTCTTTCTTCTTTTATCTCGTTTTCAAGACTTGGTGTTGAGACTATGACCGTGTTGACGTTGGCAAAAATTCTGCAATCCCTTTTGACATTGTATCTAATACTGTAGTTTCAATACCCTCAAGCATCAATATACAGACAGCTCTAACCAGGAGAGTAGGTAATCCATGGCCCTCCACCAATCAGTTCCAACATCAGCTTTTTCACACATCAATCCAAGTCGTCTTTCATTGCCAACCATTCTCAAGCTTCTGGCGGTAATCCGTAATCATTTCAGAAGTAATATCACTTCCTCCGCAAACAATGATCACAACTCGACTATCCGGTGTTAGGTCTGTCATGACTTCCTTTAGCCTATCTAACCCAACTTGGACGCTTATTCCACAAGCCAACTCGACCTCCAACCGCAGCTCATCACACAACCGCACAACTCCCATCGCAGCATCAGCGTCGGTACCCACAATACTAGTGACTTCGATACAGGGCGGAGGACATTGCACGTTTTTCAGCGTCTGCTGTGCCACGCAGAGTGCCCCCAGGGTGATTGCCTGCGATGTAATTGCAGGTAGAGGTTGCAAAGAGCCCTTGCGTAACGAATGCGCCAGCGAATCCGCCCCAGCTGTTTCAACAGCGACAATTCGAACTTTTTTCACCACTTTCTTGGAAAGCGTTGTCGGTTGATAGGCGGGCAAATGCCTCTCAAGGCCGTCGATAATACCGTTCAGAAGACCACCGCCGCCAACGCTGCAAACGATTGCATCTGCCGGGAATGAACAATAGCTATCGGTTTTGCTGTAGTGCCTTTGAGGTAACTGCTTAATTATCTCATCAATCAGAGTCCCAGCGCCTCGCCAGATGTCATGGTGATCGAATGGTGGGATATAAATGTTCTTGGTCAAGGGATCTAGCTTGCTGTCTTCATTTTCGATGAAGTTTTCCCGCAGATACGCGTCAGCTTCGAACCAACTGGCGCCATGGCGGATAACATCCGAAGCCCCTGCAGCGAGTATTTTTTTGATCATCATAGGCTTCGCGCTAAGGGGCACAACAACTGTACAGGAACAACCGAGATCCCGAGCGGCTATAACTGCTGCGAGCCCCGCATTGCCTGCCGAGGAGCTGAAAAAATGCAGGGTTCTGCCATTGTTTGATGGATCAGAAAGAGATGTGAGGATCAAATTTCCAATTCCCCTGTACCAGTTTTGACTCTGTGTCAGATCTCTTTTGATACGCTGCAACATGGAATGCCGAACTCACCGTGATTTGAACGAGCCAGAAGGTTGGAGCGACTCTAATTTGAGAAAGATTCTACTATATTTACTCTTCAGCATCAGGGACCTTGATTAATGAAAATAAAATCCAGTCTTACCATCCGGCAGCCTTTGAAAGTGTCGCCGACTCAATCAAAGGCGTTTCAATCCAGGGGTTCTTCAATTCGTGTTCTGAATCGAAATGGCCCATTTTCAAGCGATTCGAGGCAAAAATGTTAAGACAAATCTTCTTGGTCGTCTAGAAAATCCGAGACGTATCTAAATTGGCCACAAGGGTAACCATCAATTTATATTGAGAGACGCAAGGCAATCTTAGAAAGCTTTTCGATGTTATCAGGCCCGATCTTGCCGACGCCCTTCATTTGACATTTGGCTCGTTGCAGGCGTGGAACATGCGTGGAGTGGGTGCGGCGCGTTGATCCTCCCCTGTAATTGATCAGGATTCTTGGGCGCTTCAACGGGCATACGTGTCGAAAGATAATTCCTCAGATATAATCGCTTGCGCATAAGTCCGTTATTCAAGACCCCTGCGGGCGCCAATCAATTTGGAGGCGGTGATACGAGGCAGACAGAGAAAGACTATTAGAAGAATCCTGCACGTTCAACGACTTAGGCCGTCCAAGAGGTAGTTAGTACTTTAGTAAGCATCACAGAGTTTATCACGCTAGAGATTTCGCAGCACGTTGCAGACGATCGGTGGGATAAGAGTGCTAATAATCTAAAGTGCTTACGGGAGCAGGCGATAAGTTGCATTAAGGTTATAAGTAACTATCAACTGTACAGCTGTTTCATCTAAATTACACTTTTAGGTGCCGCCCGTGACATCGGCCATTGGATGAAGCGATGCAAAGATGACACAAGATGGTTCGAAATTAGTTCCACCACTTCATTCATACGCCTATTTCGAAATGCGCTAATCTACATATGATTTAGCCTATTTAGAAAGACGGAAGGTATTGTAAGAGGCTATCATATGATGGTTGATTTCGTAAATCCGTTGGCAATTTCAAATACATTCAAGTCCTGACACCTCCATACCCTCCTCCCTCATCGCCCGCTCGCCCTACCTTCAACCACTTTATATTATCAGCATAAGATTCCCTATCTGTAGTACATGAAAGTAGCGCCCAGGAACTGCTAAGAAGAGGATATTCTGCGTTTTCGGAGTGGCAGAAGCACAACAATTAGAGCGTACCCCAGTCCGATGATCCCAGCGACCACGCTATACGCAATAACTGCCCCAACAGGAGCGATCGAAAGGCCGATACCTGTTAGGCGAAAACCTAGACCAGCGTTAATAATTCCAAGAGTTATGAGACAGCGACCAAGCCACCGATGCAGGTAAGCAAATACACTCTTGCCCCCAGTTTTGTGAAAATACCTGTGTTGAAGAAATCCCATCACGGGCTGAAAAAGGATAAGGCATGGGACGGTCACCATCCCGATAATTGGATGATACATCCCTATGAAACCAAGGTTTCTTGCCATTGAGATCCCAATTCCAAACCCGGCAATGGCCAAAGCGAGAGTAAAAAGCTGGAAAGAAGCATGGACATAAACAATCTTCGAATATGGAACAACATGAAGCAGTAGAGCAAATGAAGGGAAAAATATAACAAAGACCAGTATCATAATAACAGCATGGGCTTTCCTGAGTTTATCAACAGACCCAGTGCTAACGGTCGAAATCGGGCGCGATGAACTTGAATTCGTATTGGTCGAGGTTGTGAACGGGTTATTAGATGTGCCACCGGTTGCTTGTTGAAGGTCTATAGCTGAAACTCCCTCGGCATCGTGTATGTCAATAGATGCAGTTAAGCTGTTCGTGTTGAGTGGGCTCCCATATTTCACTGCCCAAAGCCATGGACTCGACGAGCTGCTCAGGTCTTCACTTCCACCGGGCCAGGTGATACAGCTATCGCATCGGATATTTGCGGTCATAATTCCATTACTGATCCCGCTGCCATTCAAGACTGATAATTGAGCTTCGGGGTTATGTAGTGGCATAACATGCTCTACGCCCAGTCGCGGGGAGACAGTAACATTATTGCCGTCGCTAGATGCATAGACAACAAAGATATTGGCTCCTTGCATTATAGAGCCCTGGCCCCAAGCAAACCACTGAAGCTCGCTTGTGGACTTCAGTTGGAAAAAATCGGCCCGGTGCCGGAGGACGCGGTGGCCTGGGGTATATTGACGCTATAGGTGATTCCATTTTGCCCGGGAGGCACGAATGTTTGTAACTGGGCAAGGGCAGAAATGGATGTAAAAAGCCAGAAATAGGCGGATTTACTCTTCATTTCGAAGAAGCGGTCGTGTATACTTTTGCTGTCAAGAGAAAGACTTGAGATATGCTCGCTTGTTGTGCGAATATGTCTTACAACGGGAAAGGAAGCAATAATATGTCAATATTACTGGTAGAGAAAAGGATGGGGAGAAAAGAGAGAGAGAGCTCGGTAAGGAAGCGAGCTATCTTGCTATCTAATGCTCAGTACTATCTAGGTCACGTTACCCTAGGTCTCGACGATATCGACGCTTCGCCAAATATATACGGGGTGCACCACGTTTTCATTGCCAGAGCTAATGCCACAAGTAGGCCGTTGACTCGAGTCATGACGTTCTTTGTGCCAAAACATTGCCAGAGCTGGTTCCTGCGCCTCCACAGACTCATTCCATCTTAGTCAGCTGCCCCGTATTTACGACCATAACCAAAATGTCATCCTGTATAATCGGTCGATCTAGGTCTACTTTAGTGATGCTTGATATAAAAGCCACACTCCGACTTTCTGTGGTTAATCCAATACGACGACCCGCATTCTTTTACCCTAAGAGGGAAAAGTAAGTGCCATTAAGCTTTCTTACGAGTTGATGCCGTGGCTATGCTGAAGCTTCCAAAAAGTCCCCGTGAAACTTGGGGACTTATGTTACTACATGCACGCCGTAGTTTAAACACATAAAAGGCAAACCTACCTCCTGATTTCTCTGAATTGAACTCTGGGCTTTCCATGCAGAACTTTGCCTTCATTTACTCATTTTGAAATTCAATTAAGTGGCAATAATGTACAAAACGTCTTTGTGCTCTTTCACACTTTTGTGCCTCCCTCTCGTTGGTGCCCAGTATGGAGGAGGAGGTTCTAGCGATACTACTACGACAATTGCAAGCTCCACTGCAAGCTCAACAACGAGTGGTTCGGCTTCAAGTGCCACTCAATCGGTTCGTGTTGGTGAAGAAGGCTTTGTTTTTAATCCCGACACTATCCACGTCCCTTCGGGAGGTGTAGTCGAGTTCCATTTCTATCCTGGCGATCACTCGGTCGCCCAGGCCGCATTCAACGACCCATGCCATCCCATGAGCGATACTAGCTTCTTCAGTGGATTTATGGCATCTGCTAATAATGGGAATGTAAGTTCATGAGCATCGTTTAAGGCTGTATAACTTTCTGACATTTTAGCCTATCTGGTCATTGACCGTGAACGATACAAATCCGATCTGGTTCTACTGCGGCCAAGTTGGACATTGTCAAGCTGGCATGGTCGGTGTGATAAACCCGTCGTACGTATATCAGTAGCCACAAAACATTAGAAGCATTAACTAATCCTTTTAATTAATATCAGTGGCTCAGATACGCTTGATGCATTCAAATCGGCAGCGTCGACTGCAGATGGTCAAAGTTTGCCAGCCACGGCCCAAGGCGGCATTCTCGGTACACCAAGTGCTAGCCAGGCAACTGCGACCAGCAGCAGTGAGACCGCCACAAGCAGTTCAGCCGCTACCAGTAGTTCGGCTGCTACCAGCAGTACGTCTACTGCCAGCGGGACACAGACCAGCGCCGGTGCTTCCAGCCCTAGTGCCGCAAATATGGCAGACAACTTCCACGTTTCAACTAGTCTCAGCGTCATCTCCATTCTCTCTTTTACAATGGCTATGCTCCTGATGTAGGCTCAGGTTCAGCGTCATTGATGAGGTGCTAGGAGTGGTGAAAGTCAGCCGTGTGAGGTATCCGATACACAGAAAAACGGGAAAATACGCGTTCCTGATGACTTGGTAATAATTTTGGTCTGCACCAAGGAGAGGAGCTGATTACTTTTAACGCATCAGCTCCTATCCTTGGTCCTCCTGATCTTTGACCGAAAATTACATTTATTGTTCTATATTCGCGTCGCTAGTACCATTTGTTTGGACCTAGTCCTTCGTTATAAATTCGTTTACTTTATAAACATGCCTATTGGACTAACACAGACTTTGGCCAGGGTCATTTCCCGCAATGCTGGAGAAGCTGCTCGGTAGAATCCTTAGAGACAGACGCATCGGTCGAGCCTCGGAACACTCGAGAGAAAACCATATTATAAGATTAGTCTAGGCCTCCGTCTGATAGGTCTGGTATCCCCAGCAGTAGTCGGTCTCAACATAAATCTACAGCTGGGGTCAAAAGGAACAAGCCCAGCGGGGGCAAAAAGAAGCGGACTTCGGCCACTGCTCCCCAGATATTTTGTTGCACATTTTATTGTGATAAATTTTAAAGCAAATACGACTGTATCTGACAAGAGAGTTCCCTTCACCTGAGCCTAGAGACGTGGGTGTGCGCATCATTTGGAGGATGCGTGATACTTCCATCGTCTGGTCGCGTCCACTGTGCCTACTGCAATCAGCTCGATCCTCATCCAATCACCTCGAGCAACACGATTATTCGGCTTGCAAGCGACAATTCCGTATATTCAAACGTAAGGGCCACCTACTCAACATCTGCGTCTTGTCCACCGTCTGAAACCATGCCATTGATCCGTGATTGGAAATGCGTCTTCACCTACTTCCCTTCTCGTTATGGCTTTTGCAACGGCCGTATGTCTACTTGGGATGAGCGAGCCAATCACTTAACACTCCACTTCCGGAAAGGCCGCAATATGGCCCACTGGATAGGGGACCATGAGTTTCCCCCGGAGATCGCAGCTCAAGTAACGCATAGCATACCATCTTATCTTTTGGATTTCGAATCTCGAACGTTTCCGCCACTAACCGAGTTGTCAATGATCATCTTTCTCAGATGATCTCCGGAGCCATATTTCTGAGGCTGAGGACAGTCAACATGTCTCTCCGGGGGCCGCTGAGGTAGACTCTGAGCATGTCCAATGACCTGGGTTCCAATTGGATTCATACAACGAGGTGCTCACACGTCACTTGAGCCACTATGTGCAGCAGAATATGAGACTTGGAGTCATTCCTTCAGATGAAATGTTCCAGCTGGAACCAAGACGTCTTCATTTCGACTCGAAGGACACTTGGAACCAGACTATGGCGGATAACCCGGAGTGGTTTGCTATATTCCGAAGCAATCGATACAACGATAGCTTGTTCCAAGCCCTAGATGAATTTCTGGACGAATTGTTGCCTGGGAATTAGAGATTTCAGTGCTGTGCTCACTGGAAACGTACGACAAGACTTTCTTGGTGATCAATGAATGTGTTATATTTTCTTTCTGTGCACATATTATATTCTATTTATAATTAGATTCCAGCCAAAACATGATTTGTGACACCGCTAGAGCCTAAGCCAGTATGCTTCGCCGTCCCGAAAGCTGCGGATACTCAACTTCCTGCCCATACATATGTGCATCCATTCCCGGCAAGGCAGCCAACGACACAGGGATCTCGAAATGCTTCTTGACCGCCGCGATATGATCAGCTTGAGTCGGTTCCCATGCTGAGTTGAGAATATTAACCGTCGCTCGCTCGGCAACCAAACCTGTCTGCGCTTCTGAATGAATATTGCATATGAGTCTCAAATCCACCATAACAACTTTCACTGGAAATTACCTTCAGTTTGAGCAATCAACATTGGTTGACCCTGCCTGTCTCCCTCCTCGCTCTCTTCCCTCTTCCCTCGCATATCCCATCTTCGCTTCGACCGAGGTGGTATAGATTCCTTGACTGGCTTCTCGGCACCTGAATATTTGCCCCTTGATGCGATACCAGCCCCCCACCGCAATCTGATCTCGTATCCCTCACAGGTAATGCCCCGCAAGCTACATCTTTGGCAAGAGGGGCGCACTTCATCGCATTGAACCCGCTTCTTCTTACAGGTCCAACATCCCTTGAAAGAGCGATGCCGAGCGTTGGGGGTATCCTTGTGCTTTTCGACTGGAGACATAGTTAAAACGACTTGCAAAATTTAGTAGAGCAGAGAGAATTTAGTAGAGCAGAGAGCAAGAGAAAGAAAGAAAGGGTCATAATTTCCTAGGTATTCATATATGGTCATACAATGGTGGTCTGAGCCTCGCTGATTGGCCGAACAAAGATCTCAGGCCTAAATAACGCGCTCTAATCCCCTCTAGGGAGTGCTTCCCGGCAAATCCCTCAAAAACAAGCAGATATTTGGTGCGCAAATTCCCTCGCATTTAAGGCAAGTCCAAAATCGCAGACAATTTGCAGCGTGATGTTGCTCTTATGGTTGATCGCCAAGACAGTCGGCGATGTTCTGACTAAACCATTTCGGGCAGGTACACGCAGCAAACAAGCATGCGCTTCATGCCGCTCACCTTCAGGCAACATTGTTCTGCTCGCCATTTTATTGAAAGAGATGGAAAGTCAATTATCAATGCGAATCCGGGGCCAGCATTACAGTTCCGACCGGGGGAGCTTGCGCCGTTTGTTCCCGATGGATCTCATGGGGTGAAGTCGCCACTTGCGTCGTGACGAAAGCCCCGATAGCTATGTGTCAAGAATCAGGCTCACCGGGAAATCCTCGAGTCGGGCACCAATTTAGCGGATATCCAGGTACCATTGATATCATCTGCAGCACTGCCGTGAAGCTATCCGCATCTACCTGCCAGAGAGGGAATCTTCAGCCTTCGCAGGTCTAATGTGGAGTCACCAGCAGAAAACTGGAGCAACGACGACGATTCTTTGTCGGTAATCTCTTAAATGCTTCCAAACTTGGGATATTCCAGGTGGATCCCGTCTCGGTGAGTGTTAAAGGTACGTGCGACTCTGTTTGGCCACAAATGCCGATGCCCATGGGGTTCCCCAGACAAACGTCAGAAATCCCCGGGTCTTGAAGCTGGGGTGCGGGACTTCTGTTTCCTACAACTGTTTCTGGCGTCCTCATTTCTGGTTCCAGTATATCGACTTGGGAAAGGACCATATACAAACAACGCTGTCGAGTACTTCGACGGCAGTATCTCGCCAATTGTTTATTATTGGGAAATGACCCCAGCGCGACTATCTTGAACTACACTCACTGTCCTTCCCATCACTTGAAGTATGGACGTGGAAACCGAAAACCCCCTCAAACCAACCGACCAGAGCGCCCAAGATGCCAACGATCTCGCCGAATTCGGGCACGAGCAGACCCTCGCCCGCAAGTTCAATATTTGGAGCATGCTCGCGCTGGCTTTCTGTGTCCTTGGAACATGGTCAACATTCGCACAGGATCTTTCCGATGGCTTGATCAACGGTGGCCCTGTCTCGATCCTTTGGGGTCTATGCCTCGTTACTTTCTGCAACACCTGCGTTGCACTCTCGCTAGGCGAGATCTGCAGCAGCATGCCTACTGCCCTGGGACAGGCGTATTGGGTCTATCGCTTGTGGGACTCGCGGCTGGGGCGATTCATCTCGTACATGTGTGCTTGGATTAATGTGTTCGGGTGGTGGACTCTGGCCGCCTCTCAGGTGGCATTCATGACCAACTTTCTACTCGGGATGAAGGTCATGTTCAATCCAAATTGGACTGGTGCCTCTACTGGATGGCTTGAATTTGTCGTCTATGTTGGATGTGTCTTTGTTCTGACATTGATCAATGTGGTTGGCTGTCGTAGGGAGAAGTTCTTACCCTGGCTGAACAATTTTGTCGGAGTATGGTTTTTCGGGCTTTTCTTCGTCTTCTGCCTTGCCCTGCTCATTTCTGTGGGCACCAAAGATGGTCTGTCGTACCAGCCTGCCACCTTCACTTTTGGCAAATGGATTAATCAGACGGGATGGCCAGACGGTGTCGTCTGGTTTATTGGTCTCGTCCAAGCCGCCTACGGTCTGACTGCCTTTGACGCCGTGATCCACCTGGTGGAGGAAATTCCCGCACCGCGCAAGAATGCTCCGAAAGTTATCTATCTTGCTGTAATTTCCGGTGCAATCAGCGGTTTCATCTTGATGATGGTCTGCCTTTTATGCATCCAGAAAATCAAGACAGTCATTGACTCACCAAGTGGTCTGCCATTCATGGAACTCGTCCAAGAGACAGTAGGCCAAACCGGTGGAGCAGTGTTGATCGCTCTATTCATCATGAACGGTCTCGGTCAAGGAATCAGTATAGTGACCACGGCCTCCCGCCTGACCTGGGGCTTTGCTCGAGACGGCGGACTTCCATTTAGTACATATCTTTCGGAAGTCAGCCCAACATGGAAAGCTCCAGTTAGAGCACTATGGTTCCAAGGTTCAATAATTGCCCTGGTCGGAGTGCTATTCTTGTTCGCCGAAACCGTTTTGAATGCTATCCTCAGTGTCAGCACCATCGCCTTGACTATTTCATACGGTCTGCCTATTATGACAGTACTCCTGATGGGCCGTGACAAACTTCCACCTGGTGGTCAATTTCACCTTGGCAGGTTCGGAACGCCTGCCAACTGGGTCAGTCTCGTGTACTGCTGCGTGACGACCATCTTCTTTTTCTTCCCGAGTGCCCCTAACCCCTCTGGTGGTGATATGAACTACGCTATCGGCGTTTTTGGTGTGATGCTCGTCATTGCCGTCTCCTTCTGGTTCATCCAGGGTAGTCGCACCTATCTCAATACCGAGGAGTCGACCCCTCATGTTATCCAGGCTCATGCTGTTGCGAATGAACCTGCGCCACCTGAGCCCAAGAAGGAAGATCGATGAACAAAAGCCTAGGCTTATTATTTGCTTTGCCATCTTCCTGTGAGGTCCAAAATAGGGTTCGAGGATCTGTTTGACGTGCTTCACTTCATCACGATGCTTTTGGTAGATCAGGTATAGAATTGATATGTGCATAGACATCAGTACTACCTGTATATTGAAATGCTTCTGGTTCGGTATAGAAAGTTGTATCAGATGTCTGAAATATCCGCTTCAATCTACGCTGCATAAAATCAGTCTTACAAAACCCGTATTGCAGTCTTCCAAAAGCTACATTACATGCTGGCGTATGGCTGGCATGGCATAATTGCCTCAAGGATCAGGCCTTCCTTGTTTGGTTGCCCTAGTTCATAGGACTATTTAGTCTGCTGCTCCTCGGCGTCCAGTATCTTAAGAAGATGACGACATGTCGATATATATTCTCACACATACTTCGATATAGCTGTACCCAACAAAAATCAGACCAAGCCAACCTGCCCTTCGCTTGTGAGAATAGCTATATAAGGAGGTATATCTGCTACTTACAGCTCAATCACGCCCAGATCGGTCCTTACTCAAGACAGACACATAAGCTAACTGTAAGTCATGGACAGGGCCACATGGTTGATTCATACACCGGATTCGTCATCCTTCTTACTCGACGGGCAATGCCATCCGAGGGCACCCCACTGACTACAATCCTAGAAAGAGAGATTTCTGACTTCTCATACTCCCAAATGACTGCAGTCTCAGATATCTCCGCACGAGCATCTAACTTCTCTAACTTCCTAAGATGTATGCTCTCTTTTGGATGATCCCTGTTCGTAGTAAAGAGATATTTTAAGACTAGTGATCTGGCAAACTAGAAGTTTTTGCTCCCTGAAACCAATTTCCTGGTAACGACGTTGATTATAGACCTGACGACCTGGCTAAAAAAAATATTCCTTTGCTTTTTTCATGCGCATTTATAACCCACTTTACCGGTAGAATAATTTATTTAAGAGTTGGTGCCGTGGGGATCTGGGAAAGACCCTCGATTTCAATACTATGTTCGCATTATTTGCCTTAAAATCCTGATTGCTGCGAGTCATTTCATATTTGGAAACCATTTCTTCTAACTAAACTTGTGTTCAATTAAGCTACAAGCCTTTTAGCTGCCACAACTTTAATTTAGTACGTTAATAGGTTGACGTATGGTGTCTGACGTTGCCTAGGACCTAGGCTCATCTTAGGCTGATTACCGTTTCAATGCAAGGGGTTAAAGATCTAGAACGGACATTCTCAAACATCACATTCTGTATGAAACTTGGCTGACGGCTCTTTAGTAAGCTGTCGGTCGCTAGTAAATGACAGCACTGTTATGATATGTGTCTTCAAATCTGAAGGTATACAGCAATAACCCGATGTACAGTTTTATGGCTCCGAATTACCCCTTTATGCTTCACAAATACATCCTTCTTGTGAAATAAGGCCTCCGAGTGGATCATTGTGTGGGATGTGAGGATCATCATGGCTGTTTCGGGCCTCTAGCTGAAACATATATTGTATGAGTCTCAGCTTTATGGAAGCTGAAGTGGGTCCCCCTGAGTAGGCATTATTTTAAGCAATCCGCTCTAGGCCTGTGTTACTCCATAGCTGATGAGTACTCCTGTGTCAGGTAGAGAAAATTGGCTCCATGATCATACGTCTCCAAATTGATGCTAAGGCTGTGTATTGCATATATATATCTACTACACCTTGGTTCCAGACTGCATAAATCACCACATCTGAACACTTAACCTTCAAGATGCACTTCATCACTTTCCTCTCCATGCTGGCTGCCCCGGCCCTTGTCGCTGCCACCCTCGACCCGGCTTCTTCCAACAGCAAGGGCTACAAGCCCAGCAGCCTCAACTGCTCTGGTAAGTATAAATAATCAGCTCTGGTGTATCCAAACGCATGAACTAACTTCCTCAAAATAGCTGCCAAGGTCTCCAAGGCCATCCAGGCTGCTGAGTGCTCTCACAATACTCGCACTTCATCCACCCAGACCTTCGCCGTCTTCGAGACCGACCACCAATACGACTCCAACAACGGCGCTCCCTACGGAACATGCAGCGCCTACACTTGCACTGCCCCAACCACCAGTGAGTTAACGGAGGACTCCGACTACTGGATTTTCTACTGGGGCGATGGTGGAAAGAGCAGTGGATACGGCACTACTTGCATCAAGGATCCCCAGACTGGCGAGTGTGGCTGCGAGAACTCTGATGGTACTTTCGTTGCTGGAAGCTCAAGCTGCACCTAATTATGTTCATTGCAACTGAAGAAAGGGTTGTTGTTCCAGGGCTTGAGATGACGGTATCCCAATTCTAGTGTATATATTACCGGAATGGCAACATCTTGAAGTGTTCACAAAGCGCATGTTTTGATATATACAATACAGATCCCAGCTGTCCTGCTGAGTCCCCTTAAAGCTTGGACTTCATATTCACATGGATAGCCTTAATACTGGAATAAGCATCAAGACCAGCCTCACCAAGCTCACGACCAATACCACTCTGCTTAACGCCACCAAACGGAATGCGCCAATCACTATCATTGCTAGAGTTGATCCAGACCATACCAGCCTCAATCTTCTTAGCAACGCGGTGAGCACGAGTCAGGTTGGTAGTGAAAAGCGCACTACCAAGGCCATAAGTAGTGTCATTAGCCATTTGAATGGCATCCTCCTCAGTGCTGAACCGAGCAATAACAACGAACGGCCCAAAGACCTCTTCCTGATAAATGCGCATCTTGGGAGAAACATCCGTGAACACGGTAGGTTCCACGAAGTATCCCTTGCCATCACCAACGCCCTTAAACGGCTTTCCACCAGAAACAAGGGTAGCTTTCTCAGACTTGCCCACATCAACATAGGACATGATACGGTCATATTGAGCCTGCGTCACCTGGGGACCCTGGAAAGTCGATTCCTCGAACGGATCGCCGACCTTAGACACATTTTTGACTTGAGCCTTGAACGCCTCCAGGAACTTATCGTAGATCTCATCCTGGACTAGGATCCGTGAGGTGGCAGTGCAGATCTGGCCCTGGTTATACATGATACCGATATGGGCCCATTCAACCGCCTGCTCGAGATCGGCGTCATTGAAGACGACAAGGGGACTCTTGCCGCCGGTCTCGAGAGTAATGTTCTTCAGGTTCACGCTAGCCATTTTCATGATGTGCTTGGCTGTAGCGGTGCTTCCGGTGAAAGCGATCTTGTCCACATCCGTGTGCGAGGCGAGTGCTGCTCCTGCGACAGCACCGTGGCCATTCACGATGTTCACGACACCGGGTGGGAAGCCAGCTTCTACAATAAGGTTTGCAAGGAAGAGGATCGAGAGAGGGGTCTGCTCGGCTGGCTTCAGGATCACGGCGTTACCGCAGGCCAGGGCTGGTCCGAGTTTCCAGGCTGCCATTGCCAGAGGGAAGTTCCATCTGTGAATTGATGAGCGGCGAATGTTGATTGGATATCATAGTATTACTTACGGGATAATTTGTCCACAGACACCAACAGGTTCCCGAACGGTGTAGGCAAACTTATCCGGGGTGGTATCAATGACCTGACCGAAGATCTTATCGGCATAGCCGCTGTAGTAGCGTATAGTCTCAGCGGTCTCAGTAAGATCATCATTGAAAGAAACAGAGTATGGCTTTCCGTTGTCAATTGTCTCAATGGTTGCAAGGGTCTTGCGGTTATCCTCAATGAGCTGGGCCAAACGATTCATCAGCTTGCCGCGGTCGGAACCGGGCAGGTCGCGCCAGCAGGGGTTGTTGAGAGCTGCGCGAGCGGCCTTGACGGCTGTGTCGACATCTTGAGATGAGGCTGCGTGGACGGATGTGATTTCCCTTGCGGTTCTGTTGTTGTAATCCGATCAGCTATGGATTGATGTATACATGAAGTTGCAAGACGTACGTGGGGTTGATGGTTGCAATCTTCTCGCCATTCGACGACTTGACCCATTGGTTGTTGATGAACAGGCCCGTGGGCTGGGTCCAAGTGTGGCCGTTGGGCGCTGTGAGTTGGACTGATACGTCGGACATTTTGTGTGATTGAGGTGGAAGTTTGTGAAGAAATGGTCAAGTTAAACGTGAATAATATTAGTACTTAACGCGAGTACTCGTAGCTATGCGATAGCTAGAGCTAGCGATAAGTCGGCTGTACATTCTATTTCAGTCTCCATAGTGACTTCAAGCAGATCCAGGAGATACACGAGATCCACCTCCGGATTCTATCAAAGACAGGGTGGACTCGGACGTGGAGACCAAATCACGGCGGTTGACGTATATATGCGCTAGACCTGATTAGGCATGTCCAGCCAACCGCAGTTTGGCTATTCGGTGTCAATACTGGAGATAGGTGGGTAGTTGTCTTGCTGCCTTAGATTTTCACATGTTTAACATATGTACAGTCTTGAATGTCTACTCAAGTTACTGTATACCTAGTTGCTTAATAGGACTATTAAAATGTAGTGAAAAAGAGCCGCGGCTTACATAACCCAGTCCACGTGAAAATAAGCTTGATTCAACGCCCTTGGCACCTTTTCGTAGATCACCTGATTCGTCAGAAAGAGGCAGGTGGTGCCTACAGTGGGTGTAGTGTGTAGCCCTGCCTATAAGACTTGCCTCATTAGGGCGACCAGCAGAGAACGCAATGGCCAACACATCTCCCGAGCCGTTGTATGCTGATTGGCTGATATTTTCGATGGCGATGTCTTTACGAAACAGGTATTATGCCATAGAAATGCAAAGCGTCATCTCTAGTGTCAACTTAATAGCTTCTCCAGACATTCTCCCAAACCGAACAACGGCGGGAGAGTCCACTTTCGGGACCATTCGCCCCGGCTTCTATAAGATCCCGATTTCCTTTCTGGGAAGGTACATGCGGTGACCTTCGATCTGATATCCAAGGTCCGGTAGCTATATAAAGTCCATGGCAACTTTACGATGAAGTTTTTCAGTTCTCTACAACTCTCTTAAATCTTTCCCATCCCCCTCACATCTTCATCATGGCGTCTGCCCCAGATACCACATCAATTCCCGGCTACACGATTTTCCGCGAGGGAGATTATGACAGTGTAGCCGCCGCCGCGATGTTGCCACAGGGAACCCCACACCCATTAGGTAGGTAAACTGCATCATATTTTTTAGAGATCAGAAGCTGACGTTGAACATAGATCAACTCACCATCAAGGAAATCCCTGAGGCCGCCAAGATCATCCGGGAATATGCCAACCCTAAGACTATCAAGTTCAACTGCCTCACACTCCGGGAACCCCGGAAAGCCGAATATCAGGCATTCCGTGCTGGTGCAATTCCCACCCCAGACCGTCGCGCTTTCGCCATCGTCATTGTGCGCGAAACTTCCCAGGTCGCCGAGGTGGTTGTCAACCTCGCCACCACCAAGGTTGAGGAATGGAAAGAAGTTTCCGAAGTCATGCCAACTCTCACTCTCGAGGATCTCGATGTGATGGAGCGCATTGCTCGCAAGGACGCCCGTGTTATCCGTGCCTGCAAGGAGATCGGCATTACCGACATGGATAAGGTCTTCCTCGACGCATGGGCCATCGGCATTGACGAACGATGGGGCTTCGAGCGCCGTCTCCAGCAGGGTCTGGCTTACTACCGTAACTCTGAGTTCGACAATCAGTACGCCCACCCTCTGGACTTCACCGTTGTTGCGGATACCGAGACCGAAGAGGTGCTCAGCGTTGATGTCCGATATGTCAACGGCGAACGCACCGCTGTTCCTCTCCAAGAACACAACTACCTTCCCGAATTCATTGGCGACAAGTACAACCACGACCGCCTGAAGCCCATCGATATCACCCAGCCTCAGGGTGTCTCCTTCAAGGTCCGCGGCAACGAGCTGACCTGGGCCAACTTCAAGATGCACATTGGTTTCAACTACCGTGAGGGTATCGTCATCTCTGATGTGCGCACCCACGACATGTACGAGGACCGCGAGCGCACCCTCTTTAACCGTATTTCCGTCGTCGAGATGGTTGTCCCCTACGGTTGCCCCGAGAAGCCTCACCACAAGAAGCACGCTTTCGACGTTGGCGAGTACGGCACTGGTCTCATGACCAATTCTCTGAAGCTGGGTTGTGATTGCAAGGGTGCTATCCACTACATGGACGGTGTCATGTCCACCTCCAGCGGTGAAGCCGCCGTGATCAAGAACGCCATTTGCATCCACGAAGAGGACAACGGCCTCCTCTACAAGCACACCGACTACCGCGACGGCACTGTCATCTCCGCTCGTGACCGCAAGCTCATCGTCTCCCAAATCATCACCGCCGCCAACTACGAGTACGGCTTCTACCACACCTTCACCCTGGACGGCACCTACAAGCTGGAGATGAAACTCACCGGCATGCTGAACACCTACTGCATGCACCCAACCGAGACAGCCGCGCCCTACGGCACAGAAGTCGCTCCCTCAATCAACGCGCACAACCACCAGCACCTCTTCTCTCTCCGCATCGACCCCGAAATCGACGGCCACAACAACTCCGTCGTCCAAAGCGACGCCGTCTCCGCCGAAGCCGCCGTCGGCTCCCCAGAGAACCCCTACGGCAACGCCTTCTACAGCAAGAAGACACCCCTCCGCACAGCCCTCGAAGGCGCCGCAGACTACTGCTACGAGACGAACCGCTCGTGGGACATCATCAACCCAAACCGCATGAACGCAATCGCCAAAAAGCCCGTCGGCTACAAGATCCTGAACAACAACTGCCCACCCATGCTCGCCAAACCAGGCAGCACAGTCTGGAAGCGCGCCGCCTTCGCCCGCAAGCCCCTGTGGGTCCTGCCCTACAAGGATTACGAGCTCTTCCCGGCCGGCGACTACGTCTGCCAATCCACCGGCGACGACGGACACCCGCACAACCCCACAATCGCGGACTGGGCGCAGCGCAACGAGAACATCGAAAACACCGATATCGTCTGCTATCTCCAGTTCGGTCTTACGCATTTCCCGCGCACGGAGGATTTCCCCATTATGCCTGCTGAGCCAGTTAGCATTATGCTGCGTGCTTCGAACTTCTTTGAGAAGAATCCTGGTCTTTGGGTTCCGCCTTCGGCTGTTTGTGTTGATACCCAGTCGAAGAATGCTTTCCCTTCAGCTGCTTCTGCTTCTTGTTGTCAGGGTAGCAGTTCTAGACTTTAGGGTTGGATGTTTTGGCATTGATTCTGGTGTTGATTGTTTCTGAAAATATGGGTGGTTTGGATATTTGTACATAGTCATGCTCTGTTTATATAAGATTTTATCAATTTCTTTCTCTTGATCAGTTTCATCATTACATGTTTTTCCTTTAGTTGTGCCTTGGTACTAAGTTCAGCAGTCTTTATCAGGGTAAAGCTGGCTTAGCTGTATGTAAGGACCAATTTGGACCAATAATGTTTCTCTTTGGCTACGCACGAGTACTGGGCAAGTTACAGTTACACAGACAGGACCTAAGTATGAACATCGATACATCTATGTACTAGTAAAAAATAAATCTATCAAACAAGAACTCGCCGTCAACCTCTAAATAAGATTCTTAAGCTCCTGCCCAGCCAAAAGCCTCCGCAAGTTATAAGCAATCAACGCTTCAGCCCCACGCGGCCGTCCACCAGCAGCATGAGGCGAGAGCACAAGATTAGGCGCCTTATACAAAGGCGAAGAAGCAGGCAAAGGTTCAACAGAGAAGACATCAAGGGCGGCGCCCCCAATCTCCCCCTTCTCAAGCGCCTCAACAAGTGCATCCTCATCAACAGAAGTACCCCGGCCCACATTAACAACCCAAGCATGCTTAGGCAAAAGCGCCAGCCTCTCCCTTCCCAGCGCCCCATTCGTACTAGCAGAGCCAGGCAGAATCATAACAAGCGCATCAGTGTTAGCCAGCACAGCCGGCAAAGCATCCTCACCGACAACCTCAAACCCATCCCTCACACCAGCAGACCGCGCAACACCAGTAACCTTCGCCCCCAACGCCGTCAGAACGGGCGCAAGGCACTTGGCGATATTTCCAAAACCCCAGATAGTAACATTCGCCCCCTTAAGCGTGGTAAAAGTACCAGGAGCACGATCAGGCTGTGGGCCTCCCAGATGCCCGGGCCAAACACCTTTATTCTGATAATCGCGCATCTCAAAGAACCGCCGGGCACCATTAAGCAACAGACCAAGCGCGTGCTCAGCGACCGTCTCATCGTGGCACCCGGACCCGGTCGTGATGGCGATACGGGAAGCGTCGAAGCCGGCGCTGAGGACGTCGTTCGGGCCTGCGGCTAGGGACTGGATCCAGCGGAGGTTTTTCATGCGGGTTGCGGCGTCGCGCAGGTTTTCGGGTTTGTTTGTCCATGTTACTAGGATTTCGGCGTCGATTAGGTTGTCTGGGATTGGGGTTGTGACGTCGTAGGGGTGGAGGGAGACGGAGAAGCCTTCCAGGGACTTCGTGTCTAGGATTAGGGAGGTTGGGTAGAGGAGTTTCATTTTGGATGTGGTGGTTGTGGATCTAGTGGGGGATTGTGGGAGGTGGTTTTTTATTGTGAGGAGTCGGTCGGTTGGGGACATTTGGGTTGGAGGGGTTGTTGGATTATATGTGAATCCGGACATTGCGACGTGGGGGTTCCCGCTCGGCTTTGGCGGAGCTCCGCCGATTCATCTCCGGGGTATGGTCGGGATTTGATTCGGGGTTATGTCTTGGTGTTTCTATATGTGTATATATATGTTTTAGTCTGGAGCATGTCTAGGGGCATTAGAACTGTTGGATTAATACAGAATCGTTGCAATTGGATTGGTTTACAATCGATGTATTCCCATATGGAAATCTATGGACTTTTAATAGCCGATACTGCCCGGCTATTGATAACGGCTAAATTGAGTGCAGCCCGCGGGGGTACCTCAATTGTATGTCCGATACACTTGGATAGACCTGGAACTACAGTCATATTAGCACGGTTTAGTGCACCGCAAGGTATATCTTCGTTGAATTGAAGGAAGCATCAAGTACAAAATTGAAGCGTTGGATTCAACATCATCGACTAGATCATGCTACCTTGCCAAACAACAGATTCAATGACACATG